CAGTTTTCGTTGCCATACTCCTCCGAAACGGCTTGACCGATTTTGATGAAATTTTTTGTGCTTATCCGGTATCTATGAGAATCGGCCAACATCTATTTTTCATCCCCCTAAATGTTAGGGGTAGTCCACCCCTAAATTTTTTTTTTTATTTTTTAGACAAAATTTTTAATTTCTATTTTTTTATGATACAACATACAAAAATACATACAATCCTCAATTTTCACCCTTCTACGATCAACCCTTATTTTTTAATAGCCATTATTTATATGGCAAAACAACGTTTGCCGGGTCAGCTAGTATTATATATAATTTACTTATGAGAAATTCCCGATCTAAGAGTACGTCGTCTTGAGTTCAATGCCCTTTCATGGGTGATAAATTCAAAATTTAATATAACATAATTATTTTTAACGCTTTTATTTCGCCAGGGCATATTGGCAGGGCTTATGCAATTGAGGAACTTCAATTTTCATTCCAAAATTGTGAACGACTTGTCAGAGACGAGTGGTGCCGCGCGGGCTGCTGGTCGTGTCCCCTCCCTTCCTCCCACTCTGTCTTGAAATTATTTAAATACACACTGGCGTATTAGTAGCTAGTAAAACACTACTAGTGGTGCGTATACACCAAAGCGTAACAACTTATCTGCGACTATTTTTATTTAAAAATCACCTACATGAAAAATGAGAATTCTTCTTTTGAAATATTAACTAATAAGTCCATTGACAATTTAAGTTACGATAATTTCGGTCATCAAATGACGTAATAAACACTTTACGTTTAATTTTCTATAAAATTTTTCATTTAAAGGGGACAAATAAAAATAAGAACGTTAAATAAGACTTTCTTTAACATGTATTATTATTATTGCCATAGTCTGTGCTAACCTTAACTCGTTTCCTGTATCCGTTGGTTCTTTTCCGCGGTGCCCGTCTTTACTGACGCGCGATAAAAATAGCGTAATTTGTTTTGCTTCCTAAACGGATATTAAAGGGCCGCCAATACTTTATTTTCATGTATTATATGGAAGTTTATTTTTACTTCAAAGGCAATGGAATAGCATCCATAATTATTTATGATTTTAAATAACAACCTTGGGATTTTTGTTGTTTAAGATTCATATAGAAATAAAATTCATGCTAATTAATAATAAATATAGCCTTGCTGCTACCCTCAACTCATTGTAACGGTTTTGAAATCTTACCATCTTTACACGTCCGTCACGATAAAGCTTTTCGTTTCCTAGGAACGAACAACAACTAAGGAATACACAAACAAATAAGGAAATGATTTTAAAAACTGTTGTCAATAAATTGAAAGAAAGAAAGAAGAAGCAATGAAATTTTAACCAATTATGGGACTCGCATTATTATTTATTTTATTGGAGCTCTGATATGACAGGTAGAAAATTGAAAAAGTTAATGCTACACTTCCGGTTCAAACTTGGAATTTAAAGTTGCAGCAAAAGCTAACAGAAGGACAGACAAAATATGTGTAATTAAAAATCGGTGTCAGAATATTTTGAATACGTCCCAGACATTATTCAACTTCGAGATGATATCGAATTGAATGGAATACAATTGGTCTTTTAACTATACCGTTTTTTGTTTCATCTAATTGTTAATGGCTTTTCTAGTATAAATTAAGCCCATATTGATTTATTGCTATATTGATTCTAAAGATCTATTGGTGATAAGATCTCGTTGGGGAAAGTAGTAACTCTATATGTATTACATAAAGTTGACAAATTTCCTGTACATCGATTTCTATTTCTCGTCCTGAAGTTGTGACGGTTATCGCTTCGCTGTGAACTATTCATTCTTACTCATTAAACTAATGATCAAGTTATATTATGAAATAAAAAAAACTTTCCGCTATCAAAAGTACATTTAACAATTTGATAATGTACGAATCTTATAAGCTTTTCACCAAATGTCACCTAGACTCCATTTCTCAAGTGTGCATCTCATTAAAAAAAATAAAAAACAAAACCGACTTCAAATATCTCGCTCTTTATTCATTTTATTATTGATTTTCAGGAGTTCCCTACGTATCTCCGAAGCCCAAGATCCAATAGCAATGAAATTAATGTGGGACTACATGGGAAGCACCAGCTTTCAAATAAAATAAGAATCATCAAATTCGGTTTACTCAGTCTAAAGTTCTGAGGTTACAAATATACAGTCGAATTGAGAACCTCGTCCGTTTTTGAAATCGGTTGAAAATCATTCCTTTAAGAAGAAAACATTTGAAGTATTATGTTTGCTCAAAGGCATCGGCAGCCATCTTGGAAAATTACTAGCGCGAGGTTCGGTGCGCAAAACACTAGCGGGCGTATCCCTGAAAAGGCGAGCAGTTCGACATTAGAATCAGAAGTACAAGACCGAGCGAGGGTGAAGTCGCCGGGGGCATGCGCGCGCCTATCGATCGACTCGCAGACTTCGGCCTGAGCCTTGTGCGTGGCTCACGACCCTTTGGCAATTTGCGATCGCCGCTTTTAGATACAATAACCGCGCACAAAATGCAACGCCTTCGCCTGACGCTGTTAAAAACTATAGACGCAATAACGTGTGACGTTTGCCGCAGATAATAAATGTTATCAGCACTGATTGGCTGTCTGCATAAAAATGATATAAATATTAAGAATCAAATTATAAAGTATTAAATTAATTCATCTATCACGCAGCGTTTTACGTACTTATGTATTAAAGTCATAGATTCCATTGTTGGAATTTTCCATCTTGCGATAACGGAAATACTAGTCGGATAATGAAATTAGAGACAGGCGCGTCTCCGTATATGACTTTCATACTTGGAGCTGCAAACTAAGTAGTGTTCCCAAACTGTTTCATATCTAATTTTTGCTTGTATTTTCTTTAACGCCACATTGCAAGCTAACATTAGCCTAGTGATACAACTAATACTATAAACATACGTTGCTTCGAATGAAGTTCACGAATTTGAACCCCAGTGACGTATTCAAATAAATTTTAAAAATCTATAGCTTACGTTTTCCCGTTATTATTCCGGTTACCTCACTCGCCAAATGAAGAGCAAGAGTAAAATTCGTCTACATTACGATAATCTTCCAGGAAGGGTAGAACCGTTCACGCGAGGCTGTACCTCAAATATAAATGAAGAAATAGCTATAAAAATATATTTATTCCTTAATTTTAGGTAATTTAATACGACGGCGATATTTTAACGTTCTTTTACGCCGTACCGAATGAGTGTCATTGCATTCTCACCACCCTTCAGAAGCAGCCTGTGTCAAGAATACGGTGTCTATTTTACACAAATTACTAGCTTGATGATAATGAGCCGAATTAACTGTTTTTCATTATAGCTTTACTGTACGGAAGAAAATTGCGGCTCAGATTTTACACGGTCTTTTAATAAGCCCTATGAAGTGTGCTTGACATTGGCTTTGAACTGGAAAGTGAGGTATCGCGTGCAATCTGTCGTGACCTTTTTCGTAATAACTTTCTGTGGTCGCGTTTGAAGCAAACTTTTACCTCGGAGCAATGTGAAAAGTATTTACAAATATGGCGGTCGCCTGCTGATAGAGAAATTTGTTTTTTATCTCTTTAAATAGCGTGCTAACCGTTTCATATTATCTGTTATTGATATTTAGCTAGGACTTTCCGATCTTAGGGATAACAGTTTTTTTTTTATTTGTTTTTGTTCAAAAGTAGTTTAAAAGTCATATAGGTAATACGTAGAGCCACGCAACAGTCTTCGCTGTTTCACCAATAGATAGGTCCGTCCGGGTAAGTACCACGCCCTCACAGATGACCGGTCTGAAGTGGAAGCGTTGTACTTCTGTTTCGTCATCTGAGTGAGGTAACCGGGGCCCACTTTTTTGGAAGCTTACTGGTATTGCGAATGTCCGTAGGCGGCGGTTTTCGCTTTACATCTGGTGAACCGCCAACTCGCTGGCCAACATCTTACATAAAGAAATTAAAAAAAATTAAGTGCCATACCAACGTTCTTTTTCAATGTGAAAAGTTGCCAAGCGAGCAGGCGGTTCACCTGATATTAATTGAATACCGCCGCCCATGGACATCTGCTACACCCGAGGGTTGCAGATGCGTTGATAACCTTTTGAAAATTGGTCTCCGGCTACCTCACTCGCCAGAGGAAACGCGAAAGTATTATACTTCCACTTCAAGCCGATCTTCTGAGGTCGTGGTTGCTACCCGGACGAGCCTGCCCATTCGTGCAACAGCCGAGGCTGCTGCGTGGCCCTACCACAGTTGAAGTACAGGAGAAATTAAGTTTAAAACTGGATTACAGTTTTCGACAAGTGGAATTCATCTGGTTTACGCTAAAATGTGAGGTACTCGTATAATAACTTTATTAGTCGTCAATATAATCTTATGTGATTATATTGCCTACCTTCGGCTAATAAATCTGATTTGCTACTCAGCAGCTTATGCTGTTGCACGAATGGACAGTAACTGGGTGTTCATTCGTGACAGTTGGCAACCTTTTTTGAAGTGAAACTTCTTAGGCGATACGAGAATTAATAGTGACATTTAAAGGGCGTATAACGTTTAGGCACATTTCGTTACATGAGAGAGAAGAATAACGTAAAAGGAGAAAGAAAGCTGTACACTGATTATCTAATGCACATTTTATCAAGCATACGGCCACACACGTCCCATTTAAGATTAGAATTTATGTATTACTAGTGGTCGATGTTCAACCACAATTAATTATACTTATCTACATGATAGTGAGTGTAACGTTTTTTTTTTATTGATTTAATGTACCTATTTTTATGCATAATTAAAAAAAATATTAGCCTTCTGCACTCCTTCTCTATATAAAATAAACTATAAGTGTGCGAAATTTCATACTCCTCCGTCCGCGCAATTTTCGTAAAACGGGTACAAAGTTTTTGCTTCACGTATTAACCTATAGATAAGTCTTTTATGTGATAGTCTTTTTTTGTATGGTAAAAGCAAAAAAGTTATTGAAGTTTGTTCCTTTTGTTTCAGTGTGCAACTTCATAGTGCACGAGCGATGCGTGGGGCAAGTGGTGACGCCGTGCTGTGGGGTGGCGCCGAGCCTCATCAAGGTAAACAATGTTTTAAGGCATGTATTAAAAGAAATCATTATTGATTTTCCACGTGTGAGTACCCGTAATTTTGTTACTAGCTTCGTTATGCATGTATTTCTTAACAACGATATGCAGTTCTTTGATATCTTCATCAGTTTGACAGTTATATGATGATATCCCGAAAAATTTTACCTTGTCAAACACAAGCTTACAAGTAAAACGTTATAATGACAGTTAAAGGAAAAATTTGTTTAGTTTTACGTGTATCGCGTGACATCAAAAATACGAACGCCAGGCTGTTTTCATTGTTAAAAAAATAACATATGGATAAACTTTAGTATTGGCTTTGTTTTTCGAGAAGATTCTTAGAATGACAATTTTAAGAAATCGCATTTTTTAACACCTTCATTTGTGTGCAGAACCCCGTGGCGCATTGCTGGTCGGAGCCGACGCACCACAAGCGGAAGTTCTGCACGGTCTGCAGGAAGAGGCTCGATGAGCTCCCCGCCTTACATTGTATGAGTGAGTACACGCCATTTCGACGTCCGCTATGTGATGGATTCCAAAATCTGTGTTGTCTGTGCAGACGCATTTACTTCCGTTATTTCTGGCAGATGGTCTTTTGGCCATTACCCCAAAAATAAATGAAAATATTTCCATTATGTTACCGACCATAAAAGCTGTGTCAATTTAAAGAGTACAGGATGAATTTTCGTCTTACATTGTATGAGTGAGTGCGCGCCATTTCGACGTCCGCTAAGTGATGGATTCCAAAATCTGTGTTGTCTGTACAGACGCATTTACTTCCGTTATTTCTGGCAGATGGTCTTTTGGCCATTACCCCAAAAATAAATGAAAATATTTCCATTATGTTCCCGACCATAAAAGCTGTGTCAATTTAAAGAGTACTGGATGAATTTTCGCCTTACATTGTATGAGTGAGTGCGCGCCATTTCGACGTCCGCTAAGTGATGGATTCCAAAATCTGTGTTGTCTGTACAGACGCATTTACTTCCGTTATTTCTGGCAGATGGTCTTTTGGCCATTACCCCAAAAATAAATGAAAATATTTCCATTATGTTCCCGACCAAAAAAGCTGTGTCAATTTAAAGAGTACAGGATGAATTTTCGCCTTACATTGTATGAGTGAGTGCGCGCCATTTCGACGTCCGCTGCACAATGGATTCCAAAATCTATGCTGTCTATACACATACATTTATTTCCGTTATTTGTGGAAGAAGGGCTTATGGAAATATTTTTTTAATTTATTGTGTCAATCACGTTACCGACGGCGTAACCTTTGATTTCAACTTCCGTGGTTATATAAAACGCAGGAACAATAGTTCGACAAATAAATGATTTAAAGATTTTTTTGTGTTTCACTTTTGTTCACATAAGAACATTTTATTGTTCCATTTGTTAAATTCAATTTTATAAAATAATGCGAATAATATGCATTTTAGATCTTAACAAAGCAATAATATCCCATCGTGGTTTTATTTCATACAAATGAATGTTTGAAATAAAACCACTAACAAATGTATGTATATTGTACATTTAAAGTGATTATATTTTTAAGTCCTTCAAGTTTTCATTTTAAATTATGTTTTAATTTTTCTAGATCTAAGAATGGGATCTTGGTAAAGTTGATTTTTTTTATTATTTTGTAGCGATGAAAACGCCAGCAGATTCATTTCATCGATCGATTTACTGTAATTGTCATACTTTGAATATTACAAAGCTCGATGCACACTATCCACTCTATTTAACTTTTATATGTAAACATCCAAAGATCCTAAAGGATGTCAGAAATGATCAAAATGAATTTTAAAATATTTCTTGCCAACGATAACAGTTACTGAATAAAACAAGCAAGAATTTGTGACTTTCTACATCTTCTGTGGTCTTTGGGTTTTGACCTGGTCGCAATTAAAGGATCATGCCATTCGAATCTGATAATTTAAATCATGGCCGCATTTACGCGTCTTTACTTGGATATTAGTCCTAAATATTTAACAAAGCCGCTAAATGTTTGACTTATCTCGTATACGCTCGAATACACACTTTGTTTTTTTACTTTCGTCAATATGGATGCTAAATAGTACTTTATTATTTATATGTGACAATAACATTACTTCAAAAATTATTGTAATAGATTATAAAAATTATTTTCCTCGTTATTTATATGTAAATCAATTAAATTTGTTATATTCTAGTTCATCCCATATGTTCACACCGAGCTCCATGAGTAAACTCAATGTACTATAGCTACAAATATGCAAGAAGACAAATAAATAATCTTCATAGTTTCTCTGTACGATGTTAAACTATTATCATTGCTACTACTGGGTTACTATGTTAAAGACAGCATCACCAATGATCATCAAGTGTGATGGCATTACTGACATCCCCTTCCCCCTGCACGTCCACCTTTTACGTCTCTTTTTATGCGAAAAGTTGGCAGGCGAGCAGGTGGTTCCTCTGATGTTAAGTGGTTACTGCCTGCCATGGACCACACCTCAGGGCTTGCAAATGCCTGTAAATACTTTAAAATCACTCACCACACGAAACGCGAAAGTATAATACCTTTACCTCACGCTGGTGCTATGTGCGGCTGTAATACTCCCCGGACGAGCTTGCCAGTTCGTTACCACAGTCAACTTCCTGAGACATAACGCATCTAGACTGGGATAAACACTTATACCGGATGCTGCCCTCGGTTCAGTTTTGCAATCACTTTAATGCCAAAGGAGCTAGGAAGACGCGGGACCTGTGCACGAGATGCGTCACGTCCTAACGCGGGAATCTTTGCGCAATGCGCGAGTCCTACGTCACACCCTAACACAGGGAACTTTGAGCAGTGTACTAGTACATCTACACACCCTAACGCGGTGAACTTTGCGCAGTTTGCGAGTACTACGTGCACGGCGAGTGCGTAGACTTCGCGGCGGCCGACTGCAAGGAGAACGCGACATACTGCGCGGGCAGCGAGCCCCGCCACGTGCACCACTGGCGGGAGGGCAACCTGCCCGCCAACTCCAAGTGCTCCGCGTGCCGGCGCGCCTGCTGGTCCGCGGAATGCCTCACCGGCTACCGCTGCGAGTGGTGCGGCAGCACGGTGAGCTGGTTTTCCCCGCATCCAAAACCAGCGCGAACCACTGAGATAAACACTTGCGACGATTCATCTTTATTAGCACTTTGATACTCTTCAAAAAGTTCCTTCGGATTTTCTTAATTGTCGAAACGCTGCCACACTTTTAGAGATGATTTACAGGGATTTTCCTTTTTTTACCATAAAACTTGAATGCTACCTCATCTAGCGACACCACCAAGTTGAAAGCCTGAACCAGCTATGATTAATGCCGTCATCCAAGCGCTCTTCGACCGATGTTGCCACCATCAAAAGAACCTGTTAGATCCCCCACAGAGTTTCAAATTCAAATTCAAATATTTATTTGCCATAAATAGGGTTACAAAGATGTTTAGGTACATGTTTTTACACAATTTACTTAGATTGCACGGATGGAGCAACAGTTTAATTGATCAGCGTCCACTGCCACTGACCGTTATTTCTGTCTCCCGTTTGTTTGTGCATTTCTTGTTTAAGAATCGCGTCGTAGTCATAGCCATAGTCAAAACTGTGGTCAACAAAATGTATTCCTATCTATCTTCAGTGGCTTAGCATCTATAGTACCTTAGAGATAACGCACATACAGACGAGATTGTCACACATTGCACTAGCACTACCAAAAGAACTTGGCTTGATCCTCACAATCGGTTGATGAAACTAGGTTTGGTTTCGTCAGATTTGGGAAATCTTTCACGTAAAGGTGTGCAGTAAACTCCCAGGATTAAGTGGGGAAAAGCCTTCGGGTTTTTTCGTGTCTTCCACCGAGTTATGTTGGTTTTTAAAGAACCATTTTTGACAACATTTCTTAGACACCATTAGTGCGATTGTAAACGCACGGAATGCACCAACGCCGAAATCTTCAACAAATATCCCTTTCGAACGATACAGGTTAGACTTTTATTTTTGTAGGCTCATGCCCTGACTGGCCTTTAGTGTGTTGGGATATGCTTCGAGATCCACAAATCGTACTGATACTTGGTGGACTCTATCTTCCATTGTCTCCAAAACGGCAAGAGAAATACATCTTTTCTTGTCTTCATTGTATAATTCTCACTTTCAGTCCGAAGACCTTGATGAACAAGCTCTAAACAAAGCCCGCCTTATCAAGTATTCGATATTTATTTATCTCTATGAATCTATTTACTTTCACTTCAGCTTTTGTTATGGACACAATATAGGATCAAGACTATAAAATTTAGGACTAGATTCTACAAGAACGAGCAGCTCTGTTTCAAGGGAATCCCCCAAAGCTTTTAAAGGTACATTGTTAAATCCTCGAATAGAACATTGTCATTGATCTCTGACAACGTCGGCCAGAGACTTTAGGATGATAATGTTTTTATCGTCGATTGCTATAGACGATACAAAATCCAGGTCGTATTAATTGAATTGCGTCGACAGTGCCACGCCGGCTGCCGCTCGCTGATCCCCGAGGAGTGCAACTTCGGGATGCTGCAGCCGATCTTCCTGCCTCCCTCGGCGGTCTCGATCCCGCGCACGGAGGTCCCAATGGAGGCGATCATCGGGGTGCATGTGCGCCCTCCGCCCTCGCAGCGCGACTTCGGCTGCCGTAAGTGTCCAAGTAACCTCCCCCCCTCAGCGCTCCGACGGGTCGCCCGCGCGCGCGCTTTGGCCCTACATGCGCCTCGCTGGTTCAGCTTCGCTCGCATACCGTTTCAATCATCACCCGCCCTCTTTCAGACGCCCATTACCTAGGACAACGTATTGCGAAATAGTCTAGTAGACTCATCAACTGCGCATCAGACTACCGAATCCCCCCTTTGTCCATAATCGTAATTCTTTGTATTACAGGTTGGTTAATTTAAATGAAATAGCCTAATAGATTTTTACGCGTAATTGGCTTTCACTTGTACCTTTCGCTGTTTTAAATCTTATAGATTTGATTTATTTTAGAATTTTCCATCTGTATTAGAATTCATGACGAAAACGGCAGAGATATTTATCATCTGTCGAATGAAGGCACACCTTAATGGCCAGGATTTACTTATTTGTAGAATTAGTAAATATTATTCACATAATACATTTTTTTTTTCACATGAAATAATTCGATATATTGATATTTCGTATTTGTTCCGTCTTTGTTCTATCCGTACAGTTATTCTCTGTCTCTATTAGCTAAGGTGATTGCACGCATGTTTTTCAAAACGACAATTTTTGGAATGTACACACACTTTTCCATTCGCAATTTATTCACCCTCTCAACTCTGTACGTCGGCGAGAGCGAGAAGGAAAATCAAATCCCCATCGAATCGATTAGAACGTCGTCCGATCCGTTTCGACGCGCGGCGCACTCGGTTGTCGAGCGGTTCCAATTCGTCGCGGGTAGCTTCGGGCGGGTAGGTCGTTGACTGGCGCGGCCCGCGGTGTGGGTAAGAGCGTGTGTTTGGGCAGCGCGGGAGCACCGCGGCGGTTGGGGCGGCGCACGGCTGGCGCGGCTCGCGAGGCGGCTGCTGCCTGCCGCCTGCAGCCCCCACGGCGGCGCCTCGCCACCCTACTCCAGAGGTACCGCCCGCCAGCATGAGCCCGCTGACCCGAGCGGAACTACCCCGGTGCATTCTTTCCCGCGGGAAACGGAAGCCGATTAAGTTCCCCCCCCCCTCAAATCATATTTTGACATTTGACAGCTATCTGGTTTCGATACACACGGTTCTAAAAATGGTATTTGTATACGGATTCGTGAACGTGCACGCAAAGAATGGTATATCATGACGTTTATTTTCGCGCCACCACTATTTGCCGCCATTGGGATTCTAATTCAAGATGGCCGACATTCAGAATTATATATTTATTTTTTATTTTATACAAATACATATTTATCAGTCGCCTGCTAAGTGATTTCAAATGTTAAGGTTATATTGAGACGTAGTTCTGTTACGGTCAGCTGATTAATGCTTTAATGTTACGCCTAAAATGAGATAAATTTCAAATGCAAACATGCATTAAACATACAAAGTTAATTAAAAACAACTTAAAAAAATTGTCGGCTTTGGCGATTAAGTTCGTTGAAGTGCATGTTTGAACGCTTGCTTGCTTTTTTGTTTTCAATAGAGCTTTTCCAGTAGGATTCTACTACCAATAGGAAATAATAATAAAAGGTTCTGAGGAAATTTTCCGCGTTAGTATTATATTCTTATAAAATTTTATATATCACAGTAGCATATTTTCAATGACGTAGCCAGTAAGTCTGATGAAATAAAAAAAATTGTTTCATTATTTTTTATTACCTATAGTTAATAAAATAAAGTTTAATACTTATCTCCATATCTTCGGAGTTTTAAATGAGACTAATCTGGCTATGTCCCTTTTTTCTTAGTCTCAGCGGTGCCACAAGAATACTGCAGTATTCCAACAGTATGAGGTAACAATATTTCAGACAAAGTGTGGCGCCATAGTCTTTAACATATTTAGTCTGTGTTGCAATAGCAATATAATGGTTTATAATCTGTGCGCACTTTCGAATAAATGGTTGAAAAAATGATTTTTTTTTGTACAAATGGCATTATCGACATGTTTTTTTTTTCAGTCGAAATTTACGTTTAAGTTACGCCGTAAAGAAACATATATAGGAAAGTAATGAAAGAAGTTGTAGTTGATAAAATCTGAGAAAAGATAATGGGATGCGATGCATTGCCACTTAGCTTAACTTTGTGCCAAGTTGAAAGAAAAGTGCTATAGCAAACCTTATTTTATCATATTTGAGAGTGCGCACAAATTAAGTAGTCATATTTCCAGTGTATTCTAGCTTTACTGTGTAAAACGAAAATAAGGAACACCTAAATTAGAGATATCGATGCAAAACATTTTAAGTACGCTGCGCCTCAGTTCACCTTCTATTTTTGCTCTGTGGTACATTGATTTTTAGATAAAATAAAATGATAAAAAATTAATTAAAAAAATAAATAATTTACGTCAAAATAACTCTTAGCTTGCGCCAATAAAAAAAAATATAAAACTGACATATTTATTTAGGGAAAAAAAATTAACTAGGATCAAGTATGTTTTTATCCGACTTCAAACAGAGGAGGTTCTCAATTCGGTTGTATTTTGCTTTTTGTATTTGTTACTCCGTAGTTTATGTACTAATTTTCAAAATGGCATTGGGTTCCGTTTAGTTCCCGTGTGGTCCCATATTAATTTGTATTGGACCTTGGATAACGGAAATACATCAGGGAACTCCTCAAAAACAATTATAAATTTTAAGAGCGAGATAATTGATGTCAGTTTTGTTTTTTGTTTATGTTACTTTTTTACTGGAAGTCTGCCTTAGATGAAAATTTTTAAATAAACATGAGAAGTAATAAAAAGATTATAGAAATAGTCACAGATACACATATGTATGAAAAATGATGAAAAAATATACTTTCATATAACTCACCTTTATTATAATAAAATAAATAAAACTACGAACACATGGAAGGGAGGAATATTAGTGTGACTATCAAATTTTAATCAAGTTTATTTTTTACGTGTTTATGATTTTAAATAATGAAAATAACATTACATATTGAATGTCAGTTGAGATTTGAAGCAGTACAGTCGTGCAGTAGTGAATCGCAAAGAATGTCCGTTTACCCTATATCTAGAGTCAAACACTCCTATTTGCAATATTTACTTTTACTATATGGACGCATCATTACTGAACTTTAAGCCAAGATATTAAATTAATACCCGACGAAACATAAGGCAATAAATAACACATTATAAATTAACTAAGTTGTAAAAGAACCTAAAAACGAACTCGCCTCTGCGTAGATAGCGTAAAAAACACCTAGTATAGCATAAATAATTTACAACATAAACCGAACCGTTGAATAAAGTCCGATGGATATGATGATTAATCGAGAGAAAGGCAAGATTTCAGACGCGATACTCGTATGTGGGGTGGGCCGATGGGGCAGTGGGGGTCGCATGTGAGCGCAATGGGGTGTTGCAGCTCGCAGCGTCAGCGAGGAGTTCAGCTCGGGCTGCGAGGGCCGTTCGGGCTCCGGGGGCGGCTCCACCGGGGCGCCCGCCGACCAGGACCACCGGCCAGACCACAAGCAGCACCGTGATCGCACCCCGGATGATAGAGACGAAGGTAACCCTCGGCCATTTGGTCTCCCCTAACGAGGGCTTCCGTCTGATTGGGTCATCAGCTATCTGCCAGTGAAAGTCCCGTTAAGTAGCTCCAGTTAAGTAGCCCAGTCCAGTCGTTTCAGAGATTAGCCGTAGCAAACAGACAGACAGAAAGACGAAAATTGTACAAAAGACGATATTTTACGACAAAAGATGATATTTTCAAAAAATCATCTGTGCTTAACGATCCCTTGCTTCTGATGCCTTTGTAACCCTGCAATCAAAACACAAGTCGAGTTCAACCCACCAGATGAATTCTGCATAACGAGTCGCTTATCCGAACAGAAGTGGTGAAGGTGTACGACGGCGAGGCGGCGTGGTCCCGCCGGCTGTACCGGCCCGTGGTGGTCGGCAGGAACTGGAACGAGCGCGAGCTGGTCTCGGCGGCCCTGCGCGCCTTCCACGTGGCCCGCGACCCCGAGCAGTTCGAGCTGACGGACGCGCTCGCCGGCGACGAGCCGCCGCTCAAGGACCCCACACCCCTCGCGAGGGTCACGCGCCTGCCCAACAAGAGGCCGGCGCTTTTCCTGAGATTCAAGTAAGCGGGATCCTTTGAAAATTATGTTTCAGACATCCGCAGTGGAAGTAGACATCCGCAGTAGAACAAAGGTAACAGATACAGCTCAGAAGGTCAGTAAGCTGAAGTGGCGATGGGCCGGCCATATGGCTCGTAGAACTGATAAACGTTGGGGAAGAAATCTTGTGTTGGACGACCCCCCACTAAATGGAGCGTCACTCCAAGTCCACCTGTTCAAGTGTGCGGGAAGTCGATGAATGCAGGTGGCTCAGGATCGTGCGTCGTGGCAGTTGTTGCTGTAGAAGAATGATATGCTGTGTATATAATGCAATAATTTTTTTTCTGTGTATATTTCGTATTTATGTATTCAGTTAAGCAGACCTCATAAACTTAAATTTAAATCACAGCCCGTGTAACGGTTTCTCTAGTGACTTATGGTGGCTAGGTTGGGAATAACTGTTTCATGAATATGATGAGTTTCAACGGGACATCCGAAGACTAGTAGGGCCACGCAACAGTCCTCGCTGTTGCATCAGTGGGCAGGTCCTTAATTAAGATTAAGATCGTTTTACTTTCCCGGACGGACCTGCCCATTCGTGCAACAGAGAATACTGTGCGTGGCCCTACCCCAGTAACTAAAGCCTCCCCTTGCCTGGGAGTGTCAGTCTATGTAAGGCAGATGCCTTGGGCCCTGTGTGAGTTCAGTTAACCCACCAGGGAACCTGAAAGCGGCGGGGGCGAGGTGCGAGTGTACCCTGGCCGCGTGGCGGGTGCCGGTGACACCTTCGTCACTGTCCCCTGCTCCGGCGAGCACGCTGTCGCCGACCTGATGGCGGCGGCCCTGGAGCGCTTCGGCCTCGACCCAGAGAGGGCAGTGCCCGACTACCGCTGCTCGGAAATCCTGCTCGATAGAGGCGGTTAGTATAGTAATAATAATAATCTTTAAGTAAAAAAAGTAAAGTAAAGTAACACTTTATAAATGTACCACTGCTGGGCAAAGGCCTCCTCTGTACAGAGGGTATAAGGGCATAGTCCACCACGCGGTCCCACTGCGGATTCGCAGACTTCACATATTTCCGAATTATTTATTATTTCGAAAATATGCAGGTTTCCTCACGATGTTTTCCATCACCGCCGAGCACGTGATAAGTCAGCACTTAAAATTAACAATTTCATTGGTGCTGCCACCTGGGATCGAACTCAGGTTGATCAAAGGCGAGCGCCCGGACACTGAGCTATCACGGCTTATAATTTTATCTTTAAACTGGGTGATTAAGAAGTTGGTTTACAATTTTTGAAATATAGCCCAATTCTCGAGGACGGTTAGAGCGTTTAACATCACGCTACGGCCTACGGCGGCGAAGCAGAATCGTTTATCGCGGATGAAATCGCACGGAACAGCTAGTACCCTATAACAGTGTTAACAGACTTCCGTGTTAGCATTTCCTCTTCTAAAACACCGTCGTCCAATCACTCGCCACTCGCCACTCACCACTCGCCACTCGTCACCCGTCACTCGTCACCGCAGTGTCGGAGCGCGTCCTGGAGGAGGACGAGAGGCCGTGGCGCATCGTGGTGCGGCTCGCGCGCGAGTCCGTCCGCCGCATGGAGCTCGCCCGCTTCTACCTGCAGCCGCGCCGCGACCCCCACGGGCCGACGCTCGCGCTCTTCGTGGCCTCGCTGCCCCCGGGACTCTCCGAACGCAACTACGAGAACATACTGGTCGAGTTCCTTGGCACAGGTCAGTCGAGCCCTCTCGCCCACTTTGAATTAGCTTAAAGATGACTTGTGGCCTAGCTACCACTGGGACTCTCCGATCGCAACGAAGAGAACATACTGGTCGAGTTCCTCGGCACAGGTCAGTCGGGCCCACTCGCCCAGTTTGAATTAGCTTAAAGATGACTAGTGGCCTAGCTGCCTCTGGGACTCTCCGACCGCAAATAAGAGAACATACTGGTCGAGTTCCTCGGCACAGGTCAGTCGAGCCCACTCGCCCACTTTAAATTAGCTTAAAGATGACTAGTGGCCTAGCTACCACTGGGACTCTCCGATCGCAACTAAGAGAACATACTGGTCGAGTTCCTCGGCACAGGTCAGTCGGGCCCACTCGCCCAGTTTGAATTAGCTTAAAGATGACTAGTGGCCTAGCTGCCTCTGGGACTCTCCGACGCAAATAAGAGAACATACTGGTCGAGTTCCTCGGCACAGGTCAGTCGAGCCCACTCGCCCACTTTAAATTAGCTTAAAGATGACTAGTGGCCTAGCTACCACTGGGACTCTCCGATCGCAACTAAGAGAACATACTGGTCGAGTTCCTCGGCACAGGTCAGTCGAGCACATTCAACTATACAAACTAACTTAAAGATGACTTTGTGGCCTCTCTGTCATGTGGGCTTTTCGAGCGCAACTAGGAAAATATAAGCCTATTCGCCCACTTAAAACTAGCTTAAAGTTGACTTTGTGGCCTCGCTGCCACGGGTCTCTTCAAGCGGAACTACGAGAACATACTGGTCGAGTTCCTCGGCACAGGTCAGTCGAGCCCTCTCGCCCACTTTAAATTAGCTTAAAGATGACTTGCGGCCTAGCTACCACTGGGATTCTCCAGCCGCAAATAAGAGAACATATTGGTTGAGTTCCTCGGCACGGGTCAGTCGAGCCCACTCAACTTTTAGCAAACTGGCACAGGAATACTATTGTACCGAAAATAGCAGAAGAGAACTTGGTTCCAAAAAGAAATAAATAATTTTGAACAAAGAAAACCGACTTCAAACAGGAAACTAATAAAACATTGTCAACGCCTATAACATTTGAGGATTGCCCTCGATTTCTGTGGGATGCCATCATCAGATTTGGGTTTCCTTCATATTACCACCATTGAGATATCTCCTTTCCAACAAAAAAAGAATCATCAAAATCGGTTCATAAATGACGAAGTTATCTCCGAACACACATAAAATATATGTAGATATATACGGTCGAATTGAGAAACCTCCTCCTTTTTTGAAGTCGGTTAAAAGTAGCGTGTAAAGTTGTGAACGTTGTTGTTAATTTTAAATTTAATTTAATTTTAAATGTTGTTGTTTTTTTTTTTTAACATTTTATTATGTAGGAATGTAATTAAGAGTCTGTATTAGAACGAGTAGAAAAAAGAATCCAACAAGGTCTATGTATCGATAAAAATGTGGATAACTTTCACACAATACCGTTCAAAAGTATCAAAATAAAAGTAAAAACTCTAAAGCATAGACAACTTTTATTTCTTTTAATCAACAGTATATTCACAATTTTGTCTGTCCGCAGAGAACAAGTTCACGTCGATCGGGCCGATCTATTACGAGTACGGCTCTATGGTCATCACTTACGAGGACGCCAGCAAAGCTGTTCGCGCGCTTTACGCGCTCCGCGAGGCCAAATATGAAGATAAGCATTTATTAGGTAACCATCACGAGACTTGTATCGCATTTTGTGTGGGTTGGGTAGTAAGTCCCGACGGCTCCTGCGACCTAGAAGATCTATTGTACTCTTCTATTGACCCTTACTGTAGGACAACATTATCCTGTCTGGTAAGGGTGCTTTACATACATAAAATATCCGAAACACCACCAACATATGTGACCCATGCGAGGCATGTTGCTAACCTGGTGTAGGCTTCACTAATCAAACTCGTATAAAATTGGAACATGTGCATGTGTTCAATATTATAAAATGATATGCTTTTTTACAATACCTTTAGTTTAAATAAACCGGACACATTTCTACACAACGTTTCCTATTCCCAAACTAAGCAACGCTTGTACTATGGGTACTAGATGAACTGATAAACATACTTAAACATACTATTCTTTTATAGATAAATACATATTATAAATGTATAAACACCCAGACACAGGAAAAACACTGTGTTCATCACACAATATTTTTCCAGTATTAGAAATCGAACCCACGCCCTCTAGCGCAAGAGGCAGGTACACTCCTACCCACGCCAATCGGGTTGTTACCAAAAATTATCTGTGGGTCATCCAAATATTTGTGTCGTGTGGAAATCGAACCCACGACCCACGCCCAACCCAGTACCATGTCAACTGCGCCACGTAGCCGTCACGATCACGAGGCGTAAAGCTGTACTATTATTATCTGGTATGTGTAACTGTATTAGGGCCACGCAGCAGCCTCGGCTGTGGCACGAATGGGCAGGCTAGTCCGGGTAAGTACCACGACTTTACAGAAGGCCGGCGTAAAGTGGAAGTATAATACTTTCGCGTATCGTCTGGTGAGAGAGTTGGCCGGAGCCCAGTTTTCAAAAGGTTGTCAACGCATCTGCAAACCCTCGGGTGTAGCAGATGTCCATGAGCCGCGGTATTCACTTAACATCAGGTGAACCGCCTGCTCGCTTGACAACTTTCACATAAAAAGTAATGTTCACTCTATTATGCGTTCTGCGTACAGTGATGCTGCTACCCAGCATAGAGCCGTCGATGGTGCCGTCTGGGGTGAAGCCGCTTCTGGTGTTTGTAAACGTGAAGTCCGGCGGCTGCCAGGGTCTGGAACTGATCTCATCGTTCCGGAAGCTCCTCAATCCCTACCAGGTCTTCGACCTTGAGAACGGCGGACCGCTTCCCGGGTGAGTAAGCGTTAAGTACGCAAATGGTTTGACTATTGCATTGTATTTTGTTAGTTCATTTTATACCATAAAGTCTTTGTTATTTCTTGGTACTAATTTGATTTGGGAATGTTTTAGAATACAATTATGCGAGAATATATTGTATCTAAATCTTAAAAATACTAAATAAACAACTAAATGAAAACAAAAAACATATTTAAAATAATATTTGACTCTTAACCTAATTCTCATGATTTTAATGGTTTTACTACGCAAGGAATGGGAGAAATACATATATTTGTGTAAGTTTGTATTTTATTCAAACCGGAGCAATATATATATATATATATATATATATATACATATGTGTGTGTGTCAATATGTATTTTAAACTAGTTCGATTTCTTTTCGATACTTGTATATGCATTGCAAGTCGCAAGGGAGTGAATTGCTCTGCGTTTGCGCAGACTCTACGTGTTCCGGCACATCCCCAACTACAAGATCCTGGTGTGCGGCGGCGATGGCACCATCGGCTGGGTGCTGCAGTGCCTCGACAACGTGGGCCAGGACTCCCAGTGTTCGAATCCGCCGTGCGCCATAGTACCGCTCGGCACTGGTAACCCCCTACCCAAATAGTTCCGACCTCTTAGCGATTTCAAAGTAAATTCAAAGTAAAAACAGAATAATAACCGTTTTTTTCACTAACGAAAAACAAAACCGACTTTAAATATCTCGCTCTATTTTATAATTGATTTCCCTAAGTAGCTCGGGAACACAAGATCCAATACCTGCGAATAATAATATGGGAAGCACAGGCTATCAAATAAAAAAACAATCATCAAAATCGGTACACTAAAGTCAAAAGTTCTACTACATAAAACGTGACATACATAAAAAAATACAGTCGAATTGAGAACCTCTTCTTTTTGAAATCGGTTAAAAGGCGACTAGCGTAGAGCTAGCTAGTTCAGAATCGAAGATGTTTCAATTCAGTTCTTACCTTATTTAGTTAATATTGTTTTACCTTCTGTATTCTTTGTATCTCGTGTTGCTTACCGTTAATCTCCCGAACCTTCTGAATTGATTTATTTATAAATATGGCCTCTGTGCTATGACTTTTTTCTTTCTTTTACATATTTGAACATTTCCATTTTTTTAAATTTTAACCGACTTTAAATTCAATTCAATTCAATTCAATTATTTATTTGCCATCTAAGTTTACATTATATAAATAGGTGTTAGATTTATACAGAAACTTAGATCTTTTCCAGGCACTGCAAATTTTTTAATGGACACTGCTCATTTAATTAAGTTAATGAATATAGAAAATGAACACAAAATGAATATAATAAAAAGAAAGAAAAATGTTTCGAAAAAACAATATGGCTAGATTTAAAAATATAAAAAAAAAAAACAGCTAATTCCAATTAAAACTAAATTATACAAAACGATCAAAAGCAATTCGTTCGTGCATGTATGTTTGTGTGTGTGTGTGTGTGTGTATGTGTGTGTGTGTGTGTGTGTGTGTGTGTGTGTGTGTGTGTGAGTCACCATAGGGGCACAAATAGATTTTAGGTAAAATGTTAGTCAAACATATAAACATTTATTAAGGGGGGGTAATGATTTTCTATCCTCATTGCTCTAAATATTCTTTTACTGAATAAAACGGGTTTTGTTCTAAATAACATTTCAGTTTGGATGTAAACTTAGGCAATTCTGTTATATTCTTTATTTCATCTGGTAGTTTATTATGTATTTTAATTGCCATGTAGTATGGGCTATTGTTTAACCATTTTTAATCGAGAATGTGGTAAATATAATTTATTTTTATAACGTGTGTTAATGTTATGAGTATCTTTGATTTTTTTAAAGAAATGACTATTTTTGAATACAAAAAGACACAAATCTTTTATGTATAAGCATGGTAAAGTTAATATTTTAAGTTTTGTGAAATAAGGTCTACAGCTAGAATTGTTATCTATGTGTGCAAGTATCCTTATGCACTTTTTTTGGATGATAAATAGGTCCTGAGCGTCAACACTGTTGCCCCATAACATTACTCCATACATAAGCCATGAGTGGGCGTAGGCATAGTAAGCTGATAACGCGGTGGAAGTATCTGTAGAGCATTTAATTTGGAAGAGAGCATAGGTGAATTTGCATAATTTACTTTTTAAATAATCAATATGTGTTTTCCAATTTATATTTGAATCGATATTTAAACCAAGCAAATTAAATGAATCTACTTTTTCCAACTTTGTACCATTAAAATTTATACTGACATTTAATGATGGACTTTTATATGTTTTAAATTGCATAATTTTAGTTTTCTCATAATTTATCTCTAGGTTATGGTCTCCAAGCCAATTAGTAATAGTTTGTAAAGTGTTGTATGTAACAGAGTTATAGTCGGTATTATTTTCGCCTTTTATTAAAACAGATACATCGTCAGCGAACACAATAGTCAAGGTATTCTCATTATTTATTACTTTTGGTAGGTCGTTAATTTAGATCAAAAATAACAAACACCCCAAGACCGAACCCCGGGGAATAGAGCATGTAAGTTGTTGAATCTGGGATCGCACGGAAATAATTTCATTCTTTTCGTTATTTTTATGTTCATTTGGACTAATTGTTTTCTGTCTGAGAGGTATGACTGAAACCATTTATATGCCGGACCGCGAATTCCTGAGCCATGAAGTTTAGCTAGTAATATGTTATATTTGACTTTTTCGTATGCTTTTGTTAAGGTTCCCGTTTCTTAAGAACAGAATTCATTGGTATTTTCGCATTGGGTCCGCTCTCGTTTAACGTTATATATTCATTGGTATCGGACCTTGGACTCCGGAGATACTCCAGGGAACTCCTCAAAATTAAATAGTTCAGTGAGTGACGGATTCGAAGTAGGCTCAGTTAATTTGTAATATAAATGCAAACAAAAGACCTTCGCGCCGATGCGAGAAGTAGTTAATTGACCATTGATTACACTTAAATAACTGTATGAATGGGCAGGTCCGTTCGAGTAAGAACCACTACCTTACGGGAGGCCGACGTGAAGCGGAAGTGTTATACTTCTGCATCTCGTGATATATAATAAAAAATAATAACCGAATTGGGAACCTCCGCCTTTTTAAAGTCGGTTGAAATTGAAAAAAAAAAGGGGAAACGTTGAAATATGAAAAAGAAAAAAAAAATGATAGCACAGGGGCCATATTTACAAATGAACCAATTCAGAAGGATCGGAGATTAACGGGTAGCTAGACGACATACAAACAATACAGAAGTTAACTTGCTACCTTCTAACATGAAAAACCGCCAGGGAACGACCTGGCCCGCGTGCTGCGCTGGGGCTCCGGCTACACTGGCTACGAGGACCCGCTGTCGCTGCTGCGTGACGTCATCGACGCCGAGGAGATCCGCCTCGACCGCTGGACCGTGGTCTTCCACCCGGAGGACAAGCAGGACGAGCCCAAGGAGCTCTCCAAGCAGCTGCCCGGTCAGTGATGGCGATGTCCCAAGTAGGGACGTCGAAGACGTAATATCGATCTGTCGATATTTTCAGCCGATATCTTTTATGTATACAATTCTTCTGTACGTGTATCACTGAACTGTGTCTTCAGGTAGTTTCGAAAATGGTTTGGATTTACACAATTCGGTTATAAGTTGTTGTCGGATTTAAGTCGTGTGTACATGACAAACTCTGTCGGTACGCTAGTATTTTAATAAAATATAAATAAAAATTTAATAAAATATTTTACGACATATTTTTACACAACATTCTCTAGTCTTAAACTGAGCAAAGTTTGTATTATGGTTACTTGATAAATAATAAACATAATTAAACATACTTTTCTTTTGTAAATAAATATATATTACACGTATATTATAAACACCCAGAGTCTGAAAAATCACTGTTCCTCACACAATATTTTTCCGGAATCTGGGGATCGAATTTTTGGATTCATGTAGAAAAACGATTTTTTCAAATTCGAATCCGACACGGAGTCTGTAGATATCAATTTTTTTTTTCCCTACTATGGTTCCACTGTTACGTCAGTGATTTTGCCAATGACTTGGTACTTGGAGATCGACTAGGCTGAATTTAATACTTGACAAAGGCGTTTCTAACACCTATATCCGATATATCGATATTTTCTCTTCGATATTTCGAGGCCCATATTGGTTTAATAATAAATATCGATATATCTATAAATTTGTTCACTTTTGACATCCGTAGTCCGAAACTCACATTGGATTGTATTGAGATTGTCGACAATCGTCAGTACCGCATCGTGAACGAGGCTTAGAAAGAGACTGCTATTTATCTAGTGTAAAATATAATTTAGCTTTGAAATGGACGGGACATGGAAACCTGAATGTTTTCGAAACAATGAAAATATTTCGAAGATACACAATTGTCACGTCCTGCGAGCGAAGTGACCAGCGATCCGCTCAAATTGCAGCATCTGTGACCACAGGGTCGCAGAGCGAGGACAACTCCCAGATCCTCGTGATGAACAACTACTTCGGCATCGGCATAGACGCCGACCTCTGCCTCGACTTCCACAACGCGCGCGAGGAGAACCCAAACAAGTTCAACAGCAGGTCGGTATTGCTTCTTTCGATAAAGTTTTTTTTTTTTATGTCAAATGTTCTCGAAATTCATATCACGTGCTTGGCGTTGAAGGGAAACGTCGTAAGGAAACCTGATTTTTTTCGCAATAAGAAGAAGATAAAATGTATTTCGACGATGACGAGTGTGAAGTATGCCGCTGTAGGGTCACGTGGTAGACTGTGCCGTTTCATCATTTATCACAAAACTATATCATCCACCACAAACATTACTATAACATTTACCAAAACACAACAGTTTTTTTTTTTTCAGTTTTATCGTTTCCGGCAATAAAACTTGTTTTTACATAATACATTTCATGATAATTGCTTGTATTTACTCAATTACACATTACTAAGTGAAACTATATTTAATCAAAAGGGTTCGAAACTTCGGGAAATAAAATTAAAAACAAAGGCTATAAATCCGTACACATAGTTTAATTTAGTAATGATACATTTCACAGGAATAACCATAAAATATTTCTTTAGCAGACAACACTGCCCACACTGTGTATCTATTTATTTATTTACACTTTATGCACAATCTAGTACAAAGGCGATCTTAATGCCAAAGGCATTTTCTACCAGTCAACCTTAGGGTAGTGTAGAGATATCGAGGTAGGTGCACAGATATAACGTGTAAAACGATGAAAGGTTATTCACACGCTAAACAAAAATAACATAATATATATACAGCGTGTCGTTACAACGGCGACAATAAATGAACACACGTCTAACGCTACTTGCCAATAATCATAAAAAAATGATAACTTAAAAAATACATAATTAAACAAAATTTGTAACATCCTATTCAACTACAACTGACTGATTCATACATTCAGAGACTTTTTCATTCGTTGCCACAGCGTCGCATTACAAGCCTCTCCTTCTAACAGTATGTTTTGTCTCTTTTAAATTCATTCAACCCATTTATATGCTTTGTGACCTTTACAAATTAACTTTACGTTACAGTTTTATACGTAAGGGTGTTCTAAAATTGTTTGTTTTGGAAAATTTAATAACTCGGTAAATATTGATGTTTAAAGAATGAAAATTTTTAATACAACTATATGTGTGTTCATTTATTGTCGCGATTATGTCTTGATATATATGTATACACAGTGTAACATATACCTAATAATAAATATTAGGTTGTTAACATATAATATATAAAATAAAGCACAGATATTAACGACGAACTGATTCTGCTAAGAGTTGTTTAAGCAAATGCTCACGAACTTTGCTTTTAAAAGAAAAGCGGCTCTTGGCCAATCTGATTTCGAGAGGTAATGCATTCCACAGAAGGATGGGAATCCACTGAATAAAGAAAGAGGAGTGTAAGAAGTTTGAACGATGAGGGGATATAGTAAAGGACAATTATAGGTCGAGCGAAGGTTTTTATCATTTTTAGAAGAGAGATATTGAAAGTGAGGGTATAGATAAGATGGGGTAAAGGGAGAATCAATAAAAGAATAAAGAGCGGTTAGTGCTCTTAAGAACGTCGTTGGCGAATCGGTAACCACTGCAGTTGAGAACGGTATACCGACGCATGATCGTATTTACGAAGTATTTTTTATTATTTGTATACGTGTAGGTTGCGCAACAAGGGTGTGTACGTGAAGATGGGGCTCCGTAAGATGGTCGGTCGGAAAATGTGCAAAGACCTGCACAAGGCTGTGAGGCTCGAGGTGGACGGGAAGCCCGTGGAGCTCCCAGCGGTTGAGGGCATCATTATACTCAATATACTCAGGTAACTATGCCGTTTTGATAAAAATACAAAACACCAGAATAAAATAACCCTTTGGGGCTTCTAAGCCAGTAGGAACAGCTGAAACCTTCAGTTACTCGGGAACCCCCTCATCTATACTAATATAACCGTTTGACCCGACTGACTATTAAAGCACAGTAATGTCTATTTAAGTACTAGACTAGTCTAAAACGTTGACATTTTGTATATAGGTTCGGCATTCGGCGTTTTTGAAATTTCAAGTTATGGGGGATCTAATGTGGAGGGAAAACTTTGGATGATAACTATTGGTTTTTGGAATTTACTCGTAGAAACATGAAAGGTTCATTTACAGCTAATAATAATTGGATATTTACATTATACGGGGGGAAGAAAATCGAGCTGATATTTTGTATAGTGATGGATTTTTTAAAGGTATAGCATTGTAATTCTACCGTTTAAAAATTTTTATTAAAATAAGTAATATGAATATGGATTAATTATGGAATTTGCTGGCCGTATGAGGAAGCTCAAAGTGGCTCAGCGAGCTATGGAGCGGGCTATGCTCGGTATTTCTCTGCGTGATAGAGTTCGTAACGAAGACATCCGCAGTAGAACCAAGGTAATCGACATAGCTCAGAGGATTAGCAAGCTGAAGTGGCGATGGGCCGGCCATATAGCCCGTAAACCTGATAACCGTTGGGGAAGAAAGGTTCTCGAGTGGCAGCCTCGTACTGGCCATCGCAGTGTGGGACGACCCCCCACTAGATGGAGTGACGACCTGTGCAAATGTGCGGGAAGTCGATGGATGCAAGTGGCTCAGGATCGTACTTCATGGCAGTCTATGGGGGAGGCCTATGTTCAGCAGTGGACTTAAACAGGCTGAAATGATGATAATGATGATGATGATGGAATATTGAATGTAAATCCATAAACCAGTTCAGAGACAAGAAGAAATAAATCGATGTATCGATATATTTCTGCGCATTCGACATCCCTAATGCTTTACAGCTGGAGTGCATCGGTATATCGATATGTTCCTTCGCTTTCGACATCCCTGTCGCTCTTTATAGCTGGGGCTCCGGCGCCAACCCGTGGGGCCCGGAGAAGGACGACCAGTTCAACAAGCCGAACCACTGGGACGGCATGCTCGAGGTCGTGGGGGTCACGGGGGTGGTGCACCTCGGCCAGATACAGTCGGGGCTGCGCGGCGCCATGCGGATAGCGCAGGTTTCCACGCAAAGCTTTCTTTCTAACCGAGGGGTTGGCAAACCAGCTGGCGGTCCGCCTGACGTTAACAAACGCAATTCCCGTATTCGCAACGCCCGTACGGAAGCAGACGCGTTGCCGCCTTTTAATAAAGTGTAATATCCCACTCACAGAAGTATAATATTTGTGCAGAAGTATAATGCTTCCACCACACGCCGGTCTTCTACGAGGTCGTGGTAGTTACGCGTACGGACCTGCCCATTCGTTCAAGTGTCTGTGACTGTCGCGTGACCTTTTTCCCTACTCAACATTTCCCTTTCAAACATCTCTATAAAGTAGCTACAACTTTCACTGAAGTTAATACTTCCTCTTTTAAAAATCTGTCTATGAAAGCTGCAACTTCCGTTTAAGTCAGTCTGCCTTAAACATCTCTACAATGAAACAACTCAGATCTTCCACCACACCGTCCTAAAGCTCTTCTATAAAGTAGCTAGAACACGACGCACAATAACTGTTAATAAATTTTAAAGGGGCAATAATGTTTCGTCTTAAGTACTCCCTAATTTTGTGAAGATAGCATAAAGGAAGGATCTAAAAGTGCATTGTGCCTTTATGACGTCATCACTAACGGCAGTTATTTATTCTGCTTACAACCATCGACCTCTGGACGTTTACCATCAGCAATTACATCCTTGTTGGAGTATTATACACGTTTCATTAAATGTTACTATTCTTATCTGAGGGAATCTGCCGTGTGATGGTAACTTGAATTTATAATCAGAGTCTCAGCTGATTAATAACATATTTCCCCTGGAACGACGTGAGCTTAAGCACCGGCAGTGCACACCATCACATCTGTTAATATTTGGGATTTCGCTCATAATAGGTATACATCGAGACAGCTGTGTTAATTCAGAGAGAGTTCGACCAAGGCGGTTAATCGCGAGCACTAAGGGACACTGCGCGTGTTTCAGGGGGGGCACATTAAAATAAACCTGAAGAGCGAGATCCCGGTGCAGGTGGACGGCGAGCCGTGGGTCGCAGCGCCCAGCGAGGTGGTGGTCCTCAAGTCTGCCCTCAAGGTACAGCCCTCGCGTTCCACTGGTGCATGCCGCTTCACCTCACAGTGATAATTCCACGGCACATACAGGACAAAACTTTATGCGCCCCAGTCTATTGAGTTGGTGTTCACGGGTTTATGGAAACAGGGCGGTCGCCTTGCTCCGCACCTCGAATTAGCCCCCCCTCTCCCCCACAAATAAACTAGCTACTGTGATATTACATGACGAGCTCTGGGACGCATTAAAGTTTTGCGCGCGCTTTTCGTCACCGAAAGAGATTTTTTCGTATTTCCGACACGACTACGCAGCTATTTGCAAATGTTACATCACGCACTGCGCGTAATTGCTTTTGGACACTTGGTTTTTGAGGCACGAACATGGTATTTTTAGAGCTTATTCTATAAAATAAGTCTCAAACTGACACTACCTAAGCTTAGTTACTACTAATTGTTATTACAACGAAAGCATTATTTAGCTCGTCGATAGATCTTTAAAAACAACTGCATAGCTTGGTCAAAAATTTCGAATATCAGCACCGCTTTTGTCATTAATCGAATGTTTTTAACTGTTGTACTTATTGTGTCGTGTGTCTTGTGTGTGACAATTGCTTGACGTGTAAACCTGCGTTACAAAGTTTATAATGATCACCATTTTAAGAAATGATCCCTGTGACCGGAAAGATAATTATATTATAAGGTGAAAATTACTGACATGAACATATGAATCAATTCCAAAGAAATTATTAACACCTAAATTATTGTCAGGATTCGGCGGACCAAATATACATTATTAAAAGTTTTACGAACTTTTGAGAAAGAAAAAAAAATGGTTTGCTATGATTCGAAAAGAACAAATTGCTCACTTACGATAGGCAACAAACAAAACTTAACCAATTTTTCCTCTTGCTTGTTGTGAGATTCCCCATTAAGCTATTCACAGAAATGTGAAATAATTTGAAATCCAAGCTTGCATTATCACAAAAATAGGAAAGTACACAGACTGTTAAATGTTTTCCCGCGCTTTTTTCCCAGAGCAGCGCCGACCCCAGGCGCTTTATTTTATTATTATAAATCCCTTAGCGTTATCGTTATAACGTGATAATATGCTATTTTAAACATAAATTAAAAATTCGGCTTCTTCTGCCACAGATCTCTTATTTGTTTTTACTAAAAGATCTATAAGTAATAACGAGCAATTATTATAAATAAGGTTGTCCTATGTTTTAAAATGGTATTTTCCGTTATAGCGATATTCGATAACTTGGCGATGCTAAAATTTAAAAAAAAATTTTACCCCTTTTTGTTGCGCCTGTAAAACTGTAACACTCAATCTCTTAAGTTATTTTTTATATTTTATATCCTATCTATAATGTGCTTTACATTGATACATTACTCAGTGTAGCTCGTTATTATACGGTCACATGATATTTTAAGCCACTTTATAGAATAAAAGTATTTGTATTCATGTATACTATTTTCTGTAGTATATATTGCTCATTGTATTTTGTTGATGAGCCATATATACGTTTTTCAGACCCTTAGAGCTTTTTGCTTCATAAATACTTTGGTATAGTTAGGTATGTATATATCGTTGTTCGTAAACGTTTTCTGGCGCTCGTCACTTCGTGCCGGTCCCATCGCCTAGAGCCGGCGCTGCTCGAACAAACATTTTGCTTTAAATGTTCGCAAGTGAAAATGTTCGTTCAGTGGAAACGCGATCAGCTAGCCCAATTCGGTGTATACTGGCATTAAAGAATTTGAGTTGTATGTTCTTGAAATTGAACGCTTAGTATTTAAGCCGAAACGTGGGACTTACGTGCTTTGTTACTGTAAGGAAAAACATACTAATAAAAATTGTAAGTAGTAGTTGTAACAGTAAGATCGATATCTAACGTAATTTAAAAAAAAACACCGGACCATAAATTGTTTCACGCAATAACAGAATATTAAATATAAATTGCAATAATTTAATAAAATTCGATAAACTAATTTGAATAAAAATATTTTTATATCATACCTACATACAAATCGATCGATGACCTAAGCAAACAGTAAAATCGAACTTAATTCTTGAATTCAAATAATTGATCACATCGATCGCAATGAATGCGCCGCCATCTTGATATTGCGAACGCAACCAAATGGCGGCCGGCGCGGTTAGGGCTGTCAACGGTTAGGGCGCGTAAGTCCCGCGGCGCGGCACCGTGGCTGAGGTGCTGTGGCCGGCAGGCGACGATGCTGAAGAAAACGAAGCGCGGCTCGGGGTCCGCGGGCCCCGGCGGCCCGTAGCTGAGCGCGCGCTTCCGCAGGCCACGATGCTGAAGAAGCGCGGCAAGGTGCGCCGCCGCAGCACCGAGCCGAGCCTGCCGCCGCCGCCGCCGCCGCCCCCGCCCGACTCCTGAATCTGGCTCAGCGAGCGCCTCATCTGACGCCGCCCCGGGCTCAGGGCCGCGGAGGCGCTCGCACCCCTATCCGTAGACGTAGACAATTTCGGAAATGTAAATAATTTGACGCGAGAATAATAAAAAAAAACAACAACAACAAAATATTACTTATTACTTGGATGAAAAAAAAAAATAAATTTATAGTCACTAGTCGTTGTTTCATTTCTAGGCGGGTACAATTTGATGATGTGTATAAATAAACGTTTCAATATGTAAATAATGGTTTTTCTTTTCATTATCGCCTTGTCGTGTGTGAAAGATGTGGTGTGTGTTAGAAAATCCATCGTGATTGTGGAATGTCATAATCTATACGCGTAGCTGTAGAACAAACACACTTTTAGGTCTCTGTTACGATTTCATCCATGTACTACGGGTATGTTAATAGTACTTAACAGTTTCCTTTTTTTTACCTTCGCACATCTCAATTAAGCGCTCTCATAGAGCTTTTCAACCAAAGCTTTTCCACTTTAAAATTAGAATAACTAAGCTCTTAACTGTTAATATTTTATTATAGCTTTACGTTACTAATCATTTTTACGTCCTCATAATACATTTGTATAACAGTAGCTAGAATAGTTGATAAATATTACTTGTGGACTTCGCGACGATTCGCATTTATACCAGTGGCGGATTTGCCAACGAGCCAAACATTCGTAATGATCAATTTGTAAGGAAATGTGTTCTTAATCACTATCGTCTTGTATATATCTAAATCGGTATGGAAATTACTGGCCTAGTTTCGATCGATCTGTGAATCCCCCACTGGTTTAAATATATTGAAGATAACTAGATAATAACAATCGCTGCGTTAGCTGTTCATGTTAAATCCAGCTTCCGTTATATGAACAAACATAGTGTACTCTTTATTCGGTTAATACTATAACGTCATCAATTAGCAAACGTAGCAGTGTCATTCAAAATTCTAAGACCGATATTATATTATTGACGTATAGTTGGTTTTGTTGTCAAACTGTCTTGAGCCACGGCAGTAACTACGGAGAAACCCAACTAAAAAGTAGGTAACGTTTGATAACAATATAATAAATATAATAACAATAAAATTTGATAACAATATAATAAATCTGATCTCTTGAGGTTATCAGCGCATGCTCTAGATGTCGCTGAACCTTCTAACGTTACTAGAAATACATTTACAACCATAGAATTACCAATAAATCGTAAAACTATGAACGACATTTTGATGACATTGAAAACTATGTACAGGACATTGCATATAATTGTTAAGCCTTCCATAGAGATTAAACGATTATTAGATGATTATACCGTTGAAATTTGATCAGAGGTTATACTTCTTAAGGTGCGGTGAATTTTTAAAATATTATAAAAGGAAATATTTTATATTGTATAAATTCATTCGTATAATCACGCAGAAGTGTAATCTAATGCGTGTCCTTGAGTATAGACGCCTATGGTTTTGTAATAAAAAGGACTTCAACAATTGGCTTTTTGAAAGTAATAAAACTACTTAGTAAAATTTAAATATGTTTCTTTTGTATAAAAATAAGATGTATTTAAACGGAACCTGATATTTGTAATATTATTCCACGTGTATTTAAATAACAAATAGGATATTTAAATAACAAGGATATCTTATAGACTTAGGCAATTAATTTTATCTAATACATATTTATTACATAGCCATTGTACACAATAGGTTGTTATAAATATCTTGAAATATTGTACCTAAGAGAAAATTAATAACAATGTTATTTTAAAAATGTTTTTGTGTAAAATAAGTGTAATTTCTAATTTCTGTTATATCTACCAAAATAAATTTAAGAAATTAACGATTGCCTTTATTTTTTTTTCCTTCTCAAGGACAAATTTCATGACAAAAACATATAAGTTTTTGCAAATAAAAACTAATAAATAGCAGAAATATACAGGGTGTGCGCGGATCTTATTCCGGATAAAAACAGATCTAACAATAGATTTAAAAAGATCTATATTTTATTCAAATACATTTGACAAAATTCATTCAAAAAATTAGTTGTACTCTGTAATATCTTGTACTAAGCAAATATGGCTCTGTAATATGTTTAACTGTGATAGAGCCATGCAACACCTTCGTCCGGGTAAGTTCCACGACCTCACAGAAGACCGATGTGAAATGGAAGTGTTATTACCCATTATACCTCTGCATTTCGTCTCGTGATTAAGGTAGCCGGAGCCCACTTTAAAAGGTGGCAACGCATCTGCAACCCCAGGGGTGTTGCAAATGTCCATGGGCAACGGTTATCATTTAAAACGAGATGAACAGCGAGCTCGTTTGCCACCTTCTGACATTAAAAAAGGTTAATAGCGTAGCAGCAATGAAGCCGTGAGTTGGAGACGTGTCGGTTTTGCGATGCACCGTTCCCGAAAACGTGGCGCGGCTGGCTGCTGCTTGTTAAAGGCCTGCGAACTCGAGAAAGGTTCTTGCGCCCGGAGTGTAACATCGTGGGGGTTTTAGTCGGTGCGAAACCGACATTATCAATCCACAGCGAAACAATGCGTTAACTATGTACCCACGTACTAAAATAAAATAAGGCTCATCGGGGAAAGAATCACGGCGTGACAAAATACCGGCGTAAAGCCGAAGACGTAGTTAAGCCCTGGACGTGGTCATCATCGCCTATCTAACGTTAAAATCAAATTCCGGAATGCTTTCGACTCCAACTATAAAAGGGCTTCTCTCGCCTTAACAAATGCGAAACAACAGACAATGGGTTGTTGTTAACTGTCCACGCCATAGGCTCTTAGTGCTTTAAGGCTCCATTAATTCAATTGATTTATCAGCATATGGCAAACTCAACAGATTACTCGAGAGTAATACGTTATACTTCGAGAAGTATAACGTATTTAGGTGTCTGGCTCGGCTCTAGTGTCTGCAAGGCATTCGTATATTAGGATATAAGCCTGTACGAGATTAGAATAGGTCTGATACAGAGTAAGAACAACACGGTACCGGTCAATACCCGAATTACGACTTAACTTCTGACAGCGGATGGAAATCCGGTAATAATAGTACTCCAGAAGTTATTTACTCCTGGCATACTTCAAGGTAAAACGTAAAAAGCATGGCATAAAAGAGTATCGATGTTTTGCTTAGAATAGGAAAATAAGAAAACGACCAGAGAAAACGTTAGAGAAATATAAACCTACCACGCTCCTCAAATCGTCTCGAACGCAGGTTTGACGACTTTCAGCCTAACTACCCGGGTTCCGAAAAAACACTATTTCACCATAGACGACAGCCACATTCTCCGCCAGATTATATAATATTCTAAAGAGTAGAATTGGCAATTATGTCCAGTGCATAGATAAGACATATATACTGAAAGGTCCAGTGTCTGTGGACCATGCGGTCTTCGATTCCATAGAAACGTGGGTGGTATAGCATTCCCTTCGGCGATGCCATATCGACTATAAACGTGTCGAAGTGCTGAAGCATTTGTATAGAAACGCCATCATGTCTTTCGATCACTAAATGAGAACGCAAAGCAATACAATCGCAAAGAGGCGCGAGACAGGAAGAGGTTATTTTTCCAAAATTCCAAATTTTCAACTGCATAGAAGGTTGGAATGTGTTTGTTTTTATCTCTTGGGCTGGGAAAGATTCGGCATCAACATCAAGTGCGAATTCATCATTACCGACGATGGAAAAATAAAACAAACAATAATAATAAATTTAATTATTTTCCTTTTCAGAAAATTTAAGCATTCAAGTCAAGCGATAATCTTAATTTTTACATCACAAACTTGTCCATAATAATAAATTTTACACAAATATGGTTTAAATCTAATCACATCCTTTCAAGCTGTTAAACAAGTTATATATTAATAAGGTCGAAATGTAAAGCAGATTTAATTTTATTTAACTCGATACTTAACAATAGCTAGTTTTCGAGTAAAAAAAATTGAAGAAATTATTGTTACACATGACTGCACTTCCAGTTTATTTCAAATATAATTGGAACTTTTTAAAAAATATGCAATAAAAAAATATATAATTTTGGTCGTGTTACAATTTTTTGCATGAAAAATCTAGATGACTAATATTTGAAGCAAGAACTATATATAGCAGCTACAATTACAATATATAGCAGCTGTTACATGGCAACTGATGATTTTTTTTCTGACCATTAAAAAAAATTGCTCCAGGTTGGATTAGGAGAAATCCTTTTAAAATGTCACTCCCTAAACGAAGTGACACCTTTTTAGTGAAATAAAAAGGTTAATTATTAATTACATTTACGCTCTTATTGCATGTTTTACATTTACGTTAAAAGTAGTGTGTTCTTTTTCTTAGTTTTTAAACATATTTTAATGTTTCACAATCAGTCAATATTTTTTTTTTGCCAACAAAATATTTAAATGTGGTCCATATAAAAATATATATGAATTATCCAGACACTTTATTGCCCGAAAGATGTGCGCTTTTATATATTACAATTGAATGAAGACAGTTAGGAAAATATCAACTGTGACTGGAAAATTTTATATTCGCTGGGACGATAGAGTTTTTATTTAATTTTGTTCCTGTGCGAACTTTTCGTAACCTATTTATTTTTATAAAAGTCGATGTGTATGCATGTTTCGTATTTACTCTAAAACCCATTTTGAAGAAAATTCGATTGATTTGATGGAAATTCAGTGATATTTAAATAGTTAGCTCTACCTGTGCGAAGTTTTGACGGGTCATCGAATAAAAAAAGTCCCTTTTGTGATTTTGGTTGTTTCTATCAAAATATATGAATGCACGGTAAATAGTACATTAGTAATCGTCATCCCTTTAAATTAACTTACGAATTACTATACTACACTTATAAACGCAAGAACAGTTTCAACGAATAGAACCCTTACGAAGCATTCCGTCTTCTCAGGAGGGCATTACCTGAAATACGAAAAAATAAATAAAATTATTTCATAATTGAATTGAAGAAAATTATAAAGTAAAAAGTCTAATTAGCATGGAAGATACCACAAACTCGTCAAAAAGTAGATTTTTATTTTTAGTAGTTAAATAAATCTTATTACGGCCGCGCAGCAACCTTTGGTACCGAATAGGCAAGCTCCTCCGGGGAACTACCTCCTCACAGAAGACCCGCGTAAAGCGGAAGTATTATACATCTGCATTTCGACTTTACAGTGAGGTGATCAAGGCGTGGTTATGTTAAAAAGAGGCACTCAAGGGTGTGAGTTATCTACGGGTGGTGTTTGGCACTTAACATCAGGTACACCGCCAGGACGCCTGCCAAGGTGCATAAAACAAAGTAAAAAATATATAAACGGAACTTGCGTTAACTGTACAGCTTTGAGAGTGACAAATGTGTGTTAATATTCAAATTATACTAAAATAATGAAACAGTGAAAGTCTTATCTATTATAGTCTAGTATCCAGCAATATTTAATATCAGGCCATTTGTTAGCACCGAGTGTCGACTCTTTAGTTTGGGGAGACGGGAGGTGGCTCGTGACATCTGAGGGCACGTGGTCCCTTGTATGTGTGGGTACATGGTCCATGGCATGTCTGGGAACCGTTGAATGTGTGAGCACGTGGGCCGCGGAATGTGTGCAATTGTCCCGTTGCATGTGTGTGCACTTGGTTCTGGCATGTGTACTTGGCCCGTGAAATGTGTGGGAATATGGATACATGGGCATTGGCATAAGTGTGTACATGAGCAGTGGCGTGTATGGACACATGGCCCGTGGCATGTGTGCATACATGTGTCTTGGCGTGTATGAATAAATAGCCCGTGGTATGAGTGTGTACGTGGTATGTGGCATGTGTGGGTAAGTGGCCTGTGGCGTCTGTATTCATGGGCCGTGAGTGTGTACAACGACCATAGCGTGTGTGGATACATGAGCATTGGCGTGTGTGTGTAAATAAGCCTTTGCATGTGTGGATTCAACGGCGTTGCCATGTGTGCGTATACGGCTCGTGAAATGTGTGAGTATAGGACTGTGGCGTGTGTGGATACACGAGCATTGGCATGTGTGTATACAAGGACCGCGGCGTTTGTGGATACATGTTTGTTGGTATGTGTGTGTAATTAGGCTTTTGCACGTGTGTCTACAAGGACCGTGGCGTGTGCATACATGAGCATTGGCGTGTGTTTGTACATGGCCTGTGGCGTGTGTGTGTAATCGGCCCATGGTTTGTGTGTGTACATGGCCTGTGGCATGCGTTTATACGTAGCTCGTGGCGTGAGTTGATACATGGCATAGGCATGTGTGTATACAACGACGGTTACGTGTGTGTGTGTGTGTGTGTGTGTGTTCATGGCATGTGGCATGTGCGGGTCCGTGGCCCGTGGCGTGTGTGTACACGAGCGTGTGCGGGTGCGTACGCACGCGTGCGCGGCGAGCGGCGCGGCCGCCTCCGCGGTGTAGGCGCGCACGCGGCTGAAGGCGAACGGCGGGAACTTGGCGGGCGCCAGCTCGAACTGCGTCCACTGGTCGCGGCGCGAGGAGACCGCGTAGTGGCGCCACACCAGCTGCCAGTTGCGCCGCGAGCGCACGTCGCGCAGCTCCAGCTCCTGTTGCACGAGGTTCTTCTTCAGCTGATGTTTAGTGAATACCGCTGCCCATGGGCATCTGCTAGACCCGCGTTAGTAGGATTGACAACCTTTTGAGACGAAACGCGAAAGTATTATACTTCCACTTTACGCCTTCGCTTACGCTACGGTACACTTTACGCGCACTTACGCTTTGGGCGCCTTAGCTTTTTATATAGCCGCGATAGCTCATTGTACTGGCGTTCGCTGTTTAACCCTTTTTAACCGTACATATACAGCGTGTCGTTACCACCGCGACAATAAATGAACACACGCCTAACGCTACTTACCAGTAATCATAAAAAAATATTAACGTAAAACAAAATCCATAATTAAAAAAAAAATATTTTTCAAACAAACTAATTAAGTAAAAAAGAAACAAAATTTGTAACATCCTATACAACTCGCGCCACAGCGTCGCATTACAAGCCTCTCCTTCTAACAGTATGTTTTGTCTCTTTTAAATTCATTCAACCCATTCATATGCTTTGTGACCTTTACAAATGAACTTTAAGTTACATTTTATACGTAAGGGTGTTCTAAAATTGTTTGTTTTGGAAAATTTAATAACCCGGTAAATATTGATGTTTAAAGAAAGTAAACGTTTAATATAATTTTAAAAAGTTATCCTCTATATGTGTGTTCATTTATTGTCGCGGTGGTAACGACACGCTGTATACATTTTCTTCTGTATGTTCGCGGATAACTTCGTAGTTTATGAACCGATTTTGATGATGGCTTTTAAATTTCCATCGACGGTTAGTAATCAATAAATTACCAGAATCAGATTCAATTCTCCAAATTCCTCTTTTACGTTGGTAGGGCCACGCTGCAGCCTCGGCTGTTGCACGAATGGGCAGGCCCGTCCGGGTAAGTACCACAACCTCACAGAAGACCAGCGTAAAGTGGAAGTATGACAAATACTTTCGCGTTTCGTCTAGTGAGTGAGGTAGCCGGAGCCCAATTTTCAAAAGGTTGTCAACGCATCTGTAACCCTCGGGTGTGACAGATGTCCATGGGCGGCGGTATTCACTTAACACCAGATGAGCCGTCTGCTCGTTTGACAACTTTTTGCATAAAATAAATATAAATACAATTCTCAAAATCATTCTTAAAGTGAAATAATAACTTCGTCTGATACAGTTATCCACGCGCAGTTCCACTGAAGAATTGTTTCCAACAATGATTTTACAAACATGTCCTATTTTTCGCTTACATGCATTCCAACGCATTAAAAGCACATCTTTTCCAAAAACCTAATCAGCTGGGATTTTGGTACACATCTATTCAGTCATCCATATCTTTCTCTCTCCCTTCTCTCCATTCTCTTGATCCGCTTACGTCGTGCAAGAGCTCACCAGGTGGAATATCTGCTCCTGATGTTCGTGCGTCTCTTTCCTACGCGAGCGGAAACGCGTGTTGGTCGTCTGCGCCGGCTTCTTCTCGCTGGTCACTTTCTTAATAACTATCACAACCTGCAACCAGACAGTGGCTACAATACGTATAATATTAATGCGGAGAAGAGAAAAGGAGTCAATCTGATGATGATGATGATTATGGATGGATGATGGTGGTGATGGTAGTAGTGATGATGGTTATGATGATGACGATGATGGTGATGATGACGATGGCAGTGATGAGGATGGTGGTGATGATGATGGTGGTGGTGATGATGATGGTGATGGTGATGATTGTGGTGGTGATGGTGGTGGTGGTGGTTGTGATGGTGATGATGATGGTTACGATGATGACGGTGGTGATGATGATGGTAGTACCTTGTCACCGACGAGCCTGTAGTGGCCGGCCAGGATGCCGAGGGAGGGCTTGGCGGTGCGCTGCTTCAGCTGGGCCACGCACGAGGCTGGCTCCTCGGCCGTGGTCCACATCAGCACCAGGCCGTCGGGGAAGAACCTGTAAAAATAAAGTAACTTCCTCCTCTGTACAAAGGGATTAAAGGGCGGATTGGTAGACTTCACATATCTTTGAAATATTTATTTTGCTATTATTTCGAAAATATGCTGGTTCTATACTTTGGTAATATGCTCCTCACGATTTTTTCGTTCACCGCTGAGCACGTGATAAGTGAGCACTTAAAATTAACAATTTCATTGGTGCAACTCAGGTTTCTCGAGTAAATTGAATTAAAGGCCTACAGAATTACACTGAGCTATCACGGCTCAGTTCATCATCAGGAAGAACCTGTACAAATGTCCAATTCACACCCCGGTCCCCTTGACCTATCCCCCATAAGCCTTCGCAGCGGATCCGTTGGCACATTGACTTCTTAGCGGATCACATAATAATAATAATAATATTTTAGGACACACTTTTTCACATAACGTTCGTATCGAACTACGCCAATTGGGTTGTCTAATAATGTCTCTACTGACATTCTTACTTTACATTTTTATTTTTTCCTAATTTAACATAACATAGCATTAAAATCGCCTTTGTACAAACATTTTGGGATAAAAAAAACAAGATTTTTCAATCGATCCATCAATCAATATATCACATTACGTTACCAAAGAGTTTTATATTCAAAATTTAAAACAGGTTTTCATTAGTAATGTTTCTAACTAGCCAGTTGCTAAAAACTTTCAGTGTCACCCTGGTATAGGTTAAATAAATTATCTGGGGAATGTGTAATTGTAAAAAAATTAAAGTAAAGTAACAGCCTATAAATGTCCCACTGCTGGCCAAATGCCTCCTCTGTACCAGAGAGTATCAGGGCATAGTCATTTCACATATTTTCGAAATATTTTTTTGTTATTATTTCGAAAATATGCAGGTTTCCTCATGATGTTTTCCTTCACCGCCGAGCACGTGATAAGTTACCGGGGAGACACCGGGGATCGAACTCAGGTTGCCCGAGTAAATTGAATTAAAGGCGAGCGCCCGGACACTGAGCTACCACGGCTCTTTGTAACTGTAAAATACTTATTAAAAGTAACAATCGCACGGACCTGAGGTAGCGGTAGTAGTCGACCAGGTACCAGGGGCGGTACGAGTGGTCCTGGTAGGAGTTCTCCCCGTGGCGCAGGTAGGTGGTCTTGCTGATGTAGCAGCCGTTCAGCTGGATCCGGGGCCGCTCCACGTACATCTGGCGCCACGTGGCGAAGCCCTGCGCGCGCGGCACGCCGCACTCTATGCCCCAGGTCCTGGCAACACCGCGACACATGCTGTGGCCAGTCTGTGGCGGATTTGTAGTCTTGGCCGCCCTAGACCCCAGCCCATGTAGTAAGTTTCCAGCCTACCCTTTCTCAACGCCCATCATATATCTTGTTATCATCAGCGAACTTTTTGTCACGATTGGCCGCCCCTAACATGTGGCCGCCCTAGGCCCGGGCCTATTGAGCCTCAGGGCAAATTACAAATTACTTTATTTCCAAAAAAAATTCTACATTTATGCCTTATGAACTGACCCCCACACTAGGCTGTTGCCTGTCCTATGGGGGATAAATATTACGATCTACAGTTTCATTTGCGGATTTGAAATCCGCCAGTGTGTGGCCTTGGGTAGTAAGTTTTTTCTTGTGTGAGAAGGTGGCAAGAGAGCTCGCGGTTCACCTGATGTCAAGTGACGACCGCCGCCCATGAACATTTGCAACGCCCGTAGGTGCGTTGCCACTACTTAATGAAGTGGACACCGGCTACCTCACTCACTCACTCACTCACTCACTCGATCAGAAGACGAAACGCACTTCCACTTCACGCCCGTTTCCGTGCGGTTGTTGTAGTTAACCGGACGGACCTGCCCATCCGTGCAACAGCTGAAACTGTTACGTGGCCCTACCACAGTTAAACGACAATAAGTCCCAACGGCCACTGCGACGTAGAACATCTATTGCCCCCTACCATAGGATTATCCTGTATAGTAAGGACGTTTTGCATACATAAATTTCACGCGGACCATCAACCAGACCCGCAACAATAAAGTATGGGAATCTTAATATTTTTACTAGAATACTTAAATATTTTTTTATTCTAATTTTTAGTATTTGTTATTATAGCGGCAACAGAACTATATCATCTGCGAAAATTCTATCGACTACTATCAACTGTCTAAAGGCCCATTTACACGGTGCAAGTTTCTTGCCTGTTATATACAATTAAGAGAAGCAATAAATGAGTTGCATTGTCTAAACAGCACATAACATTCTTGACTGTTGAACAAGACTTGCTTCATGTTTTGTTTCAAAACTTTCCTTGGTGTAAACAGCACACACAATAATTTCGTAAGCAATTCTTGTATTCAATTGCATTCTCTCTTCCTTTGCAAAAATTAGTGCAATGAGTGAGGGTATTTAATCGTTGCTGTTCTTTTGAGGATAGAAATATTTAGAAAAGGTCGTAAAAAAATTTGGATAAAAATATAACTAAAAATATATGGATCATAATAAATAAATCTCAATGAAATATATTTAATCGGCATAATCTAACTTGAACACTTTGAGCCATTTTTTTTAAAAAAACAGGCCTTTGTAAAACGTTCAACACTTGCATGAAAAATTTGTCAACGCAAATACGTGCAATACTTGAAGCAACACGCCAATAAATTGTACACGCACATACAAGCATGTGTTTAGACAAGTCAAAACTTGTAAGCAATAATCGCCTAAACATAATTGCATTGGTGTAAACAAAAGACATTTGCAATTATTTCTTGTCAAGACTTGCATTCAATAATCGCATTCAATTTTTTTTACTATATCTGCGTGTAAACTGTTGCTTACAATTCTTGATGGTCAATTATTGCGTGCAACTTATTGCATTCAATTATTGCTCTTGTATGTACAAGAAAATGGCATCGTGTAAATGGGCCCTAACTATCACGGTTCATGAGATAGAGCCTGAGGCCTGGTGACAGACGGACAGACAGACAGCGGAGTCTTAGTAATTAGGGTCCCGTTCTACCCTTTGGTTACGGAACTCTTAAAAACGTGGGTCGTGTTGATACATCGTAGCGGCACCTAATATACTCGAAGAAGTTTGCTCAAGTAATTTTATACAGCGTCGCGTTACCATCGCGACAATAAATGAACACACATATAGGGGATAACTTTTTAAAGTTGTATTAGACATTTAAATTCTTTAAACATCAATATTTACAGAGTTATTAAATTTTACAAAACAAAGACTTTTAGAACACCCTTACCTATAAAAGCGTAACGTAAAGTTCATCTGTAAAGGTCACAAAGCTTATGAATGGGTTGAATGAATTTAAAAGAGACAAAACATACTGTTAGAAGGAGAGGCTTGTAATGCGACGCTGTGGCGCGACTTGTATAGGATGTTACAAATTTTGTTTCTTTTTTACTTAATTAGTTTGTTTGAAAAATATTTTTTTTTAATTATGGATTTTGTTTAACGTTAATATTTTTTTTTTGATTATTGGCAAGTACCGTTAGACGTGTGTTCATTCAGGTAGACAGGTAACGACACGCTGTATAAGAAAAACTAGTGTAGAGAATATATGTATATCCGCTAACTTGACGCAAAGCGACCGCCAGATGTCGTTCTCGCGCGCGGCAAGGTACAGGCCCCGGCAGGTGGCGGATATCCTCTCCAGGGTGACAGCGTCCAGGTCGGAGCTGACTGCCCAACGGAGCACCAGCTGTACTACCTCGTACGGCAGCCACGATATGTGAGCACCCTGTAACCATATTCATAAAAAGTAAAGTAACAGCCTATATACATGTCCCGCTGCTCAGCGTAGGCCTCCTCTGTACAGAGGTTATCAGGGCATAGTACACCATGCGGCCTAAGTGCGGATTGGCGGACTTCAAATATCTCCGAAATTTTTGTTTTTTGTAACAAGTTATGTCGAAAATATGCAGGTTCCCTTCACTGCTGAGCTCGTGATAAGTCGGCATTTAAAATTATTAATGGTGTTGTAGATGTCCATGGGCGGCGGTGATCACTTAATATCAGGTGAACAGCCTGCTTGTTTGATAACTTTTCACATAGAAATGTTTCAAAGTAGGCCTTTCGCTAAAACAGCCAAATAATCTAAACAATTTTTACATAACTTTTTTCTTCTCAGTGTGTATATTTAAAGGGATAATGCTAAAAACAATATAAATTCTGGTAACTATTTGACGTATTTTTTCTTGCTATATTTGATTCAAATAAAATGGAAAGGTAATGGACCGATCAGTGAATAAAGTTTGATTAAAAAACGTTTCTACCCTATTAACATTAGTAAAAAAAATTACAAGAAAGCCCCCATGCACACCATATTCGCCAATTCGCTAAGCCACACAGCTGCTAGCGCTAACTTTAACTTCAAAGCCAACATTAAATTTGGCGCAGTCATTACCATAAATTAAAATATATTAGAAGAACCTCTCAATCTGACAAAAACAAACTTTTATAATCTATATGATAACGAGTTAAAGCCAGCCTTCTCACCCTGGGAGGAAATTCTGGATGGCACAGTGTGCCCTTCTTCGCAAGAATTCTCTGCAGATGTGTCACTAGGTCCTCGCCTTCGATCATTTCATCATCACTATCCACATCTTCCACTTGTCTAACCTCTTCTACTACCAGCTCCTCTAAAATTTAAGTGAAATAATATTACACAACGAACTGTGGAAAAATTTATAATTATATTTATTTCAATGTATGGAATCAAAGTTTCACATAACCATGGAAGGCCAAATCTGAAAGCATTTTATTTATCCAAGACATACCTATAGGAGATTCGGCTCTTTGTTCTGAGCTCTCATAAAGTCTAGTCTCCACATCCGGTATAATTTGCATTGAACGTTTATAGTGCTGTATTGCTTCATACAACTTTCCACTACGCTCTAACTCAACACCGCGAAGGAACAATTGCTTTGCCTGGGAAAGTAAACAAATTTTATGCTATAGGTATTTATTCTATTAGGTATTATTCATAATATTCAAATTATTACTTAAATGAAAAGTAATTATATAGCATTCTGATAATTAAATGCATTAATAGAATGAAGATGTTTCATTCAAAGAGCTAATTTAATAAATATAAATAAATAAAAAACCTTTTCTTCATCAGTAAGACTTTCTTCTGGTTCCAACTTGGCTTGCTGGTGAGGAGAGTCCTTATGAGGTGATGGGGTGGTCTCTAGTTCACGCTGCCATTGTTGTCTAAATGCCGCTAACTCATCATCTCCATCACTTGTCTGTAAAACACCAATGTAAAACATACAAAATCAACATAAAACTTGGCAATGAAAATTTTTAGGATAAGTTTTTATAGGATTACTTATTTTGCTTCTACAAAACTGTATATCCAAATTATATTTAATTTTAATGTTAAATGTTTATCACGGTAAATTTTAACAGTGTTAAAAATGATTACACATTATTCATTATTCTAAAGTAATTATTTGAAATTTATTCAATAGAATCAAACCAAATATATAAATTGCATTAATTTTACAATTCATCATATGAAAGAAAAATATTATTAAGTAATATATAATGTTAGAGTTAGTAATATATAATAATAACCTGGACATTAGCTACGCTCAACTTCTCTAAAGCATCCCGGGCTTCTAAGAGTTCATTTGTAAGAGTGGAAGAAGAATCATCGTTCTCCTCACTTGGTGCTGATGCCTGGAAAGAAATATAAAACTTCCAATAAATATGGAATTCAATATAACGTAAGTATCTCCAAAATAAGTATTACTTTTTTTAACGTGTTAAATTAAGTGTTAAAGTTAACGTGTGAAAATCAGTTTAAATGTATTTATTTATACTTTTCAAGAGTAGCAGTAAATAAAAGATAACAGTTATTTCTGTTCTTTCGATCATTTAAATTAATATAAACATTATAAAAAATTAAGAAAAATAACCAACAATATTTTCTATTTCCATAAAAACCTTTACTAAAACAATCATTTATAAATTGGAAGATCATAACACTTACCATTTATAATAATACAAAAGTGATGTGTAAAACTCGATAATGTATGTTATCCGTTCAATCCATCCTTTTTTGCGCTTTTTTACCTGGTACAGAATGAGGTGAAAATAGAACACGAAATAATTCCTATACCTGATAATAACATAACATACTTAAGTAATATGTATGCCAAATCTGAATTGTCAATCAGTCAATTGTCAAAAATCAAAATATCACTGGTTTGCCAAATGCCAGTCTATGTCTAGGCTCCGCCCTATTTCGATAATAATTTTGACAGATCGCGATAGGGATGGGGTAGTGTAATAATCTGTATAGTTCTGCAATGAATATAAGTTAATGCGATTACCGGGCCATAAAATCCAAAAAAAAAAATATAAGTTAACACCGACAAAGCCATTGGGTACTATAGTACCACCAAAATAAGTTTACAATACAATACAAGTAAGTTTTTAAAGTTTTTTTTACCCAGAAACGGGTACTCAGCCTTCCTGCATATCGCGATATCTCTCAGTCTGCGCGACGTCGCGTCGTGGAGTATATGTGTTCTGTGGTCGTGTACTACCACATCCTTAAATCAGCTAAGATATAGTAAGTACGAAGCAAATCTATGCGTCACGTCTTCTCTTTTGCACGCAAAATTAAAGCCACCTAATTTATACAAATTGTTTTAATGTGTATATTGTGTAATAAAGTTTGTACAAAATATAAATAATCCAAAGTCTAATGTCTTGTGTAATAAAAAAATATAAATAATAAAGTGATAATATTACATATTAAACTTGAACATTTTGAACAAATATAAATTGTGATTTAAGCAAGTTCCTTAGTGCCATTAAATTTTTTTTTTCGATTTATGGCCCGGTATCAATGCCATTAAATTTCCTCTTTTCTTCCATGTAAAAAAACGTAAATTCTTAAACGTAGTGATTACATTCTCTTTGGTGATTACATTCTCTTTGTTTTCTTCTGTGACATTTTGTTCCCTTTTATCAAATTATGAAAAATGATAATTTGCCTTCAAAATGGAAAGAAATCAAGGTAAAATTGCGCTACATATTATTAGTTTTCTGTTATTATAGTTGAAGCCATAATTGTCCGAGCCCTTTCAACTTAATATACTCAAGCAACCAGAGTTCAAATCTCGGTGCCAGCACCAAAGAAATTGTTGGTTTTAAGCACTGATATTATATACAAAAAAAATATTGAAACAACATGGATTTAAGTGCTGAATTATGACGTGCTCAGCGGTAAAGGAAAATGTCGTTAGGAAGTATGTTTTCAAATTTATTTTTCGTTAGGGTATATATTTTCAAAATAATAAAAATATTTCGAAGATAATATGTGAAGTCTGCCAAACCGCAGTGGGTTAAATGAATTAGCAATTAAATTAGTTTCGTGTATCAACTATTAAATGTTTACACAATGTAGGTCTAGGTTCCGAGGGTCCCTCAATAGGCAAAGAAAAGAAATCATTTAAATGTTCGCTGTGCATGACAAAATTATTCACTGTATCCCCAAGACACCCGAAGTCTTTCAAAAGTTTCAGAAGCTACGCAGAACTAATAGTCGAAAGGCACAGACAAATTATTGAAGGCGGAAATAGCATTGTGCATCCCTATAGTCTATTCAGGTACGTTCTATAATACTTCATACAAAAAATCAACGTCTTGTGTGCGTTGTATGCACTGCCATACCGTTCGTACAATGTTTAACAATTGCCGCCGTCCATGCATAACTATAACACCTGTACGCTTGTGCTACCTCACTCAACAGACGAAGCGCAACACGACGGTAGTACAACACTTTGCACCCGTCTGCTGTGAAGCCGTGGTACTTCCCGATGATCCTACACATCCAATAGTGATGCAGTGTTGTGATTGTTGAAGACACTGGCTGAAGATTTTTACTACATCATAGAGTTGTATTAGCGTTAGTCCTTCATTTGCAGCTATGCTCAATACTGAACGTATTGTAGCCATTTTGGCAACTGGACTAAATGTCTCTTCGTAGTCAATGCCTTTCCTTTGTGTATAGCGACGAGCTACAAGCCTTGCTTTAAATTTATCAAGAGATCCATCAGCGTTTGTTTTAGTTTTGTATACCCATTTGCATGAAACTGGCTTTCTGCCTTTAGGTAGTGGCACTAAAATCCAAGTTTTCATCTCCTTAAGTGATTTCATTTCACTATTCATAGCTTGAATCCATTGGTTCTTTTCTGGACTTGCAAGGGCTTCTTTATATGTCTTTGGATCTTCACCACTTGATAAAATATTTGCGGCAGACATCAAAACATAATCATCATATCGAACTGGTGGTCGTAGTTGAGATCTATCCCTCAATTGCATTCTCGATTCAACAGGTATCTCATCTTCATGTATATCATATTCAGAGATTTGTTCGTCATTTAAATCTTCATGCTCATTTACAGTTTGGTCAGGTAAATCATTAAATGTTTGAGGCACATCGCAAGTGGGTTCAATGTGAACTTCAGATATTGGCAGATTAAATTCTGGCTCGCTTTGTTTCTCACGTTCTTCCTCCCTTGCTTCATACATTTTATGATTGTCGTTGTTTGAAGATAGCTCTATTTCAATAGAAGATTCTTCAAAAACTTCAGGTTCCTCGAGACCAATAGATTTAATGACATTTTCATTGAACTGAACATCTCTAGATCTGATCAAAATATATTTTCCATTTTGTTCACGTTTTAGAAGACGGTAACCATCATCTCCATCATAGCCAATCAATATACATCTTTCAGCTTTCTTGGACATCTTTTTTCGCTTCTGTTTAGGAACATGTGCATAGCATTCTGAGCCAATTATTCTCAGATGTTTGATTGATGGCTTCCTATTAAACCAGAGTTCATATGGAGATTTATTTGGTACTGGAGTAGGTCCAGTCCTGTTGAGGATGTACGTCGCAGTTGATATTAATTCAGCCCAGGTGGCAACGGGTGATTGTTGAGCGTGCATCATACTTCTGGCGGCCTCGACTAATGTCCGGTTTTCACGCTCACTGCTTCCATTTTGTTGCGGCGTATACGGCATTGTAAGTCTTTGAGATGTACCTTCCTGTCGAAGTATTTTTCTCACTTTCTCATTGTCAAATTCTCCTCCATTGTCCGAGATGATCTCTTTAACTGAAAATTCGGCCACTTTATATTCTTGTAGTACTTGCTGTAGTTTCAAATGTACTTCAGACTTATGTTTGATACAAAATACATGACGATATTTGGTAAAATCATCGTTGAATATTACGAAGTACTTATTTTTGTTGAAGGATTCCGGAAAAGGTCCACAAACGTCAGTATGAATGACCTCTCCTGGTGTCTTAGCTCGTTCTCTAGTCCCAAATTTTCGTCTGTGCATTTTTCCATAAATACAGCCAGTGCATAATTCAGAATCCAGATTAACTTTGAGTCCAAGCTCGTGTTCAATAACCTTCTTAACATGCCTTTTACTTTGGTGGGCAAACCTTTCATGATAAAGTTGCAGGACGTTATCAGTTGCTTCAACAGTGTTTAAGTTAGGAGCGATGTTTGTTAAACATTGAATATTTAACTTGTACAGCCCTCCGTTTTTCACTCGTTTTCCAACTAATTTAACTTTGCCGTTCACTTTCAAATAACAAACTTCTCTCTTTGATATGAATTTGCTTTTGTCTAACATGTCTTGTGCAGCGAGAACTGAGAAGAGATTTCTTTTAATTTCAGGAACATACCAGACACATGATGTCTAATGTTTAACTTTTTACCGTGTACAGTGGAAATTATATCAACCGCTCCTTTTCCAATAGCTTTAATCGTACCACTTGCTGTTGTCACTGTGTTATCTTGTTTGAAGTATTCAAAAGTGACAAAAATGTCGTTGCGAAAGGTGACTTGATGAGTGGGACCATTGTCGACATACCAATTATTTGGATCTTCAACTACAGTATTCATAGCTCGGCTTGTAGTGATTTGCATTGCCAAAAGGTTCGTTTGGTTGGTATTTTAGGAGACTGTTGGCTTGGGAGGTCTTCCCGCAGAAATCCATTTTAAGCAGTTCTTTATTTTATGTCCAATTTGTTTACAATATGGGCATTTCAGCTTCTTTCCTTTCCGTTTGACATCATCTCTATTGCTTGAAGTCACTAAAGCTTCAGCAGCTGTGTCTTCATTTTTGCAAAGTAATGCTTTTTCATGTGCGCATAGTTGAGACGTAAGACTTTCTACAGTACGATTCTTCTTCGACAGTAAAATCCAACTCGACTTGAATGAGAAATAGGCTTCCAGTAATGTGTTAAGTATTTTGCATATTAACAATATATCCGTGAGGTCAGACTTCTCATCTTTAACTAGTTCAGTCTTCAATTCAAACCAGAGGTTCTTGATCTTAGACAGATGGGTAGTCATGTCGTGTTCAGGATTCTTTTTGTAACTGAAGAATTGCATACATAAATCATACAATCGGTCTTCGGAAGTTCCATCATAGAGGCGGTGAAGCTCGTCCCAAACTTCTTGAGCAGTACGAAATCTCACAATTTTCTGTACATTTTCATCAGACATATTTGCTGTGAGTACCAGCTGTGCTGCGCAGTCAATTTCATGATACTTCTTAAGAGCTTTTTGATAAGCAGCCCTTGCTTCCTCTGACGCAGAATCATTGTCAGATAGCACTGGCTTCTTTAAGGTACCATTTATTGCTCGTTCCAAATCATTTGCCGAACCTCGAAGCAGTAGAATTACCTTATGTTTCCAGGTTGACCAGTTTGCAGCACATTCCAACAATTTGCAGCCCACCAAAGTAAAAGGCATGTTAAGAAGGTTATTGAACACGAGCTTGGACTCAAAGTTAATCTGGATTCTGAATTATGCACTGGCTGTATTTATGGAAAAATTCACAGACGAAAATTTGGGACTAGAGAACGAGCTAAGACACCAGGAGAGTTCATTCATACTGACGTTTGTGGACCTTTTCCGGAATCCTTAAACAAATCTCTGAATATGATATACATGAAGATGAGATACCTGTTGAATCGAGAATGCAATTGAGAGATAGATCTCAACTACGACCACCAGTTCGATATGATGATTATGTTTTGATGTCTGCCGCAAATATTTTATCAAGTGGTGAAGATCCAAAGACACATATAGAGAAGCCCTTGCAAGTCCAGAAAAGAACCAATGGATTCAAGCTATGAATAGTGAAATGAAATCACTTAAGGAGATGAAAACTTGGATTTTAGTGCCACTACCTAAAGGCAGAAAGCCAGTTTCATGCAAATGGGTATACAAAACTAAAACAAACCCTGATGGATCTCTTGATAAATTTAAAGCAGGCTTTTAGCTCGTGGCTATACACAAATGAAAGGCATTGACTACGAAGAGACATTTAGTCCAGTTGCCAAAATGGCTACAATACGTTCAGTATTGAGCATAGCTGCAAATGAAGGACTAACGCTAATACAATTCGACGTGTCAACAGCTTTTCTGAATGGATCGTTATCTGAAGAAATCTTCATGAAACAACCTGAGGGTTATAATGATGGTTCAAATAACGTATGCAATCTTATGAGAAGCCTTTATGGTTTTAAAACAAGCGCCACGGTGCTGGAACAAATGCATCGTTGACTATCTAACATCTATTAACTTCAAGCAATGTGATAATGATAACTGTCTGTTTATAAGAAACACCAGGAATTCTAAAATCATATTGGTGTTATATGTTGATGATGGTCTTGTTGCTTCAAGTAATCCACAAGAATCAAAAAGATTTATGAAAGAGCTGACACGACGTTTCCAACTAACGATCAAACTAGCAACCTACTTTCTTGGTCTCGAAATCACAAAAACAGAGTATAGTGTTAAACTTTCTCAAAAGCACTATACTGAAAAGCTCTTAATACGTTTTGGGATGAGTGACTGTAAAACAGTTACAACGCCTATTGTCAAAGAAGATATGAATGATTTGGAAGAAGAGTCAATAGATGGAAATACATTTCCTTATAGAGAAGCTGTAGGAGCCTTGGCCTACCTTATGGTTGGAAGTAGACCAGATTTAGCTTATTCTATTAGTGTGGTATCCAGAGCATTAGATAAGCCCACACCTGCAGACGTTTTAAGGGTCAAGAGAATTTTGAGATACACACTGGCTGAAGATTTTTACTACATCATAGAGTTGTTTTGAGTGTCATTGTTCTTTTGTTAATGTATGTTCTTTTCTGTGACCAATATTCAATAAATCCTTAAATCGGACCTTAATAGTGATGTAGTGTTGTCTCAAAGCACATACAATTCTAATCATAGTATATGGGCGACGGGTGCATAGGTTCGAATACCAACTTCGACAGCCCGTATCTGACAACCCCTTCAATTAGCGCAGGGTCGGCCTTACTCGCCCAAAAGTTTCGGCTGCCTCTACATTTAATGTAGGATAAGTTAATATCTACAATTCACCCTCTTAAGAAGTAAAACTTTCATAGAAATACGAGGGAAGAGTCGTAGTCATTTGTGATGAAAAGTAATCTCACAAACAGGTAGACAACATTAAAAAATGTCACTATATTTTTACCACCATTTTACGTTGGTAGGGCCACGCAGCAGCCTCGGCTGTTGCACGTCCGGGTATGTACCACGACCTCACAGAAGACCAGCGTAAAGTGGAAGTATGACACAAATACTTTCGCGTTTAGTCCGGTGAGTGAGGTAGCCGGATCCCAATTTTCAAGAAATTGTCAACGCATCTGTAACCCTCGGGTGTAGCAGATGTCCATGGGCGGCGGTATTCACTTAACATCAGGTGAACCATCTGCTCTTTTGGCTAATTTTCACATAAAAAAAATACTATCAATATAATTTCTGGGTCACGTTACAAATCTTTGAATCCCATGGGTGTGTTTTATGACCATGGGCATCTATATGAGGGTAAATTATACAATATTTAACTCCCATTCAACACCTTACGTACGTTCTAAAAACTACAACCATTACGTGAAGTATTTTACGTTCGGACAGGAATAATTTATCAAATTCTCAACTGCTTCGTTTTTAAGCCCATATTGAATAAGAATTAATGGGGCTAAAATATATTTTCTATTAACAACTAGAATGTTTGATTTTAATTGTTAATAGAAAATATCTTTTAGCCTGTACTGGAACAGCATTATGATCGTTGTCAACATTGCTCACATGATATGCTCGAGCCTACGTCTCTGCTTCATTTTGGAATCGGCGGCTGGTCCGAAACTACACTCCATGGACTATGCACTGCTCGGGATGAATTTGATCTGCTTCATTGATATCTACGTCCGGTTCAACACTGGTTACAGATGTGATGAAACGCACATCGTGGTGAACAGACGACGCATCATTTGGTGAGGGAACCAGTACGAATCAATAGGCACCCACACTAATTTTTAATAATAACACTTTTTTTATATAACACTTGTTGACTCCGTGGCGCAGTCGCCAAGGTGTCGGCTTCGGCGTCGGGGGTCGTGGGTTCGATTCCCACACGGGACAACTATTTGTGTGACCCACAGATAGTTGTTCCGCATCTGGGTGTTTGTCCGCGTGAAATTTATGTTTGTAAAAACGTCCTTACAACACAGGATAATGTTATCCCAAAGTAAGGGCAATGTTTTTAAAAAAAAAAGAAAAAGAAAAACACTTTTTTTAATTATACGTATTTTAATTTTTCGTGTCAATTATATGCCTCCTTGATATTTTTTAAATTCAGAGACACTCGTCGGAGTGACTCTCAATTTAAAAAATATCGAGATCAATTTAAAAATTTTAGTGACTTGTTTTCCTCATTTGAAGAGATAGTCGTTTATTAAATAATTTTATTTGATCCTCCGATAAAATAAAAATTATGGCACAAAAACATATCGCTTGAAGTGAATTTGCATTTTAAAATTATCATAAATTGTGTACTTTACCTTTTTGCAGAGTTAACCTTTATTAGTTTTAGACTTATCTGCTTTCTTTTACATTAAAACTGTTCTCTTCATTGTAAACTACTGTGGGTGGACCTAAATAAATAAGCCTTAACTTTAATCTTTTCAGGCATTACTTGCGTGGCTGGTTTACTATCGACTTGATCTCATGTCTACCAGTGGCTTACATCCTCCTCAATACGAGGTTGCACTCCTACAGGTACCTCCTCATGGGGCATCTCATGTCGATACTTCGAGTGCTGAGGCTAGCAACTGTCGTGCGCAATTTGAAGACATTTATGCTGGTATTCATGGTTCCTACGTCTTATTTTTTTTATGACTGTGTAGTTTGCTGTTAGCCGGGCGGCATTGACAGCTTCGGGGGAAGAGGTCCGTGGGCAGACGACCCGCGGACTAGGGAGAACAACGTAGCTGGTGCACGGTGAGGACACGACGACGCCATCCGCTCCACTGCAATCCGCAACAACACCCTGCTAACGAAAGATGGACAATTGACAAACGTAGTGAGGGGGGGGGGGACACGTTCCAAGGGCCCCTCAGAGGTAGGAATAAGGTTGAAATTGCGATTTAATGAGACCGTACCTTTCGGTGAAATATTTATTGTACGATGTATGATAATCACTAGGTGGTGCCATGCATTGTTAAAAATGTAAATTAAAAGCAGACTAACTAGAATTTATGGGCACATTATACAGAAAACGCTGGTACGAATTCTGGTGCAACGAAAGTTGTTGGTTAAACTAAGTTTCGTCTTAAGCACAGACTAGCAGTAAACTTTTATAATAATCATAAATTATAAGGCAGTGTAACGGAACGTGTGAAAGCATGGTTTATTTTTATTTTTATATTTTGTGTACAATAAATATATAAAATATTTATTGTACACAAAACACAAGATACAAAAAAAATGAAAAACATAAATAATGTACAAAAGGTAAGCATGAGCTCTCTTCTCTGGTGAGAAAAATATGTGATTGAAGGTAGCTGGAAATGTGTTCAGTTCACATATCTAGCCGGTATTTTGTGTGAGAAGGATGGATTTAGGGACAAAAATCTATCAGTAAGACGTCAACACATTTCTAAAAATAGTTGCCCATGATTCAAAAGCTCAATAACTTGATGAAATAGCTTATTGTCTTCGTTCAGATTTTCACAGACTCGTATATCTGGCTTCGCATCATTCGCCACATCGTACTGCTTGGATTCTCAGTTCACTACTCGAACTGCATCATTTATATGCTGCCGGTACTGACATACTACTGTGAGTTGAATGAATTTTTCTGTGTGGGTGGGGTAATAAAAAGGTTTACGTCCTATTCTTAAAGCCGCGGCTGGTGACAAGAGAGCTGGTTCTTTTCTCGCTCAAAGTTTAAGCATAACTATTCAGCGAGTGAATACAGGTGGCGTTCTTGGCACCATGCCGCGTGGGTTTATTAGATAATATGTAATTTTAGATAGATTTAATGTTGAAAATTTTGAATAAGTAAATGGTTGAATTAAATTAGATTTCTAACTATGAGAATGTTGAGAAACGTTTGCAATTAATTATCATTATAATTATACTCTCGTATCGATTGCAAGATGTGATTTGTATCCGATGCCTTAATTCTTTGTATCAAAAAACAAATGTCTATAGTGGTTAACCGGTTATCATCTATTAGACCGTGGCCTCGTATCACAACTTTGATAAACTACTACGTCTCCTCGAGATACGTGCGAGCTTTGCAAAGATGAACATGACCAAAGCCTATGTGTATTAGTGAATCATTTATTTATTTAAAAAAAACTGTTAGAAAACCTAAACGAGAAATTACAAACGCTTACAACTGGTCTCTTGCTCAACCACCCGTGACAAAAAGTCTTTTTCTTTCACCCTTATCCCATTCAGTTGGAGTACATTTTATGAACCATGTTGTTATTTTTATTGGCTAGGTTTTTATAACTAACACCCAAATCCTGTTCAAATATATCGACGACGATTGGCGTAGTGAATGGTGGACTGCCCGGTAGCGTCAGAGGGTGTGGGTTCGATCCCCACTAGTTTGTTTTTCTAGTGTCTAGGTGTTTATATATCTATTAAATGTATTTATTTATAAAAGAAAATTTTACCTAGTACCCATTATACAAGCTTTGCTTACTTTGGGTCTGGATAACGTTTTGTAAAAATATATGTCCTGAAATTTATTTATAGTACTTGAACCCAATTATTTCCTAATGCGGAAGACATTTTTGTCAATTAAAAATTATTTCACACCTCAGGGAACGGGGAGATATGCGACAAATATGCGCTGTTCTTAACGTCAATAAACCCCGACTTGACAGCGTTTCCCTGCACCGTGAGATATAACAAAGCACTGTTCATAACCGTGTCGGCCTTGGTCGGTTAGTTGTTTTTTTTTTGTGATAAAGTGGCAAACCAGCTGGCGTACCACCTGATGTTAAGTGATAACCGCCGCCAGGTGGAAACGCGCTTTACAACACCGTTGGGTTGCAAACGCGTTTCCACCTTTTAATAAAGTGGGCCCCGACTACCTCATTCACCAGACGAAACGCAGAAGTGTAACACTTCTACTTCACGCCGGTCTTCTGCGAGGTCGGGACACTAACCCGAACGGACCTGCCCATTCGTGCTAAAGCGAACACTGTTACGTGGCCCTGCTACAGTAAATGTTTACTTCGAGATACTAAACTTGTAACGTGTATCTAGTAATTTGCAAGCTGGAAGTGAAATCTTAAGAGATGCACCAATGTTATGCGGGATTTCTCTTGCAAAGCTCATTGCTTGAGTATTGATTCAATTTGATTATTAACTCTTCTATTGAGAAGTGTGACAGATCCTGTCACCTCTTATGCCCGGTTCCTATATTCAACGGCCGTTACTTACATAAGTTATTAGTTACATAGTTAGGTTTATGGGGGGTATTACGGCATAGTCCACCACGTAGGACTACTGTGAACTGATGAACAAATATTAACGATTTCATTAGTGCTGGCACCGGGATTTAAACTCAGGTTTCTAAAGAACACTGAGCAGACGTATCGAAATAATGTATATGTACTTTCAACAACAATATCAGCATATCGGCGTCCTGCTAAAGGTAAGCCTCCCCCAAAGTGCGCCAAGTATCCCGATCCTGGGCAGCCCTCATCAAATTATTCAAATGCAAATTTCCCCCCAATGAAATGTATGTAATTGTAATGTAATTTGACCACATTAATCATAATTGTTTTCCCAGGAGTCGACCCTTCTTCAATGGTGAAATTTAAATCTATGGAAGAATTCATTGTTTACGCCCTAATCGTGTTTTACCATGCCATGTTCATGGTGTATACAGTGGGTAAGTTTAAAACTTAATAAGTAAAGAACACTAACTAGTTAGTAAATCGCAAAAGCAACCGGAAAATACAAGTTATTGCCTTGAAGAACTATCTTCAATGCATAACTTGTATATACTACCATAACATATAATTTCCAATGCGGAAACTTAAGATTACTAGAAAATCCATAGCTGGTATGAGAGTTTATAGGCCAGACAAAGTTACTATTAACCAATTACAAAAAAAAACCGCGTCATTTTTTGATTCCTCAATGATACTTCTTAAAAGAAAGTTAATAAAACAAACATGAATAAAACTTAGTTACTCGACAGAGAAAAGTTTAAGCGCGATTAAGTTTGAAACTGACTTTTATTTAAAAGCATTTAATTTAATACCGCAACCATACACACTTAATTTTTTCCTTTAAACGATAAAGGTATTGTTACGTGTTAAGGTTCGAAGGATTCGCCATCTAGTATTGAATCCTCCCATAACTAAGACGAATGTAAGACTAAACGGCTAAATAAACCTCATAATCTGAAATCAGTGAAAAATCTGAAATCTGTAGAGCGAAACATAACCCGCCTTCTGCATTTGAGTAAAAAGAATTGGCTAATTGCAAGTACTTAGTCTTCAAAAGGTTGCTGCTTTTTTAAAAGTCTCGTAAATACGGAGTATTAGTAGCAGTAGTTTGATCTGGCGTTAAGTCATAACCACCCACGAAACTTCCCAAAAAACATGTGGATGCAGTTATCAATAGGATGAGCCTTCGGTCGTACTCAGCGTACGAAATGCAAAAATACTGTGGTATGGCCATGAAACTGTCTTCACTGTTGCACGAAACGGCAGGCACGCGCGGGGAAACCCATGACCTCAGAAGACCGGCGTGAAGTGGAATTGTTACAATGCGTTTCGTCTGGTGAGTGAGGTAACTGGGGCCTGGGATCACTTTATTAAAAGGTAGCAACACATCTGCAACCCTACGGGTATTAAAAATGTTCATGGGCGGCCGACCGCCGCTTAAAATAACGTGTACCGTCAGGTCGCTTGCGAATCTTGCGATCTTCTCACATGAAATATCTCCAGTCAGTATTGTTTTAATCATGACCTTTCACTACCATCCCACTGGACTGCTTGATAGCACGTGATAAGAATAAATAAGTCGCTTCAGTCGAAATTATCGTGAAGCAACGGATAAGTCGACAATGACCTTATAGGTACACGCATTTCACTTACAATTTTTGTCCACAATTGAGCCTCAATTAATCCCATTATGATATTCCAAAATACGACTAACGGTTCAATGTCTCGGAGAAGCAAGTTGACAAATTTTATTCTACTTGTTTCAGTATTCCTATTGAAAATTTACATGACAGCTTACAGTTCGATGATGCGCTTTCACGATCTCATGAGCCAAATGGAGGTAAAGAGTTATTTGCAATGTATTAATTACCTAATAGCATTTGAAAAATGGATATTGACTACGACCACGGCGATAGCACTCCGAGTACACTAGCCACCGGGTGTGCTTTAGACATTCCCAAGAAATAATACGCGAATACTTTACTTCACTGTGGTAAGACCACGCAACGGTCTTCGCTGTTGCACGAATGGGTCCATCTGTGGAAGTACCACGACCTCACAGGAGACCGGTGTGAAGTGAAAGCGTTATATCGTTTCGTCTGGTGTATGGGATAACCAGGATCCAATTTTATAAAGGTTGTCAACGAATCCGCACGCTACATCGGCTGTTAAAGGTGTCCGTTTGCGGCGGTTTTCATTTAGCGAACAGATGAACCACCTGCTCGCTTGACTACTTTTCACATAAAAATATGTAGACATGCATGTATTTTTATATGACTATAAATTTATTTCGATTCAATTTCTATCCGCACGACTCTCGAAGCTTTCCAAGTCGTTACGATCAAAAGGAAAAACATTATGCTATTAAATAATGAAGGTGGAAACATCAACGTAATATAATTCGTAGAATCTTTTTTCTCAAATGTGCGCAGTTCTGCAGATGTTTTATACGTTTTTATACATACGTAAGTGATACAGTAAATAGAATGTCTTTGACTGAATTAATGAATATATGTATTTTTCGTGTACTTTATAGGTCTACCAGTTCAGATATTTTTTCAAACACACCTTAATCTGCTACGGGTTCTCAAGTATAAATTGTTAAAAAAAAAAAACAATTCAACGCTCTTATTTTGTGGTACTTTGACTATCAATATGAGAGTGTAATGCTCGTACGTTGAATGAAGTTATTTGAATTTAAAAAAAACACAACTAATTTAACAAGATTCACACAAAAAAATAAGTCTCAGGTAGATATGAGTGGGTTTGAATATGCGGGGCGCTTAGGGGCGGGGCTTGTAGCAATTGCTACTATTGCTATGTGGTAATCCAGCACTGAGTCGGCAGTTATCTGTTGGTTGCTTCAGGCGTACATGCAGCACAAGCAGCTACCAGCGCAGCTCAAGAAACGCCTGAGACAGTTCTATAGGTACAGATACCAAGAGCAGTACTACAAGGAAGACGACACGCTGGAGTGCCTATCAGGTTGTAATCGCATGATAATTTTAATATCTACATTTTTAACACGTACAGCAACATTTAGAAGTCATTTTGCTGAAACCGCTTCACGGATTTTATCTCTTTACAAGTTTATTTATAATTTTAACCTTTCGAACAATAAGGCAATCACGAAAACAGGTCGGTCAACAGGTTTTAATTTTATCATCCTAATATCACCATTAACCCTGCTTGAAAAGCATTAATTTTCCTACTGGGGTTGCATATATCTATAGCAGCAGTCAGCACTTAACGTCATGTGAAGCACCAGCTTGCGTGCTAACCTCCGATAAAAAAACCCTTGGTGGAAACCCTTATGCCTATGTCCATCAGTGGCAAAATACGTACAGGCAACTGTGGTAGAACCGACAATATTCGCTGTTGCACGCATGGGCAGGTCCATCCGGATCAGTACCGAGACCTCACAGAAGACCGGCGTAGAGTAGGAGTGTTACACTTTTGCGTTTCGTCTGGTGAGTGAGGTATCCGGGGCCCACTTAGTCAAAAGATGGCAACACATGTGCAACCCTACGGGTGTTGCAAATATCTGTGGGCGGTGGTTATCACTAAACCAAATATTACAAAAATTCCTTTACAGTCAAGGCTATCTGCTTGTGGAATGAACTACCAAGGGCGGATCCAGCTTTGGTGGCAGGGGGGGGGGGGTCACGTAGTCGTGGTCAAGTGATAAGACGTTATAATTTAATTTTTATAATCATAGATAGAAGTATAAAGTAGGTACTTATTTTTAACCGACTTCAAAAGAAGGAGGTTATCAATTCGGATGTTTATATTTTTTTTATGTGGCTATGTTCGGGCATACCTTCGTCATATATAGACGGATTTGCAAAATTCTGTTTTGCTCGTACATAGTGTTGATTTTTATTATCATATATTATACAGGTGGCTTTTATAAAGGCGCTCAAATTCAGGTTCAAACTCGGTAATATAATCGTTTATTGAAATAAAAACCAACTTTTTTTTAAAAAATTGGCATTCTATTTCCTAAAAACAACAACAAACTTGTTGACAATGCGGTAGTCATTCATAAATGCGTCTACTTTTGAAACGAATATGTGTGCGTGTTATGTAAAATAAATGAGTTGCCCATAAATCACGCACTTTCTGAGATAAGTTCAAATGAATGTAATTAATTAATTACGAGTGATTTTAAAAATTTATCATTTTTATATAACTTTATTTATGTTTAGAATTTAATAAAAAAAATGGATACACTTAGGAAAGCCACCCTGTGTAGTATTTTTTTAAGTAGCTATTGGTAGGCTTACTTATTTTTGGAATTTCTTTTATTTGTTTCTTCGTTACCAAATTTTATGTAGTTGTATTGGTTATAGTATTCTCTATTCCTCTACTCCGCACGCTGGCTCCACTTCAATGACAAGTAGCCTAAGACGAGACTATCGGGAAACGGGTTGATATTAATATATAATCAACCCAAATGAAAACTCCTAAAATAGCCGTACACAATATTTTTTTTTTTTTCATAAATAACAAAAAAATATTTATTCAGTCATTCATTCATTCATTCATTCATAATATTCAGCGCTTCTAATCCATCTAATCATAGACAGATTCATAACAAATGGAAAGAACAATCTTTATTTCCCAAAGATGGTCTCCACCACATCTCACCACCCATCAAAAACGGTCCACCCACTAAGACGAATCAAACTCGACGCAGTTGTGTTACTTAATTACTGAGTTCCTATGGCCACATTCCAGCTCTGTCATCAGACCCTGGTTACCATCTAGTACCAAAGAACTCGTCATGACGAATCAAACGAGCCGAGACGCAATAGGGTTGCGTCGTTTCTTTACTGAATTCATATGACTATCTTCCAGCTCCATCATCAGATCAGACCCTGGTAACCATCTAAAAATTAGGAACTCACCAAGACGATTCAAACGAGCCGAATCTCGATGGGGTTGAGTCGTTTCATTACAGAGTAGTCATAGGAACCTCACAGAATAGCCTCATAGACCTCACAGAAGATCGGCGTAAAGTACTTCTGCGATTTGTCTGGTGAGTACCTCACACAAGAGATTATAAGGAGAAAACGCATCTGCAACCCTATGCATGGACGGCTGAAGATGGCTCCATCATCATATCGTAGTTACATCAAACAACTATCTGTGGACAGCACACATAGTTGTCCCGTATGGGAATCGAACCCACGACCCCCGACCAATACCAATCGAATTGAGAAACTCCTCCTTTTGAAGTCGGTTAAAAATATTAATTTATTTTAATTAAATATTGAAGGTACTTACATAAAATCTATATATGTGTGCAAAAAATATATAAAAACATTATGATTAACAATTTTAATTAGTGGTCCACCAAGCCCAGGGGGGCGTCATGACCCCCATGACCCCCCCCCCCCCTGGATCCGCCCTTGTGAACTACCTCAGCAAATTCGTCGTGCAAAGACGCTAGACAAATTTAAAAATGACGTAAAGAATCACTATCTTTCCCTCTGTAATCCATAGGTAACATTGACAATATTAATCTATTATACTTTCATATATTTATTTATGTTATTTGTATATATTATACAGCGTGTCTTTACCATCGCGACAATAAATGAACACACGTCTAACGCTACTTGCCAATAATCATAAAAAAAATATTGAAGTTAAACAAAATCCATAATAAAAAAAAAATTTTCAAACAAACTAATTAAGTAAAAAAGAAACAAAATTTGTAACACCTATACAACTCGCGTCACAGCGTCGTATTACAAGCCTCTCCTTCTAACAGTATGTTTTGTCTCTTTTAAATTCATTCAACCCATTTATATGATTTGTGACCTTTACAAATGAACTTTACGTTACGCTTTTATAGGTAAGGGTGTTCTAAAATTCTTTGTTTTGGAAAATTTAATAACTCTGTAAATATTGATGTTTAAAGAATTTATATGTTTAATACAACTTTAAAAAGTTATCCCCTATATGCGTGTTCATTTATTGTCGCGATGGTAACGACACGCTGTATATTTATTTATGTTTATGTATGTTTATTATAATTTATTTTATTATTATTAAGTAAGTTTATTAAGCACACAACCTCCCACTATTCATAAGTTTATTTTCCTTGTCCTAAGGTTGTCTGGAAGAGATCGCTCTTTAGCGATAAGATCGCCTTATTTTACCTAGCTTTTAAGATTTATTTTATATGAACTGTATAAAACTTTTTGTGGTGTACAATAAAGTATATATAATATTAAAAATATAACATCAGGTGAACCACCAGCCCGTTTGCCACATTCCCACATTAAAAATGGCAGTTAATTACAGACCAGCTCCGCCACGAGATAACACTGCACACGTGCCACAAGCTGGTGGACCGGCTGCCTCTGCTGAAGGGGCTGCCGGCGGGGGTGGTGGGCGCCGTGCTCGGCTGCCTGAGGCCCGAGGTGTACCTGCCCAACGACCTCGTGATGCGAGCAGGGGACACTGGCCACTGCATGTACTTCGTCGCCAACGGCACCGTGGCCGTCTACTCGCTGAAGGGGGCCGAGGTATGTGTTCTGGACAATTGGCTGCTTTCGAGAATTAAATCAACAATAACACATGAGCGAACTTCGATACGTCATACGTAGGTAAACACATAAGACATTCAATCCGATTTGAGTTGCCAGAAGGATGGTTAAACTCTCCAAATTGATCAAATTGATCTTCTTAATGATCAGAATGATCAATTCAAAGATTAGTTGACGTCTACGATGATCAGTGTTTCAGAAACCGAGCGTGATCATCGTAGAAATTAAATAATCAGCTGTCAAATGGCTTTTCAAATGTCATTTGAATTAACTTGATTATTGCATGACGAGTACAAAATCCCATATAGCATTAAACCCATGTGTCCCATTCTTACTATAAAGTGTAAGAAAATAACCTAAACAGATAAACAAGACATTTTAAAAAATCCTAAGATATCTTTAATATTATCTATTCTATAAATTAACATATTTTGCCATAAAGTTTAGTCGGACTTCAATTTCATACAATACAATACAATAACAGCCTATCGCTATCCACTGCTGAACGTAAGCCTCCGCCAAAGTGCGCCAACCAGGGCCGGATTTAGAGGTTTGGCGGCCTCGGGGCAACAAAGGACTGGAGGCCCCTTGGCCCCAAACTATTTTCCGAATAAAATGAACAATTTTTTAGTTACCAAGTAGGTATAGATTATTTTATTATTTAATGAACATATTATAATGTAATCGGAAAAAGCAATTATCTAAAATTAAATTTTTGCGTTAACGAACTGAACCTTCCGAGCTATATTCGCCAAAAAATGTGAAGAAAAAAAATTGTTTACTGATGTTTACTAGTCTTAATTTGGTTTTTTTTCCCGAAGTCTCTTTTGTAGGGGCGCCTTTTTAGTGGAGGCCCCGGGTCTGTTGCCCTCCCCTAAATCCGGCGCGAACTATCCCGGTCCTGGGCCGCCCGCATCCATCCATCATTCACCCATTCCAAATTCATATCAGCGCTCAATTTTGATAGATTTGCCATTTGGAGGACGGTGACCACTTCGGCGAGGTTGCGTTGCTGATGAGGGACAGCAAACGCGTGGCCACAGTCGTTTCGGTGGAGATAACACAAGTGTACCGACTCGACGCCGCGGATTTTCGGTATATTATAAAAAAACACTTCCCATAATATCCCACGATTGCACGTCATTTGCGCATATTCCTCAAAACACATAAAATACTCCAGGTAGCGCTAAATGAATTCATTCGCATGGTATCCGGTGCCAGCGAATGAATGCATGCTCCCTAAGTTCGCGATCACTTTAGAGAGATGCAAAACGGACCTTGAAAAGAGCCGAAATTCATCCCAGTCCACTGATAGTAAACGCAGCAAATTTCCAACTGAACCCAACGCAATCATTTGGAAACGCTGTCCGCGCAACGTCCTCATCGATCCGGTCGCAAGTATTCCGCACCCAACTAAGATCCCGCCCGATAACACTATACACACGCATAATGCAGATGACTCCGTGGCGCAGTTGCCAAGGTATTTTCTTCGGCGTCGAGGTTCGTGGGTTCAATCCCCACACGGAACAACTATTGTTGTGACCCACAGATAATTGTTTTGGGTATTAGTCCACGTCAAATGTATGTTTGATAAACATCCTTACAATACAGGATAATGTTATCCTAAAGCGAAGGCAATGTTTTTAAAAATGATCTATAATCTAATCTAATCTATAGTTATAGCACGCACAACTAAATGGTTCGTTCTTTCCTACAAGCACGGCGAAACCAACACCGCCTTTCCCTTTTCCATAAAAATAACAAAAGAACTGAAAATAACAGAAGTAGAATAACTTTTAATAATGGGCCCCAGCTACCTCACTCACCAGACGAAAAGCAGAGGTATAACATTTTCACTTCACGCCGGACTTTTGTGAGGTCGTGGTACTTACTCGGACGGACCTGCCCATGCGTGCAACAACCGAAGCTGTTGCGTGGTCGTACCACAGTTAATGTTATTCATAGGCCTTGCCCAAGTATGCATACAGTTGCTGAGAAGCGCACTGCGCAGATGAGCGCACAGCGCCCACTTAAGACTATACTCGGACCCAGCACGTCTCTCGTTAGCTATGTGGCATCATAGATTTTCATGCATACGGTGTTCCGATTACCTAGTACTGTGGTGCACGGAAAAACTCTGAAACATCCTCCCCGACTCCACCAGTGGGAGATCGGTATAGGGGTTCGCTCCGGCTGACTCAATCGGACCGATCAAGACCACAGGGTGAGGCTCGGTGACCCAGTCACGGGGACGGACAGAATTTATATTAAATAGGCGCCAGCCCGCCCCGTGCAAGACAGAATAATGCTTATTCTAAGGGATTTACTTAGTGGAAATAAAAGATATATTCCTTAACAGTTTTAGAGTTTATTAATACAAGGTTTGAATATAAAACTAAACTATATCAATTTAAAGATATTCAAAGGAGTGAGATCTCACCAATCAGGCATAATTATATCAAGATTAAGATTTGAGAGTACATTAGATTAACACCGTTACATAGCAGTATATAAACACAATCATCAGTTTGATGACTAGATTTAGATTAGAGCAAAAACATACCAGAAGGAACCAGGCTTGCCTTCCCACTTTCCAAATAAGTGTGAAGACCTCAGCTCAGCAATCCTCACATGCCACCGAGGGGCATTCAGCTAGTCCGCGGCTTCAAGTTGCACGAGGACAGCAGGACTACAGATTCTTAATATATATGCAGTTGCATACAAGGCGAACGCGTGGTTCGATATCAAGCCATCAGAGAGAAGCAGCTCAGCGAGATAAAGTAGAATAATAATAGGAATAAGATAAAAAAAAAACCCTGTAACAAAATACGAAATGTTACCAAACGAACAATGGACCGAAAACAGTCAGATCCCAAAAATATATGCACAAAGGAAACTTACCAACGATGTGGGTTTTTTATGTAAAATATAAAGGCCAAGAAGCCATATTCAAGTAGGATGTCAACGGATGTGGCCTAAGATGCCACATATTCCTCTCCTACATGCTCCTACTTAGAAAGGAGACGCGTCGCCACCAGACGCTCCAACAAGACAAACAAACTTCAAGACGAAACCGACCGCCGTTCTCCTCGGAACGACAGATGACACCATCAACATAGACTATGCTAAATGAGACAACGTTTCTAAGCGAAAATTATGTAAAAAACAAATTTGCTTGATATTAGTCCAATATAACTAAAATGATATTATTTTATATTTCGAGACAATAATATCACTAGCACCGAAATAATCCAAGAAAATAAACTAAGGCAAAACAACAAGGTGACTTAGCGCCATCTATAATAACTGAAATATAGATTTTCTAAGGATTCATTCGACTAAATTGTATTGTTCACAACAGATGTCGCTATATTTCTACTAAGAATCTCTAATATAAGCCACTCGAAACTCAAGGGTACGAGGCGTAGAAAAAAAAGTGTTACAGTACCATCTTTCCTGGGAAGAAAAATTTTAGTTTAAAATGTAGATTTTAAATAAAATTTTTCACTAACAAAACTCCCGAGAAAGAAGAGAAAAACGTAAGGTCAGTCCCTAACTATTAAATCTTTAATATGAAAGTCTCCTAGAGGTTTGCCATCTAGACCTTTAAGAGAATAAACTAACGGCGACAGTTTCTTATCAATTACACACCTCTCAAATTTAGGAGATAACTTAGCAGAAAAGTGTTTAGGGGCATTAGACAAAGGAAAACATCTTTTATAAATTATTTGACCTTCCTTGAATTCTAATGGCCTCTTCCTTAAGTTGTAGTACTTCACGTTCCTGCTGTACGCCTTATGTAGATGTCTCTGAACCCGTTCATAAACCTCCTTAAGCTTGGGTAGACCAGAAGTAAAAGGCTCAACGTTAACTGTGACAGACTTTCCATCTAGAGGTACATGAGAATTATACACAGCACCGTCCGTGACAATTTCCCGCCCATGGTTGAGATAATATGCCGAAAACTTGGTTCCTTCGTGAACAGCGGAGTTGAGAGCACATTGGACTTCCGGAATGTTCTGGTCCCATTTTCTATGGTCAGAAGGCACGTAGGAAGCAATAGCTCTAACTATATCTCTATTGACGCGTTCAGCCTGATTGGTCTGAGGATGATAGCGAGGATTATAGAAAATATGAGGAACCCCATACTCAGCCAGGAGCTCTCGGAATTCACGAGAAGTGAACTGAGCACCGTTGTCTGTATATAAAATTCGACAAACACCGTGGACAAGAAATACATACTTTTCCAAACACCTCACAACCGCTTTGGCCGTTGCCGACCGAAGTGGGAAAAGTAAAACATACTTAGTGAAATAGTCAGACACGACAAAAAGATATTGGTTCCTATTATAAGATGGGGGAAATGGTCCAAGGAAATCGCAGGAGATAGCCTCCCAGGGTTTGGTTATCTGGCGCGGATTGCCCATCAAACCGGGACGAAGAGTATTTACCGGCTTGTAAGCCTTGCATACTTCGCACGCACCAACGTACGACTTAACATCATTAAATAGAGAAGGCCAGAAATACAATGAACTTATCTTTTTGTGCGTTTTAGCTACCCCAAAATGACCAGATGAAGGGTCGTCATGATACTTTTGAAGTATCTCAGATCGCTTCCCAGCAGGGACTACTAATTTCCAATCAAACTGTGACGTAAGGTTATATTTATTCTTGGACAACCGAAACAGTCTATTGTCAATCACCTGATAGTTGGGATATTTACGAGGATATTTACTGCAATTGTTAACCAAGCTAAGATACCAAGGATCATCAATATCGTCTAAGCGTATTTCAACGGAATTAATTTTAACGCGAGAAAGGCAATCCGGTATTATATGTTCTTTGCCCTTCTTATGAACTATTTCGAAATTAAATTGGCTTAACCGACATGCCCACCTATTTAAACGTCCCGAAGGGTTCTTCAAGCTATGAAACCACTTCAGAGAAGCATGGTCGGTAACAATAAAACATTTGACGCCTTCAACGTAACACCTATACTGTTCTAGCGAATAAATAACAGCAAGCAGTTCACGTTCAGTCGCCGAATAATTAACCTCTTGGGCATTCAAAGTCCTACTACAGTAAGCTATAGGGTGATCCACACCGTCCACCTTTTGAGTTAACACTCCACCTATAGCAAAAGATGAAGCATCCGCATGAATATAGAAAGGTTCGCTAAAGTTGGGACAACGCAATATCGGTGCCGAGACTAGAGCGGTCTTGAGAGAATGAAAGGCTTCCTCTGCTTCCGCCGACCAAGAGAATGGTACCTTCTTACTCGTCAGCCGAGAGAGAGGTCTAGCCACTTTAGAGAAGTCCTTAATGAATCTACGGTACCAACCCGCCATTCCCAAGAATCTTTTAATATCCTTCGAATTTTTAGGCGGAGGAAAATTGATAATGACATCCACTTTGGAAGGGTCCGTCCTCAAACCGTATTGATCGACTGCATAGCCCAAGTACTTAAGCTCTCTTCTGCAAAACAGGGACTTCTCCATATTAATAGTCAAATTAGCCTCTTGCAATTTTTTTATACACTCTCTCCAAAATCTGAACGTGCTCCTCAAAAGTATTAGAGCAAATAATAATATCATCAATATAACAGAATACCTTATTATCAAATTCAGCAGAAAATAAATTGTCCATTAATCTTTGCATAGTAGCAGACGCACCAACTAAACCAAAACACATTACTTTATATTGAAAGAGTCCTTTCCCAGGGACAGTAAACGCAGTTTTCTCCTTGGACTCACAGGTAAGAGGAATTTGATGATAAGCAGCGCTAAGATCGAGGGAGGTAAGATATTTTCCATCCCTTAGATTGTCTAAAATATAATTAATATAAGGCAAAGGATAGGCGTCGGACTTAGAAACCGAATTAATTTTCCTACTATCCAAGCAAAGACGCAAGTCGCCATTGGATTTAGGTACCATGGTAACAGGAGAGCTCCAAGGGGAATTCGAAGGTTCCACTATATCGAGCTGTAGCATTCGATCTAATTGAGCCGTTAAGAATTTAAGTCGTTCTGGACTCATCCGATAATATTTTTGTTTGATCGGTTTAGCATCACCCGTGTCAATGTTGTGACTGATCAAATGAGTACGACCCAACCCTACTTTGCCGGTATCGATATTCGCAAAGAGTTGCTTGATCTTTTCAATTTGGAGACGTTGCGATTGTGACAAAGAGTTGTAATCGCGCAAACCATTGTCGGGTACTTTGCTCAAACTATCGACATTAAGGTTACATTGTTCACTAGGAATACAATCTAATATATCAGGAGCTAAACTAAAAGCTTTCCAAAAATCAATACCAAAGTGTATTGGCAAATTAATGTCTGGTTGAACATAAAACTTAATAATTTTTACACAATTCTTATATTCTATCGGAACGTCCATATAGTCGGTACAAATAACTTCCGTGCCATTAGCGACCGTGAGAATTCTAGGTTTGTCAAATTTCAAAATAGGTATATGTAATTTGCAAAATAACCGATAAGCCTCGGAGCCTAATATAGAACAACTAGCTCCGCAATCAAGCAAGCCAGAGACACCAACTCCATAAACTTTGACCGTTAAGAAAGGTCTGGTTTCTCTGGTGGAAGGTTTAAAGTACTCAGTCTCCCCATACGATGGCTTCGGAGAGACTGGCCTAATTAGTTTTTTGGTCCGTTACAATTTTTACATTCAGGGCTTTAACCCTTTTAACCCCCTTTAAACCACAGCGAAAACAAACAACGTCCTTATTAGAAGGGCAGTAGCGGGAGACGTGGCCGGTTTTGTGGCACCTAAAACAACGAGGAGAGCTAGCCTCAACGGAAGATAATTGACATTTAGATTTATGGAATTTAAAACCTTCCTTTGGCCTCATACGAGTATTCGCGGCGATAGCAGGACTAGGAGAAAGATCAAGGGCTACTGTATCGGGATTAAATGTCGGTTCCGAAAAATTAGAACTCCTAATCGATGCCAATTCCAACTTCTTGCACACATCTTTCAAGTGTTGGACGGACTTAACTTCAGTAAGCGCCAAAGGTGAACTATATTCCGGTCTAATATTCCTTAATATGATATCTAGCTTTTCCTCTTCAGTAAGGCTTCTGGAAAGGCGCGACATCATAGCTAAAATAATCGAAAGGTAAACAACTATGGTTTCATTTTTAGCCTGCGTTCGGGATTCAATTTCCCTACGCAGCCGGTAATCATAATCAGGAAGGTCGAAGTCTTCCTTCAGCTGATCTAACAATTCTGATAAATTAGAAAAACTACTTTTATGAGCACGGTACCAATGTAATGCCGGGCCATCCAAGAGATCAACAAAACCATCAAAAACAACATCTACGGGAATTTTCCTAGCTATTCTTAATTCCTGAAGACGTGTGATAAAAGTTCTAACGCAAGAGTTTCCATTAAATTTAAGATTCCAAGAAAATAAATTATACGTTTGCGGCATTTGACAGATAATCGTCCTATCTACGCGGGTACTTGGCTTTTCGTCTTCTGAATCGGAAGAACTTGCCGAAGTTGCACCACACTCAGAAAGACACTTAACTAAGGTAGCTTTAAGTTGTTCGAACTCACTAGATGGATTTTCTATCCTAGATAGACGCTTCAGCAAATAGTGGACTCTCCCAATTAACCGGGTACGTGACGCTTCGGTGCATTCGCCACTGGACAACAAACTGACAACCTCACTGACCTTGGACGTCAAAACCTTCAGCTCATTGTTGAGGTCGGCTGGTGCAGAATCAGACTGAAGCCTAAGGCTACCACGACGGGTCAATTTGCAGGTTTGCCTGAGGTACTTGCGAAGGTCTTCACACTTACTACCCGGATTAATAGGCAATTTAAGAGCAGCAAGTTCATGAGCCAACTCATCTTTAGTTAAAAAGTTTACATTACAACCTAAGTCCGCCATATTCACCACTTATATTTATAAAAAAAGTATAATCTTAAAATGAATTAATTAAAAAAAAAATTAAAACTAAAGAAAAGTAAATTGTTAAATTAAGACCAAAACAAAACTTCTAAAAAAAAAAAAACTCATTAAAAAAAAAACTAATTCTAGTAAGAAAGTTAATTTAAAACAAATTATTCAAAAAAACAAACAAACTAAGATAAGATACTTAAAACAGATCAATTTAAAACAAACATTGTTCAAAGAAAAAAAAAAAAAATTGTTAAACAAACAACAAAAAAAAAGATCAAACTCCAAACAAAAAAAAAAAGACAGGTGCAGAGTACAAAGTAAAGCCACTTTTCTTGCAATTAAAAACAAAATAAACAAGTTAAGAAAAAGAGTAAATACTCAGCAAGCACATGTTTCATGATATATTAAACCGTTAAGTTTCAATATTGCAAAACAGCATAGTTCCACATTGTTCTAGAATTAAGACAAGCTAATATTATAAAAAGAAACTTCCCTTCAAATTCCAATTACAATTCATAATAATTCAACACATCACTCATATGCAAATAAAGAAATTAGCAATATTTGTTTCAAATAAAAAGTAACAAAATGCAATAACCTATAATAAAAGTTAACATTTGCATTTAGTGTAAACAAAGCAAAACAATTATATTAGTTATCACTTAGCTACATGAGGTTATTAAGCTTATTTCTCAATATTAAAGCAAGAATTAATTTGTATAGCCAGCAAAACAATAAGCTCATTAAATTTCCAAAGTGTATATTGTGAAGTAGAAAGAAAGCAAAGCCATATAAAACCTGTATAAAATTAAAAGATAAACATTGTTTCAATGATAGATTAAAATATACATTATTAAGCAATAAATTTAGCTATTGTATATATGTTAAGCAAAAACCTAGTAACTATTTATACTAAAGAGCAAAAATAAAATAAAGTAGAAACTTATACTTGTAAACAAACTTTAAAAACAAAACTAAATTTAGTAGTTTTAATTAATAGCAATGAGAGAAAAAAAACTTAAAAATTCTATTAACTGAATAAATACAAAAACTATATCCACATAGAATAGCAATTCTTACTGGGCCACACGTTGGGAACGCCACTGAGGCATCCTCCCCGACTCCACCAGTGGGAGATCAGTATAGGGGTTCGCTCCGGCTGACTCAATCGGACCGATCAAGACCACAGGGTGAGGCTCGGTGACCCAGTCACGGGGACGGACAGAATTTATATTAAATAGGCGCCAGCCCGCCCCGTGCAAGACAGAATAATGCTTATTCTAAGGGATTTACTTAGTGGAAATAAAAGATATATTCCTTAACAGTTTTAGAGTTTATTAATACAAGGTTTGAATATAAAACTAAACTATATCAATTTTAAAGATATTCAAAGGAGTGAGATCTCACCAATCAGGCATAATTATATCAAGATTAAGATTTGAGAGTACATTAGATTAATCACCGTTACATAGCAGTATATAAACACAATCATCAGTTTGATGACTAGATTTAGATTAGAGCAAAAACATACCAGAAGGAACCAGGCTTGCCTTCCCACTTTCCAAATAAGTGTGAAGACCTCAGCTCAGCAATCCTCACATGCCACCGAGGGGCATTCAGCTAGTCCGCGGCTTCAAGTTGCACGAGGACAGCAGGACTACAGATTCTTAATATATATGCAGTTGCATACAAGGCGAACGCGTGGTTCGATATCAAGCCATCAGAGAGAAGCAGCTCAGCGAGATAAAGTAGAATAATAATAGGAATAAGATAAAAAAAAACCCTGTAACAAAATACGAAATGTTACCAAACGAACAATGGACCGAAAACAGTCAGATCCCAAAAATATATGCACAAAGGAAACTTACCAACGATGTGGGTTTTTTATGTAAATATAAAGGCCAAGAAGCCATATTCAAGTAGGATGTCAACGGATGTGGCCTAAGATGCCACATATTCCTCTCCTACATGCTCCTACTTAGAAAGGAGACGCGTCGCCACCAGACGCTCCAACAAGACAAACAAACTTCAAGACGAAACCGACCGCCGTTCTCCTCGGAACGACAGATGACACCATCAACATAGACTATGCTAAATGAGACAACGTTTCTAAGCGAAAATTATGTAAAAAACAAATTTGCTTGATATTAGTCCAATATAACTAAAATGATATTATTTTATATTTCGAGACAATAATATCACTAGCACCGAAATAATCCAAGAAAATAAACTAAGGCAAAACAACAAGGTGACTTAGCGCCATCTATAATAACTGAAATATAGATTTTCTAAGGATTCATTCGACTAAATTGTATTGTTCACAACAGATGTCGCTATATTTCTACTAAGAATCTCTAATATAAGCCACTCAAAACTCAAGGGTACGAGGCGTAGGAAAAAAAAGTGTTACAACTCAACCGAAGAACTCTGTCGCTGCAGATCGGCTTTTAATAAGTGTGTATGCTTTTGCGTGTCTGGTGAGTGGCGTAACCCCGGAGGCCTAATATCAGTGGTTGGCAATACGCATCTAATAACGGTGACCACCGACTTTATATTAGTATTTTCCATCATGCATTGCCAATCTTTAAAAGTGAGCCTTGGTAACCTCACTTACTTAAAAAAACCTGAAAGTATAATACTTCTACTTGACGCCGGTCTTTTGAGTGGCCGTGGTGCCATTCCGAACTAGCCTGCCCAATCGTACAACAGTAGAAACTGCCAAAATGCCGTTGATGAAGTCACACATTAAAAAAAATAATGTTTTTGGTTCTGCAGACTGATCGTGAAGTCCAACGATGTTTTGTACGATCGCCTACAAGTACTTGCGTCGCAACGTATGCACGAGACCGTACTAATGGACGATGAATATCGCAGGCGACGCGATGGTACCGACGATCTGGATGCTTCCGCCCTTAGACTAAACTAATTTTTGGACACACCAACAAATACATAATATGTCTAGTAAAAGGGTCACAACAATTAATACTTTTTGTAAAATTTAAAAGAATATGGATGAATTTAGAGTATATTTTGAATAGGTTATAATTAAGTACTATATTAAGGAAAAATTCCACTCCTCATTTCTTAATGTATCCTTCAAAACTTGATTCAAGAAGACAATGATTTTTTTTGTCAAAATATTACATTTTGTAATAGTAGTGTAATTTAATAAGTGAATAAATATCTTTCAGCAATTTTTTGTTATAATTATTAGATCACAGAGAGTGTAAATACAGTAAGATAAATGAAAAATAACTTGACTGATCATAGTATCTAAACATCATTAGTAATTAATTGACTTTACCTATCTTCTTTAAATATCTCAAGCTCTGTAATCTTCTGCTTTGATTTTTTCCTGAGAGAATGCTCACAGTGTATATGCCATGAGGAATTCGCTCTGGCATTCTTCTGATTTATATGTGGGAGTTCCTCAGGGAAAAGGCTAGAATGTTCTACAACTTCAGATTGTTCTGAAGTCATTCTAGCATTTTCTGATTACAGCTCTAAGCTCTAAGCTATCCTTTGTATATGTTTCTTGTCATTTGTTTCAACTGGCTATTTTATATTATGTTTACAATAAAGAATTCAAACAAACCTACAAAATACATTAACACAATGAATGGCCTATTTGTCATAATAATTAAATGATAATTAGGGCGAAAATATACTGTTATTTCTGCAATTAAATAACTATTTTTCAAACTTATAATATATTATATTATTTAGAATATTTTACCATTATTAATATTGTAACTTATTTTATATACTTGCTTTGGAATCTTCAATTTTTTAATGCGAACTTAATAATTAATGCTAGGCTATGCAATATTTTCTCTCTAATCCGCAGCTTTTACAACACACTGTAAATTAAATAATCATATAAATGGAACAGAGCAGATGGAAGCATCTGTACTACAGTGTACTGTGCATATCTTTTTTCTTGGTTTTAAAAATATTGTTTATTAGATCTTACCAAACATATCTTCTAGTAGCATGCACAATTACAAATGATAAAACAGTCAGTTTCACTTAACCTATGAACCATTAGCATTCAACACCGCAAAAGCAATCTAACTTATTGGGAGTTACTTTTGATATGCCTCCATGCACTGACATGACCATCCTTTTGGTTTTCCCAGTTTCTTGGCAATATGAAACAAATTTTCGCTGACATCCTAACACAAAGGACAATATGGGCTTCAACCCCTTTGTAGGACCTAGGACCTCAAGGCTTATTTATAAAAGCTAAAATTTAAACGAAACAACTGTGAAATAATATGTATTATTTCTTAAAATATACAAACGTTACCAATAGTAGCGCTTACAATCATTTGTGGAGCAATGGTTTATGACAAATAACTTAATAATTTATGTTATACATATATTCCGACCCACAGCAACAAAAACAGAATACCGAAACCAGAAAACACTGCCGCGACTAGTGACAGCAGTAGTTCCTTAATGACGTCTCTGGAAGCCTTTGTGCTTGTAACCTCATACACGAAGAACCACGCTGTGAAGAATATACCGATACCGAGGAGCAGCAGCGTGAGGTGTGGGAACAGAGCCGGGTTTATCGGCGACGTGTACCTAACCATTGACTCGATTTCCAACTAAAAATACACGAAACATGTTAATAAATGTCCAAACACACTATGCATATTTATCTTCAACACATAAAGTGGGTCTTACGCTCATTTTGATGATATTTTATTAGAGATTATCTCAAAAATAAAGACCGGCGCTAAATAAAACTAAATTCAACGTCATTGTAGATTTTTTTTTTTATTAGTTTGACGGCCCTGGAATCAAGTCCTTTAGGCCTATCTTACATATGCTTAAAAACTACTTTTACAAGTTACTTATACGTATTGTATTTACAATGAATTTATATATAAACTTAAATTTATATATAATATTTTGGATTCCTCAAAAGTTTTGGCAAATCATATAATACCCGTGTATTTATATTTTCTAGTTCGGACACCAAGATTAATCGCTGAAAATTATAATTTTGACATTTCATGAAAATATGGTTTAGGTCAGCAACATCATTACAAAAAGTACATTTTGGGTTTGCGACAATTTAGAGTCCAGGAATTCTACAGTGGCCGAATCTTAAGCGATTGATTGTTGTTATGAAGTTTCTGTTTGAAGCGTCCTTGTGACTATAATACCAGATATATTATCGCGGATGCAGAGTTGCATTTTGTACTGCAGTTATGGTATTTATACTACAATTTAATGCTTCATACTTTAATACTACCCATATCGTATTTGCAATGGTGGATAGTACGTGTGCGTCTCTTATTAGTAGTGATATTTTATGTACATATTTCAATTTTAATTTTATTTCTTTTTGTATATTTGTGAATATTTTAAAAAAAATCCTTTAGTAGTTAATGAAGCGTTATTAAATGTTAACATGTTGACAACAACAAAATGAACGACGAAATGGCGGACTTTCTTAGTGAAAATAATAAGTTTGAAAATATTTATTTTTTCGAAAACTATAAGCGACCGCCGAATTATTTCAGCCGCATTAAGAAAAGCCACCCTGTCTTAATAAAAGAAATTTTATTAAAATTAATAAATAATTAACGTTTTATGAAAATTTCTCATTCATTTAAATAATGTTAATTTGGTATAAAAATAACTAGAACCGTAGTAGAACTAAGATAACCGATATAGCTCAAAGGATTAGCAAGCTGAAGTGGCGATGGGCCGGCCATATAGCTCGTAGAACTGATAACCGTTGGGGAAGAAAGGTTCTCGAATGGCAGCCTCGTACTGGCCATCGCAGTGTAGGACGACCCCCCACTAGATGGAGTGACGACCTGTGCAAATGTGCGGGAAGTCGATGGATGCAAGTGGCTCAGGATCGTACTTCATGGCAGTCTGTGGGGAGGCCTATGTTCAGCAGTGGACTCAAACAGGCTGAAATGATGATGGTATAAAAATTACTATTACTTATTATTGAATCAGACTGAACTAAATAAGTTATTTTTTTAAAACTGAAAATTTGACCGATATATGGATATATCGATATTTTTTTTCGATATATCGAGGCTGATATTGATATTTTTATAAATATCGATATTTTTTTCGACTTTCGGCATCCCTAATGACGTATTGAATGACAGGGGTGAATTTAGGTATGATGAAAAAGATAGTACAAAAAATGTAAAAGGATAGTATTCGTAAAAAAACTCGTTTTCCAAGTTTATCAATTCTTTAATATTAGTTTCATCCTTAGAATTTAAAACCTATTCACTCTTGCCTTGAAGACGCCTACGTTGTAATAGGACAGAAAGACGGACGCCGGCAGGTTATTCCATTCCTTAGTATCATCTTTCTTACGCTGCCTCTCGAAATCAGGATAGCTAAAAGTCGCACTATAATGTTTTATTAATTCTTACGATTGCTTTTTTTCAATGTAAGAAATGAACCTACCCAAACTTTTCTGGACCACCCAAAGACTTGATAAAGAGAAGTAAGAGAGAACTTCTCTCTAAAAGTCTGTGGGACTAATGATGACTGGGAGATAATGTTAATAACATTGAGATCGCGTTTGTACATACAACTATCAACTATGAATGTTCATGAGTGTGCTTAAAGAATAAATAAATAAAATAAAAAAATCTATTTCCTACCTCATAGTGCAATATTTATGGTACTATTCAACAAGCGAAGTATCGATAGAAAAATTATACTTAACTGGAATTCCCCTTAAACAGATTTTAGAATCCCCAACAACCGAATTAACCTGACAACCACAGATAAGTGAAATTGTCACTAACTGAAGGCAATATGTATGACTTCTGACCAGATTGGAGACGTTCCTCTAAAGAAGAAGAAGAATTATTTTCACTTAATTAATTCGTTATTACACACATTTGAACGCTTTATATAGAGCAAGAAACGTGTTGAATCTCAAAATTTACCACTGTTGTAATTGAAATCTTGATAAATTTTATTTAAGTATTAACAAAACCCTAATAATTTTGTATCTCTATTCTCACCACGGAATAGAAAATACAAAATTTTACTGACCATTTCCACTGCTTTTACGATTTACGATATTCAATATTTTGTATCGATATATCGGTTGAAAATATTGATGTAATGACTCAAAAATATCCATATATTTTCCTACATCCCTACTATTTGGGTGGGGACTGGGGATGTTCATGTTGATCTGTCTGTTCATCTGTTCATCTGTCATAAGTCATTCATGATCCATATAATAATTTAAAATGTGTTTACAATTATTCATGAGTCACTTATCCACCTTAACTTTTCGTTGAAATATGAAAATTATCATTATAATATAGAAATTATGAACACGCAGTGTTTCATTATGAATGTTAATAATACGGGCCAAACTGTCGGTGGCGATATGAAACCTCCTTTACCCAAAGATAAAGTTATGTCTTACGAAGAAAAATCCGTAGGATCAACAGTGTTTTTTAAATGTGAGGCTTGCCCATTTATGGCTCTTGCCGAAGATGATATTAAGTTCCACCTTTTCACTGTTCATCCTGCTCTTGCTAAGTCAAATGGACTTGCTGATAATATACAAATATCTTGTCCTGGTTGTACTTGCGTCTTTGATGCAGAAGAAACTCTAAGGACTCATTTGCGCAGCCATCACAAAATGGGCTTTAAAGATGTTAAGAAAATGGTGAAGAGTTTAGTACAAATAGCTCTTAAAAATGCAAAGTTAAAAAAGGAGGACAAGAAATCTGAAAATCCCCCACCAAACATTCCTCAAGAATTGGTTGATGTTAAAATTCCACAAGTGATAGAAATAGTTCCTGATGTTATCACTCCGAATAATGATACTTTTCCTAAAGGAGTTTCTTACATATCTGTTGATGAATTAAACCATATGAGTACACCTAATTTTGAAAAAATCGATCCCAAGGATGTAATTCAAAGTGCAAGTATCAATATAGTATATAGAAATGAAGCTTCAACTCAATATGTGAATGCAGGTGCATCAAATGCATCTTGCAATGTTATTCAAGTAGCAAGTGTTACTCCTGATCTAATATCATCTATTCAACCTCGTATTTCTACAGTCATGGACAATAATTTGCCTTCTCCTACAGCAAAAAAGGACAGTGATAGTCTACCACAAATCAAACCTCAAATTTCAACTGTTTCTAATGAGTCTAGTAGAGCTTTAAATTTTACTCATACATTCAATGATGCCAATGATATCATTGAAACTGATTCGGATAAGAAACTAACCGAACCATGTGCTGTTGGTGGTTGCCGAGTCCGTTTAAAAAATGAAAATAACATGACCTACCATAGAAAATGTCATCAGAATGGTAAGCTCCAATGTCCGGAGTGTGGTAAAATCAGTCCTGGTGTTAATGAATTGCACTCACATTTGTGGAAAGTCCATGCTATTGATATGGAATTACCCACATGCGAAGTATGTGGCTTTAAGACCTTCAAGAAACATAGATTGTTTAACATTCACATGAAGTGTCATGGAAAAATTAAGGCATACACATGTAAGATTCTTTCTATTTTCATTTCATTTATTAACAGCAATAGCTGTTGTACCTTAAAGCTCATAATAACACCGGAAATCCTGCTACATTTTTGAACTTTTCAGGTTTAGTTTGTATGAAGTCATTCAAAAATGCCAATCAGTTCTCTAAACACAAATTAATTCACAAGAAGGACCCCACTCCGGCTCAATGTCACATGTGCCAAAAAGAGTTTAGTAATGCAGCGCGCCTCAAGGTGCACATAAAAACTGTACATGAAAAGCTGAGGCCCTTTAAATGTGGCCACTGCGAATATACTGCCCCCAGAAGGACTGAGCTAAAGTTGCATGTACGGTCACACACAGGTATGTTATAAACAGATGTATCTACTGGTGACAAATTGAGATAATATATTACATTTTCATCCAGTTGTCAAATTTTACTGCAATACTTAATATTTAATGTGCTTGCTTCATCTTCTCACTTTTACTTAAGTTTGCATATTTCCTGGTACATCTCTGAAAACAGCATGTTAGTGATAAAATCATATCTCAGTATACATGAAATGATAAATTAATCTAAAACGATGTGGTAACTAAATAGAGTTATTTAAATAACATCCGCCAAAGTGACCCAAGAGCTTGGTGGCCTCCCAAACTGGTGAAAATAATAATAATAGCGTGACGGCCCGAGCCGAAGCACCCTCGGGATTCCTCGAGCTTAGTCACCCATAAATCGAGGTACAGTTTAGGCGCCCTCAGCGCCGGGCCACTTCAAGCCCAGTGGATCTTTAAAGGCCTCCCAAGGCCAACAGTGGTTGAAAAAGCAAAAAAAAAACTAAAATTAACACTTCACAATCACTCCCATTCTATTTACACAGGAGACAAACCGTACGCGTGCAACAAGTGCGCGTATCGCTCGGCCGACCACAATGCTATGCGCCGCCACAAGAAGTTACATTCCAAAGAGGGCGTCTACAAATGCAAGCACTGCCCATATACGGCCATCCAGTCCACGATATTCACGTCGCACGTGGTCTCCAAGCACCCCAACGTGTGCTCCGACGACGTGCACTGCTGCTCCTTCTGCCCCTTCAAGTCGGTTAGTAAGGAAAAGTACGTGGCGCACATGGTCACGCACAGGGACACGACCAGCAAGCCGAGCTGGACGATCCCGAGCGATGCGAGCAAGGCAGAAGACAAGCCGAAACTGCCAGAGCAAAGCGCAAATCCCCCTCCCAAGACGGTGAATGCGATACCTATAGAGGTGTTCGACTGCGACGGCTTGTCTGAGAGCATCCCGCAAGAGTACTCTAAGAAGTACAGCAAAACGCCGAGCGACGGCGCACAGGCGAAAGCGTACAGCGGCTGCGTTATAGTCACGGATTTAAGCAAAGACGACAACAATTCCGATTGCCTGCTGTCCGAAGACTCCAACGGCAACCTGATGACGCGACACCAATACAACGCGCAGCGCCCCCTACAATTGACGTATGATGCCGACCAGTCTAACCTGCACGAGTTTTTGGGCACGTCTGGGTCGATAGAGCAGAGTCTACTGCAGAGCGGAAGCGTAAACTCCCTCGCGTCGGGCGAAATTGCGGGAGGCATCAGCAACAACATCATGGCCAACTTACCCATCCGTCTGCCGCCCGCACCGTTGATATCCGTGCGGAACAACATTATGCTGAAGCCGGTCGACAAAATCTCGATGCCGATGACGAAAGTCATCGGGCCCATAATCAAACCGACGCAGATCCTGCCCGTGCCATCGTCCAGTCATTCACCAATCAACTTGGGCAACGAGACGGACGGCGCAACGAAGAAGAAGGCGAAGATATCCGTGAAGAGCAACTTGATCCTCAAGGGCCCGGATCAGGTTAACATGTTCCATTCGCAGCAGAAGATGGCCTTCAAAAGACTGGAGGACAACGAGAGATTCGGACTGGGTGGTCCGGTGACCTTCAACAACCTGATAACCACGCAGTTCATGCAGTTGCAACCGGAATCGGTGCTGAGCGAGTCGCCCGACGCCATCTTGACCTACCCGCAGGAGGGCATGCTAGTGGAGGCCGCAACAACGCCCGTCGACGGCGAACTGAGCGGGGACCCGCAGATGTTCACGTTCAACCAGCAGCTGAACGCGAACTCGATGGCGATGCTGCCGCCCGCGCAGAAGATCCAGACCAACGACCCGAGCTACATAAAACTGGAGTCCACGATCAAGCAGAACACCCAGTCGCCCCTCTTGCAGGGCATGTGCGACGCGCTCGGCACCCAGGCCATCAGCAGGGAGTACAAGGCGTCGCCGCCCCTCGAGGACCTCCACCGGAGCATGAGCGAGATCAAGAACGAAGTCAAATCGGACTCGTTCTACAGCATGGTGCTCGACGACACCACGACCAACCCCTCCATCATCGACCAGTACCTGATGGACAACATAATGGGCGAGCCGTACGCCTCACACATGGACCTGTCGACGGTCGTGCTGCCCGACGTAGATTGCCAGTCCAACGACGTGATCGAAATAGACGACACGTCCGACGACAACAAGCTGCTGCCCCGCTTCGACATGAACTTCCCGCTGGAGTCGCTCTACCTGATGCACAACGACTTCCACTTCCTGGACGGGGAGCCCATGGCGTCGACGGGCGGGCCGGAGGCGCAGGCGAACGAGATGGGCCGGCTGGCCGGTGACGTCACATTGCAAAAGGAACCGGCGGAGGTCGCGCTCCAGGAGCCAGCCAACGAGTTCCAGAACTTCGTTCAGGGGAAGAAGGATCCCATGATGAACACTTCGGTCAGGCCGACCACGAATAAAATTAACGTTAAGAATATAGAGCTAATGAAAAACTAAATGTAACCCAACCAATACCTACCACTATACCGCCTACGTACGTATGCTGCACCCTGTATGAATGTAGTTGTTTATTGTTGTATAGTTTATAATAGTCATACTAATTAGTAATTGTGTTAATTTGTAAATATATATCGTTAAATTCTGTTACAATTCTAATCATTGATGTGTAGGTATTAGTAGATATTTAAGAAATATTAAAAAGACTGTTTTAAAATATATCAGATATTATGACACCGTTTACCGGCGTAAATAAATTGTAGTTTTATTTTTTGTTCTTTTGTAGTTGTTTATTTTAAACTCTATCAGGCCATGCAACATCCTTCACTGTTGCACGAATGGGCAGGTCCGTTTGGGGGAGTACCACGACCTCACAGAAGACCGAACGGCGTGAAGTGGAAGTGTTACACTTCTGCATTTCGTCTGGTCAGTGAGGTAGCCGGGGCCTGGGGCCCAATTTATTAGTAGGTGGCATCTGGGTGTTGAAAATAACCATCATTAAACCGACAGCTCGTTTGCCATCTTCTCACATAAAAAAAAACTCTACTCCTACGAAATGTAATTAAAGAAATAATAATAATTTAAAAAAGTTATTTATATTCCCAATGTTTTATTCAGTTTTATACTTGTAATATATTTAGTAATTCGTTAATAAAATGCTACTAAACTATAAAAAAACATTATTTATTATGTGATTGCTAAATGGGTAAACTGCGAATTAGACTGAATATAAAAATTACGTTAAGCTGTTGTTGCAAATACGGAAAAAGTACCGAAATAATTTTAGTTTTAGGTAACATAACTGCGATCAAATTTAAACATTTTGACTAACCGGCATTATAAAACCAGTAATTTTTGTCCGCTGTTTGTTATTTTTTTACAATAAACAGCAATAAAATCCTTACTATCCCTGATCTCTTGCGATGCATGAAGACACCACTCTACACCCAAATCCTGAAAAGGTATTGGGTCTGTGTGAACACCTTTACCATGTCCTGGACCTATAATTATCACAACAGAACCCACATAATGTCTTAGGTATTCAGCAAACGCCTGGCCATTGTTGAAGTAGCAAAACAATAATGCAGTAGATTTTGCATCCTTGAGAACACTGACGACTTTGGAATCCATTGAAGTTGTTGTTAGAATTAACGGTATAAATGTTGGCGGTGCGTACTTGCACTGCCACCATGCCCCGTCTACTTCAACGCCAGATACTGGTATACCTGAAAATCATTATATTATTAATAGGGAAGACTATGATCAAGACGACTAAGAATAATTTAGCATTACACAAACCTGAACACATACCTGGACTGTTTCTTTAATTATACTATTTCTATACGATTCCGGCACTTTCACCTTTCGTGCATTAAGTCTATACATATTTAAAAAATATATATATTCTAATCATCAACATACGGCAACAAATGAGAAAATCATTGACACTAGCTTCCTGTTGCAAATTTAAGAAATGTGCCAAAATCACTGCCTGTGTGTCGTCGTTGTTATTAAGTATATCCTACGCCATAGAATCTACGGAATGGAGAATATGCTGGTCTGTACCTCGCTCATGTTAAAAAATAAGAGCTTATAAATATATTCCATATTGCCGTGTAGAGTGTACCTGTCGCCTCCGTGATCACCCATTCAAGCAAACCGCTTCCGCATCCAATGCTCAAGACGCTATCGCAACCCAATTTAAAAAGATTCTCTCGTAAAAATTCAAAATTCTCCTCCGCTGGAAACACCCACAACAGCTTGTTCCGCTCCGGATGGTCGTGGTATCGGGACACGATTGCTTTCCAATTTTTCTCTTTATAAAAACTCATCACGCAGTTTATGAAATTTCCCGCCATTTTACAAAACCTCCACCTTACTGCTGCGACAATTGCTACAATTTTAAATTAATAATTTTACGAATTGTTTTCACCTCGAATTATCACCACAATGAATTGTGTAACGAAATACGGATATAGTTCGGAGCTGACAATGACCGCGCGAATAAAGCATACGCGCCAGAACTCGCCTTGAACATTGATAGATTTCTAGTCAGAGATGTATTGTAGAAAACATAAACTCCTTTGTATTACTGGGTTTATGATTTAAATGTATTAATGAAAACTGACTAAGTCAATTTCATATTGTGTCCAGGCGCTTGAATTTAACTCTGTATACCCAAGTTCTAATTTCGAGATGGAAGCAATGAATTAGTTACCAATCAATACCATAATATGCTTGGCGGTGAAGGAAAACATTGCGAAGAAGTGCATTTATATAAAACAATAAATAAAAATAGGTCATCTTGCCAATGTGTACCATGGGTTCGATGTCCACACGATCCAAAAAGTTATATAATTTGTATCTATGATGAAACCTTACACAGAAGTTATTTCTTAATAGGGAAACTCGTTCGTAAGAAATTCGGAATTCGTCCAATCTGTAAATATGAAACTAATATAACAAACAAATATATGCTGCGCAAAAGTTCCGTGAAAGGCTTCGGATAAATTGAGAAATGTGAAGGTTTACTGAGTGATATTTTTTATTCATAATGTAGGCAGTTTCTCAGATACCGTTTAAACAAAAGGATATCGTAAGTAGCGTTGCAAAACTACCAAACTAACTTAAAACCTTTGTTATCTCTATCAAATTAAAAAAAAATATTGAAATTTAGGAAAATTTAAATTATAAAGATATATCCACTTAATCCATCTCTGCACAATGTTACCTTTAGTATTTGAAGAAAAATTGGCCGTCATCCAAACAATATCTGTTGGATCTGCATTATAAAAGGAAGTAAAACAAGAAATATCTAAATTACTAAGTGTAATGAAAAAAAAACATTAAAATGTGTTTAAAAATTCATTTTATTATATCAAAGTATTGCATACAGTACAAACAATTATGATATAATAATTAGTACAATAAAATATTAACAAAAGGTTAAGTTCATGACAACTAAGCTCATATTTAAAAGAAAACAGTAGTGGACGCCAGTGGTTCCCAAACTGAGATTAAAGCAAACATTGTTCTGTTTGAACTTCTAATAAAATTTAAAAAATATTAAATTGTAAATTGCTTCAAAAGTGTACCAGCACTTCAAATGTATTTTTAAATATAACGCATAAAAAATTATTATTACTAAAAACTTATTTTTGTGGTCTTTATTATGGACCTAGCATATGAATACTCAAATAAAATAAGTAAAAGCAACATCATGAACAATTTGTATGTAATTTATATATGTACTTTGGGTATAAAACGGCTGATAAAAAGCATCTCTGCAATAGAAGAATGTTTGATTTGAGCTTGATAATAAAAGTGACATTAACAATATTATGTACTATAGAAGCCTTCAAACCTATAATAAAAATTAATAACTAAGATATTTTGAAATTAAGCACAACATAGAAATATGCATAACCAAGATTATGATTAAGATATATATATCCGTTACGGAAAAATGAAATTATTATAACATTAATATTGCATTTACCGATATAGCACCAATTTGATGTGATTTTTTTGTGGAGATTTATAATGTTAAAAATATGTGGTTGTATTGTTTACTGCTGTATGGAAAATGTTTTGTTATAAAGATAAATATGTTTTCCTCCTATTATGTAAACTGTTTGGATGAAAGTTGTTTATGGCTCTTTGCATTTCAACTTTTTTTAGCTTAATGGTTGATTCTTCAGTTTCAAAAAAGAAAATCAAACCCTACTCTGATCTATTAGATGTTGTTATCTTAACATAATATACTTGAGATCAATATATGAAGGAGATCACAAACTTCAGTCGTAGTAATAAATCTATAAGTTCTCACATATGCGAAACTGTCTACAACTTTATCACATACATTATTTTTGGCAGATGAAGCTTCATGCAATATCCAAAATTTCATCGAGAGTAAAAAAAAATGAGCAAGAATTACATTCTATAATTTCCATTCTGGCAACATATTTTCAGTTACAACATAGTACACAGTCTTTTCATTCTTGCAGATACTATGTGGTAACAATGAATTCAATTATTAATTCATTCCTTGTGATGATAAAAAGAACCATAAAAATTATGGAAGTATAGAATACCTATTAAGTAACATCAATTATTGTATGTCCCAACGAAATGTTATTTATGTTAGTTCTCCCATTAATTACAAAATGCCCCAAATCTTTCTAAGGAACAAAAAAACTAAATGCTAACATTAATCCGATTTAGAAACATTATATACTGCAGTGGACTATAATTTTCGAATTTAAAATAAATTAATCAACTTTAATGACAATAAAACAAGTTAAAAAGATACTTTTTTTTTAACTGAGATCAATTGTGCAGTCATTTTTGGTCCATCGAGCAGGATTCGCCGTAAAATACTGGCAAATAACGTTTCTAAATCTCACTGGAAATCATATTTTAAAAAATAATTATAAAGTTCACAGCTACATTATACCTTAAGGCTATACGTCTTGGACGTTTTTAAAAGCTAACATTAGTAAACTTTATGACTAATTTTGGGGGCCGAAAACTCTAATATAAAATATTTATAGTTAAATATGATGGCATATCCATACCACTTGCATAGTGATACTTGTTTTTGTTTTACGTTAAAGCACATTCGGACTCGAAATAATAAAGATCAATAAACAAAAAGGTTTTATTGAGAGTCTGCCATTAATTGATTTTTAAGACTCACAAATAACTATAAAAAAATTTAAACATAAAATACTCCTTTTTAGCTGTTTATAACGAACTTTTATGAGAAAGTAATTTTTCAATTAAAAATATTATATTTCAGATACATGTTTGAAATCAAAAGTAATCATTAGAAAACTTTATATAAGTGTTGTTAAATATATGGAGCAAGATTTTTTACAAGAGTTTTGATGATTTTGAAAATAACATTGATTCTTCCTTTGTTTACTTGAGTAACATTCAAGCTAATTCTTGTAGTAACATTCAATTTTGTCTACAGATATACATTTATATAGACACACAATTTAATTCATCAGAGTTCATTTATACCTGTATACATCACATACATTTCATCACCAAATTCAGCCTTTTGTTCTATGCATATCTGAAACAAAGCATATATTATCAAGCCCACATTCCAAATAAACAGACAACACACACCGTTCAGAAAATGAGGCACTAATGAAACTGTTAATTGCAATTTTAAGTGTTGAATTATCACGTGCTTTGAAGGAAAACGTCGTGAGGAAACCGGCATACTTTCAAACTGATCATTAAAAAAAATATTCCAGAGATACGTCAATTCGTGGTAGGATAGTGTTGGAGAAATCCCTAACACCCTTTGGGCAGAGGAGGCTTTTACTGGAAACTTGCAATTTTAAAGTAATCAACAGTAAGAAATACAACTTTACTGATGGAGCAATCATTTAAATACAGGCACAATAATAAATATCTATGTGATCAACATATAGTTAAAGTCCATTATTTCATATATATAAATCTTCGGCGCTGCACGGAGGTTATTCCCAAAGCCAAACTAGAAATAATATTTTAAAGAAATTAAGCAAGACACATACCAATCTTAGCTCAAGCTTCCATATTAGCGCTTGGTGAGATCTGACCCATAACTTGTTTGTCGCTGGACGACAGTATCAATTTGTATAGCTCCACGTTCTTCAGCGGCGGGCGCGAATGAAACTCGTTCAGGTCGCTGTTCTCTTTAAGTTTCAACATCTTCTGTTCGTCAATCGGAGGGAGGGGTAGCTCTTTTGGATTTCGCATGAGGTTGGCTCTCCTTATTTTGTGGACGTAGCCATACTCGGGCACTGGACTGGTGGGTTTCCTCTCGCTGTCGGCGTTTCGTTTCTCCACTATGACGCTTTGCCTCGCGTTGTTCGCCTCCAGAATGTAGGACTTGTCGATGTGATCCTCCTTGCTGGGTTTCTCCGCTACGCACTCCTTCTTCGGGTCCGTTTCCACTTCTAGGTACATGTGCTTCTGTATGACTTCTTGCGTTAAAGGCGGCAGCGGGTTGAGAATCTCCAACTTGTTCTTCTCGTTGACACCGTTCGTGTCTACTTGCTTTTCCGCTTGTCCGTTTGTACCGGCGACTTGTTTCAGCGCGCTCTCGTCGCATTCCACCGCCGTGGCCGGCACATACTCCGGGTGGGTGTTCCTGATGTGGCGCTCCAAATTGTCCTTTCGCCTGAAACGCCTGTTGCAGACTTTGCAGCGGAATGGTTTGGAGTCTGTGCATGTGAAATCAATGAACTTACATAAACAGAACACAACATAGCATGTTGATATTGATTATAGAGCTGTTGTATGCATTTTCCATATAGTTTAGTTATTAATGAGTTCTGCCATCTGTGTGACATGAATAATAGATTTGTACGGTGGTAGGGCCACGCAGCAGACTCGGCTGTTGCACGAATGGGCAGGCCCGTCCGGGTAAGTACGACAACCTCACAGAAGACCAGCGTAAAGTGAAAGTATAACAAATACTTTCGCGTTTCGTCCGGTGAGTGAGGTAGCTGAAGCCCAATTTTCAAAAGTTTGTCAACGCATCTGTAACCCTCGGGTGTAGCAGATGTCCATGGGCGGCGGTATTCACTTACCATCAGGTGATCCGTCTGCTCTTTTGACAACTTTTCACGTTAAAAAAAAGAACTAATTTCATTGCTTAGGGGTCGCTCATTTATCACATGTTTTTAGTATTTTTAAATTCATGCTAATTAATATCGATTTTTCATATAGTTTCGCGATTAAAAAATTGTGCCAATTTCACCTAGTGTGGGCCATGGACAGTTGAAACAATATGAAATCCAATGGTTCAATATTTGTCATCGCGTAATGACTTTTTTTTAGAATCTTTACTCGGTGAGGTATAAGACTAGTTTGGTCAGCGCAAGCGTGAATTCCGTTAAGAGACATGAAAGATATCCCACCCGAGTGCACGGCCGCGTGACGTCGCATGTCTTTGCCGGAGTGGAATGCCTGCGGACAGCGAGGGCACTGGTGTGGGCGGAGCGCCCGTGCCGCCGACGCCACACCTCCGCCCCCGCAGCTCCCCGACCGACCGCAACCGGTGCACGTGCACTTCTTCACTGCGCAAACACAAGGCACACAGGTATTATTTCTTGTATCTATGCAAACACTTCCTACTAATACTGATTTTAATAAAGAAGTACATATGGTTTATTAGGATTAATTTTACTCAAGTCTCTTTTACGGATTTATTTAACTTTAATAAATGAACAAAAACTTTTGGTGCTGCATGGTCCAGTCAGATATGGATCTGGATTCCTTTGATCAATTTTCAGCATTAGATACATTTCCAATTAGAATGTATTTGACTCTGATTTGATTAACTGTTTGGCTCCACCATTAAACTAAAGATACAAGAGCCTGTTTATTCAAGAAGGGAATTTTTCAATTAAATGTTAATTAAACAACTTACATCTTATTCACCTCTTTAAATTCTATCTAAATGTTTTTTCAAGTTCTACATGATTTTCGTTTTACTTCTGTTATGTTAGGGAAGAATAACTTCTTACCTGTATACATAAGTACACACATGATTTTTTTGTATTACTCAGTTAATAATTTTTATTATGATACACCATGGATTCCACCATAAATTGTTAAAGATAATACCACTAAGAATTGGTAAATCAGTTTGAACAGTTGCTTGAAGTGTGATCTTATTACAACTATAATAAATTAACATTAAAACCTAAATTAATGCACAATACTTGTTGATACTATTAAGATTTAACTTATCCTGGAGTGGCTAGGTTTCGACTATTCATCTAATGGCAAGTAAGGTAATGATGTTATTGGAGATTAATTCACTCACTCAATAAACATTATCTTACTCTACATAATAATCAGATCGTAAAATGAATGTTAACAATTATTGTTCCAATTGAAATGAGTGCATTATGAAAAAAACTAAAGAAATATATATCCCCATAGGTGTCATAGAAGTAAAATAATTAAATATCAAACTATGAACAACTTACTCTCATGCTTTGCAACATGTTTCCTATAATTTGATCCATCCCTGAAGCGACGACCACAAGCATTACACTGATAAGGACGCTCTTCCGTATGTGTGAGACCATGCTTACGCAGTGACGTCAAATTGTTAAAACCTTTATTGCACTCTGCGCACGCATATTTCTTTTCTTCTGTAAGAATATTATTTGCATTATTTGCTGTCGCCTTTAGTGTGAAAAATTGTGGATTTAATTTAGCATGAAGCAAATATTAGCATTTATATATTTGTATTGTAAATTTGCTGGATAAAAGTTTAATCATCATTGATCAATTTATGTTATTACAGCATCCCCATAACAATGGATTATCATATCCTAGTGAGTATAAAAAAGTCCTATGAGTATTAAATTTAATTTTTTTTTAAATTATATAACTTTATAAATGAAACTAATTTTATTGTATAACATGTAATTGCGTAAATACAAGAAACTAATATTTATTAAAATTATTGATTCAGTTCTTTAAAGTAATGGAAGTGATTACAAATAGATCAAGAAATCAAACAAGAGTTATTAACTTTATACAGAATTTTTGCATGGATATTTCATTCCATAGCAAAATATACATTCATAAATTATCTATATTGTCTTTTGCATAGTATGAAAATTGTAGTAACTATTAATATACTGAAGTAAAATCAAAACTAACTTGTATGCTTTAACTTGTGACGTTGCAACTTTGACATCTGAAAGAAGCTGTCACCACACACCTCACAGGCATAAGTTCTCTCATTGCGATGAACCCGCATATGGTATTTGAAGTGAGAGTGAGTTGCAAAACTCTGTAATTTAAATACAATCAATCAATACTTATCTAATTACAATGTTTACAAAAGTTCATTCAGCTCTTCTCTAAAAATATAACCTATGTTGGGCTTCATGGGAAGACATAACTGTGGTATTAAAAAATGGGCAGGTCCTTCCGGGTAAGTACTACGACCTCACAGAAGACCTGCGTGAAGTGGATGTATAAAACTTGCGTTTCATTTGGTGAGTGAGGTAGCTAAGGCCCATTTTATTAAAAGGTGGCAATGCATTTGCTGCCCTATGGGTGTAGGAAATATCCATGGGCGGCATTTATCACTCAACATCAGGTGAACCGCTAGCTCCCTAACCACCTTCTCAAACATAAAAAAAAATAGTAGTCCTAATACTTGTAATTTGTGAAAATTAAAATGTACAGGAACATATCAATATAATTAATATTACCTGATATTCAATGGCAAAACTTAACAGTGAGGTGGACTTATCTGGATTATTAGTTACACATTAATATTAAGAGTGAAAAAAGATGATTAAATTTGTCTCAATAGTAAAAGCAACTTAAAGGATCACCTGTATTTCCAAATAGAGATCTAGCAAGACCTATTATTAAAGTTGTTCTTGCTCTGTTAAACTTTTAGAGTAATATTTAATATAGTTATATAATACTTGTGATAACTGTTTGCTGTTACAAAAATAATATTTATTACCTTATTGCATTCAGGACACTGATATGGCTTCCTTTGTCCATTGCAATATGCATGGTATGCCACTTGACTACGAGCATGGAACCTCTTTTTGCATACTGTGCATTCATAGAATTTTTCACTACCAACTGAAAGTGATAATCCAAAATTAGGATAACCAAAAATTCTTGTATCAGACAAACTAGTATTGATTATTATATTCCTAAGATTGTGTATTTACATCAATTTTTTTCTCCATCCAATTTAATCTAAGTTGTTGCATTACCTGTTACTATTCGGACATGTGATGTTTCCGGTTTTATCTTTTTACTTAATTCTTTAGGTTCGATCTGTCCTTCACCTGATTCCTGGTCACTACCTTCCTTCTGGCAAGCAACGCAACCTGATTTTTCAAGAAGCAAGCAATCCATACATTTTATGTGACCACAGTCTTCAGTCACTAGTCGATTATCAGTCTGGTTAACGGGTTTGGAATTGCGACAAATAACACAAATTTTAGGATTCATATCGAAATATGTTTACCGAACAGGTTACTCCAGATATCAGTTTTTACAACAACTTTTCACATTTCCCTTCACTAATAACAAAATGCTAACTAATAGCATGAGTTTATAATGTATTTAATAAGGAACGCATAACGAAAATAAATGTAATAGAAATTTTCTTCAAATATAAAACTTCGTTTAGGATTCATGTTTTATTGACACCAATTGACAATTGACTTTGAGTTGACAAATTCTAACAAAACACAGATTAAATTTTTACTAATTTTTTTTGTCATGACACTCGGTGAATGTCATTATATGCCGGTCCCAGACGTGCGAGCAAATGTTTGCATTAATCCTCAAATGCTATGCGATATTTACAAAATACTTGTAAATATATTTTTTCGGGGATTTTATCAGTGCGATTTTTAAGTGCGTACAGCTCGTGGATTCAAGCCCCTGATCTAACTTTTCCCCCTCAGTCACAATCTTAAGGATCGTCATTCCGCTCTAGTATTAACTTGATCGAACGTTGTTCAGAGTCAGAGAGTTTAATTCAGTAATTACTTCCAATGAGACATTCTTCAGAATGGGTATATCTAAAATCTTGGGATTTTCATTCAGGTTCGGAAGCAATCTGGTAGGTTCCACAGGCCTAGGATATCAAAAAGTAAATAATAATTTATATTAAATAATAAAAATAATATAAGTTATCTATTGCGACTGCGTCGACCCATTCGTCCATTGTATCCTCCGTCTTCACAAATACTAATCCACACACACAAATGTGAAACTAAACAAGTGTAGGAGCAGAAAGATTTTTTTCGAGTATTTAACAAATATTTCCTAAAATATTTTAATAAACATTTGCACACATGTCTGGGACGGGCATAAAGGGGCGCCCATTCACTATCCTGCCTGGTAGTCCGCCGTGCAGTCCGCCGCTTTATGCAGAATCGTGAATGGTGTTGCAGGCCTGCCCAGTTTCTGGCATCACCGAACAGGACGCGCCTTGCAAGGGACCTGCAAGCTCCGCCCACCGCTTGCAGTCCATAACTAAAACTAAGATAAAAAACTTTTTTATATTGAAATAGTTCAACTTGAGAAAAGCTTAGATTATTACTTAAATTTTATGTAGATTAGTATGATAATGTGAGGAAAGGTTATTTATTAATAAAAACTTTTATCTAACAACAAAAAAAAACATAGCAGAATCGCTATTTTCTTTTTTTTTCGATACTTCACGTAAATCCATAATTATTACATCAATAACACTGACACTATGATGGACGGCTTGCAGGATAGTGTGTGGGCTACATCCTGCTTTGCAGTCCTGCACGGCGGACTGCCAGGCAGGATAATGAATGGGCCCCTTAAAGCCCGGTTTTCATGCTTTATACAAATGAATTTTGTATACTCTCCTATCCGTTTGTCTGTTCGTGTCATCACCGATTTTCAGTCAGGAACGGGTGGTCTTAGCTAGTTAAAATTTATTTTGAACCAGATACTGAGGTCTATAGATCTATTAGGTCTATATAGGATCTATTTGGTGTATAAAAATCAAGGTTCTCAGTCAATATGATAAAAAGATATGGGCTAATTTAGATTTTTGCGAAAACTTGTAAATACCAAAATTTACCTTTATTTTTTTTTTATTTCGGAATTTTCCCTTTACCTTTGCTGTAAGACCTTGCTTTTAACCAAAATTGATAATTCTATTTTGGTTAAAAGGCTGAAGGCTCTCAGCGAACTCAACTTGCTAGGTCCACTCGTTCCTGAGAAAATTGGTGGTGATTATTTACCAATTTTATTGTAGCGGTATAATAGGTAGATACGGAACCATCGGCGTTTGAGTTCGACTCGCACTTGACCGTTTTTTTGACATTTGAAAGACATAAGAGCCATCACCGCGTTCGGCTGCCAATTAACAAGTGAGAAATGAGTGACCTGTTCAGTGACAACTCACAACTAAGCCCGGTGGCTCAAAAAGTTAATATACAATATACGGAAACGGTTTTCCGTGTATTGTATATTAACTTTTTGAACTTTGGTATTAACGATGGGTCGTTGAAGATTTTTTCGTCAACTTAACGTTAACGTTGATTCATGTTCGTTAACTAGTTGATCAACTAGTTAAATTCGTCAACTAGTTAAGGTGACACTTATGGCAATTTGCTTAGATGAATGGATGTTATCAGTCTAAATAGTTTGAGTAACTATTCACTTTAATCAATTATAAATTAATTAATTTAAAGAAAAAAGACATCAAGTAAAATTCTGATAATATTGTGTGAAGTAAAATCATAAAAAATATAATATAAAAGACATCTTAAACATCACGTAAAATTATGAGCCTCAAAATAATCTCTGATCTTTCGTACAATTGTTCACACACTGTCAAAACAAAATCTTAAAAAAGCGAACCTCAAATTCAAATTCAATCGTTACGTTCGTTTTAATTTATTAAACGATATAATTTGCTAAACTCCTTTCTTGGTAGATGTATAACTTATATAATAGAATAAGTGACATCCACAAACAATTACGTCTAAATAATTTCAAACATTTTGTAAAAGCCACCTTGATATAAAAGGCCTAATATAATGTCGTGGAATACATTGAGGACAAGGATGTGTGGCAATGACTCTTGCTCTGCACTTGCAAGTCCCCTGGCTCCTGCTAAATTATACTAAAATAATTTCTATATGACCGCAGAGTTTCTCGCCAGTTCTTCTCTTGCAGGTCTAGTTTAGTGAACCGGTGGTAGTTTTTGACGTTCAGTAAGAGCTTAAAATAAGCCTATGTTGAATAAAGAAATTTTGACTTTTATTTGAAACGTCGTTGATGAATTCAACTAGTTGATTTTCTTGAATGGTAGATGTGGCTAATGGGATCACTTTCAAGCCAAAAAGACACTTAAGGACTGATAAGAAAACTATTTATTTCAACTCAAACATTTTGAACTTATTTTTAACGAAACGTAGTGATTATGAAATTTATGTAAAATACAAGTGTTATAATATTAAGTGATTACGCTCATAATTTTACGTGATGTTTAAGATGTCTTTTATATTATATTTTTTATGATTTTACTTCATACAATATTATCAGAATTTTACTTGATGATTAAGGTGTCTTTTTTCTTTAAATTAATTAATTTATAATTGATTAAAGTGAATAGTTAGTCAAACTATTTAGACTGATAACATCCATTCATCTAAGCAAATTGCCATAAGTGTCACCTTAACTAGTTGACGAATTTAACTAGTTGATTTTCTTGAATGGTAGATGTGGCTAATGGGATTACTTACAAGCCAAAAAGACACTTAAGGACTGATAAGAAAACTATTTATTTCAACTCAAACATTTTGAACTTATTTTTAACGAAACGTGGTCATTATGAAATTTATGTAAAATACAAGTGTTATGTTAGAGAGCTAGACATGTTATCTCTTGAAGCTATTCTTACGCAATCAATCAATTATGACACAATTCAGTCTGAACAAATAAAACTAACATTCCAAATTTAAAGTAATTCAAACATAATACATAAATCAAAAAGGTCAAGTATGTATAATCTGAGATTATCAATCAACAGATTTCATGGAGAGTTAAAGTTAATACGTTGACAAGAGATGAACCGTTGATTAAATAACTACTTTGTTGATTCAACGCCCATCGCTATTTGGTATGATACTTTATCAATATGACATTCGCCGTTCTATGTCTGTTCAGAATTGCTGCTTTTATTATTTAAAACATCTTAATTGTATAATAACAAATATACACCTGAAAGAAGTAAAGGAACTAGTCTAAAAATTGTTATATTATATATAATTATTGCGTTGCGATAATTTAACTTCCTCCAATTTTTTATAATCTATGTTTTGTACTTGCTCTACAATGATAGTTGTCAATTAATATTTAATTCCGTTTCGTACGCCTTGAAGCGTTTTTATATATAAAATATAAGTAGCATATAATTTTAAATAATAATCTCACTATGGTATGTTTTATGAATAGAGCGGGGTTGTTAAATATAAATTTATCATCTTACTTTGTACTTGTGTTATATTAGCAACAAAATTCATACGTGTAACCTCAAACGTTGAATTTGTTTTCAGGATGTCTTTTTAATGATTAGGCGAAAAAAGTTAACCATCTTTACTGACGCCAAAGATACAACGACTGTACTAGAATTGAAAAAAATGATTGAAGGTGAGTAATCATTGAAAGATATCAGAATAATCTATTTTTAGTTCTTAGACAATGTCGGACGTATGAAATAAGCGATTTGTTAGGTGCATATGTTTGATGTAAACATATGCACATTTTTCAGTTCTATCACTATGCCATAATAATGTCAATATTAACAAATTTAATTTATGCTCTTGGAACTACTTATGAATGTCATTCAGTATTTTTTCCCAGTACCTTTTTTATGTCTATTATATGTTAAGACATTGTATGCAGACTATATCGGTATTTGTAGTTTGAAGTAGGGAAAGTAGTGTACATGTGGTGTTTGCTTGATGCACGCTGAGCAATGAGCTTATCTATATAACTGTAATTTTGTTACCAATGGTAAAGTTCAGTTAGTGCTCTGGCCTGGGTGGCAGGTTTACCTACAGATTCAAATCTCTGTTAGGGTTTGGGTTTATTAATAATCAAGTTTAATTATTATTAAATTCATTAATTTTGGTTGTAAAAGAGATTGAAGAACCTATTTTGACTAATTATGGTGACTGGATGAGAATGCTTATTAGCATTAATTTTGCCTTTTGTTTGGCCTTATTTTGGGGTGTAAACAATAAATTTTTAAATATATATATTTAATAAATGAACACACGTCTGTCGCTACTTGCCAATAATCATAAAAAATATTAACGTTAAACAAAATCCATAATTAAAAAAAAATATTTTTCAAACAAACTAATTAAGTAAAAAGAAACAAAATTTGTAACATCCTATACAACTCGCGCCACAGCGTCGTATTACAGCCATCTCCTTCTAACAGTATGTTTTGTCTCTTTTAAATTCATTCAACCCATTCATATGCTTTGTGACCTTTACAAATGAACTTTACGTTACGCTTTTATAGGTAAGGGTGTTCTAAAATTCTTTGTTTTGGAAAATTTAATAACTTTGTAAATATTGATGTTTAAAGAATTTAAATGTTTAATACAACTTTAGAAAGTTATCCGCTATATGTGTGTTTATTTAATGTCGCGATGGCAACAACACAAAATATATATATATATATATATATATATATAGTGGTGTTTGTTTATAATTTAAATATTAAAACAAATTATATATGTTTATTTAAAATTCCTGAGATATGGATATAGTACCACCCATTATAGTGTATCTAGATTATTATCTTATACACCATAAATATATTGGTACTGTAGTCAGATTTTAACTCTATGTGTTATAATTGAAATATTGAAATAATTTAGGTTATAATTTTTTCCATTCCAAAAGTTTTGTTTATAATGTTTCAGGTATTCTTAAGATACCACCACCAAGTCAGATGCTATTCAACAAGGACAGCCAACTGATGGAAGACGAGAAAACTCTTGCTGAGTATGGGCTGACCTCAGCTACGGCTAAAGCACAATGTCCTGCTCCAATCGGATTGGCTCTAAGGTATGTCTTGAGAACAAAAACTTTATTACAACTTAGAAGGGGTTGGATACTACGACTGCATAAAATATGAGTAGATACCTATACTGAATAACTTGTTAGTTATTAGACTTAGCTTGAAATTGATTTATTTGCCACTGCTATCAAGTAGTCAAAATAAAAAATACAGTAAGCCTGAAATTGATGAAAACTTATCTATAATATGATGACATGGCTAATAAATATGTAATGACGTAACTTAAATGATGATATTAAATGAATAATAATGAATATATAAATCATTGTGTTGATAAGATTAAAATTTGTATACATATAAATTATTAGTAGGTATTCAAGAGTCAATAACACCAATAGCAAATGTCTAGTTTGTACTAGTTTTTTTTTTTTTTTTTAATTTTAAAATTTGTCTTTGTTGTTATTCTCAACCTTGCTTGAAGAATCCATATGCCACCATCACTGCCCCTAAACTTGAATATTCACTATTAAGGTTTAAAAAAGTCAATGGAAACCCAAATTTTGTTAAAAGAAAATTGATTATTATTATTCCATTAGAAACAAGATTTTAAAATGTTGGCTATTGATGTGGTTTTTCATAATGAGGTACCTATTTATTTCGTTAAAACACCAATCGCCATGTGTATGTAGGACCTTATTGACCTATGTCCTATGCATTATATTTCTTGCCAAGTACCACATCTACTTTACTGCCTTGTTTGTTAGTGCCTAAACAAAGGCATAAAAACCCGTAATACGGCCCGTATTTACCCAATAAAATCACCCAATTAAAGATTACTTCTAATTCTAAGTTCTAAAATGTATTGAACATGTGTTACAGGAAAGAGAATGGTGAATTTGAAACATTGGATCTGACCCCATACTCCTCACCACCGGATTTGCCAGACGTCATGAAGTCACAGGAGACCAATGGCCAAGAACAGGTAACTTAAGAACGCGAATTTTGTTGTCTTTCAGTACAGTTTTATTCTATAAAAACTAAGGGAAGCGAATTTAAAAGTCGCTTCTAAATCCTTTTCATTTTATGTCTATAACTCTTTTTATTTATAATCTCTGTCTTTGAAATATATGTTTAATTTATTATAGATGGATCAACACTAAATGACTCAGCGAGATTCAGATAACATCGACGAGAACTTCAACTGCGTATATACATACTAAAGCACTGATTCTAAAGCTCTCCATTCAGCAGACATCCTTTGAGCCGAGAGAGCAACATCTTACGTTTTATAATTTGCATTGTGAACATATTTTGTTAACTGTTTATCAACGATATGTGTTTTCCATTTTAACACAATTTACTCAATTTTTAGTATTTTTGTGACACTTTGACGAGTGTAGCGCTTTTTATGTAGTGTATCCTCAGGATTAAACTTAAAAGAGTAAAGACAGGTAATAGTTATGTGATGAATTAGATACATATTTATTTCCATTAGACATTGGAATTTGATTAATTCAGTTTCAGTATAATATGAATGATATAGATTCGTACAAGCAAGAACATATTAAGAATACTTATAGTTTAAGGTAATTGATAAATATGACAAAATAAAAAAAGTAACTAACAGTTAACTGGTGCAATGTATAATGATTGTCAATATGACTCATCCACTGTTTTGTTACTGCTGTAGGTTTCTATATAATTCATATTCAAAAGACACTAGTGTCACATGCTCTTCTTCTGTTATTATTGTTTATTACCATGCTCTTGCTCAGGCCTTTGCATGTAATTTAAAGTTATTCTAATATTTTCTACAACTGATATCTGTCACTATTAAATGTTAAAGGTAAGAAAACTTTGTGCCTACATTGAATTTGCATTGATAAATGACGCTTTTGTCTCTACTACTAATATTAATTTGTATTATAGCTTCACAATTTACCCGCTGTTTACTATTTTAATACCCATTAAAGATATCATACGGGAATTAAAATATTATTCTGCCAAATTACCTGTCAATATGTTGTGTAGTCTGTATATTATTTGTAACAAAGTTTCCTATTGAAAAAACTCCCTACAAAGTTTTAATGTATTACACATGTTGAAAAAAACTTTTTTTCATATGACGCATGTAATTAAAAGTTTTTAATCATTAATTTAAAACAATTTTCACAATGTTTCATGCCTAACACTGGAAAACAAAACCTTATAAATTCAAATTATCTACAGATTATACAAGATAGTTACAATTACAATCATCATAATATAATTTTGAACTAGAGTTCTTTCATTGAGTTAGGTAAATGTGCCTATCAAACTTAATGATTATAAAGCCATCTTTAATGCCTCTGCCTTTAAAATGTGCAATCTCTGTAACTTCAGTAGACTCTTTGCATTTGCTCGACACTGAGCTGAAGAACTATCTCTCAAAATGTTTTTAAAATTTTTAACCAACAGAAGAATATTTCTGTATGGTGCAGTATTGTGAGATAATCTTAAGCTGTGTGAGTGACTATAAGTACTATTAATTTAAAATTGTTCGGTATTTAACTGATAATAGTATAGAATGTACTATAGATAATAGCTAATTTAATAGTTTAATATAGGGGCTTTTATATTCTTGAAAATTGGAGATATTAGTCATATAGCCACCCGTTATTTGTTTTTCTAATTCAATTTAGAAAAATTATAACTTGTTTTCCAATCGCTTTTTATTATTGCCCAGTAACACATTAATTGTATTTTTCTGAAGTTATCATAATTTTTGGGCCTTGCATTGAATGTCACAAGACAGCTTTTAAAATAGAATAACCTAAAGGTGCTATATCTGATAAAGAACTATCAGGGTGAATTAACGAGGAAGTTGAAGAGACATATTTCCATTAAACATCAGTCATGACCTGCAATACCTAATAAAAAAGTAAGCTTTAAATTCAACTTTCTTGTATATCTGACTCAGATGATGATGGTTTTGTAGAACTACAATTAGTACAAATTTGAAATGTTACTAAACTTTAGAAGGAAAGAACTTTACTTTCCAATTCAATGTTTAGTAAGCAAAATCTATTGCTATTTACACCTTAGCACCATGTACCTTGCTTTACAAGTAACTACAACTTAATAATAAATTTTATTTCAGACCATAATTCTTTAGAAATTTTTGTTACATTTATGTTATCTTGAAACTCTTTTCATGTATCAAGTTTACTTTAGCACATCAATGCAAACCCGATGCAAAATATCAGTTTAATATAGTTAGCAAATTTTAAAATGTAAACTCCAAAATTACACATTAGTATCCAACTGCACTATAAAGTGCATTTATAAATCATTTCCTCGCATATGACAAACTGCACTACAATATGAAGGGTTGTCGATTCCATCACTACCACTGAAAACTTTTTTTTTAATTATTAAAGTATCATATCTTGACCTACATGATATTCTTTCTGCCAAAGTACATGTGGTATAGGAATGCCAATATTCGGGACTATTTCCAAATATTGGAGACAATTTTACTCTGTAAAGGTTACAACAAGTTGTCTCTCATATACACAACTTTTTAATGTTGCTAAATCTACTAGTATGAGTGTATGCAGCAATAACATTTAATAGGTGTTGGTTTTCATAAGAGATTCAGTCTTATGCTCTCCTAATCCAAAAACTTGTATATGGCGATCAAGAACTTCATAAACGTAACGAACAAACATATTGTCCATGTATGAGAGTCGAAGAATATGTAATGTAGAATTCATGTGCAAGTATGGGAAATTTTAAGAGAACCAGCAGGAAATAAAGCTGTTTTGATTTTTTTTGTGGTGTTGTTATTTATCATACCTACCTTGTGTATTTAAATTATGTTATCATTTAAGGATAAAGCTGAAGAAAATAGAACATAAAATAGTTGACAAGTTTTTCACCGCTGTGAGGATTTGAACCTGCGTCCACCGGGAAAAGCTTTCGACGCCACTGAGCTGAACAGGCTTTCTCTGCACCGACGAAAATATATATCTTTAGCGTCATCTAGTGTTTCCTTCACAGCAAACAATCACTTTTTCATATAACATTTTACAATGGAATATTTGAAAACTATATGAAATTTTATACTATTCTCTGCACTTTTTATAAGAATGGACAAAGAGTTTCAGTGACTTTCTAGTTTAAAACCAGAGAAAATGGGGGATTGGGAAAATTTCGACATGTCTGTAGGTTACCCAAACGGGTGTATATCAGTAGGACAATTAGAACGCACACCTCCGCGACCTCACCGTCGCTTGCCGGTTCTCTGGAACTTAAAGGTAGATTCGGTGGGCAAAGAGTGCTTTAATCACTGGCTTGGGTATTAAGTTTAATTAAGACTCCGTTGTCGATCGGAGATGATGATCCCCAAGATGGATATTCAAATATCCATCTTAGGGCCCTTTGGATGATTTTTATGTGAAAAGTTGCCAACGGAGCAGATGATTCACCTGATGTTAAGTGAATACCACCACCCATGGACGTCTGCAACACCCGAGGGTTTCGGAAACGTTGAACCTTTCGAAAATTGGGCTCCGGCCACCTTACTCACCAGACCACGAAAATATTAAACTTCCACTTTGCCGGTCTTCCGTGAGCTCGTGGTACTTACCCGGACGAGCCTGCCCATTCGTGCAACAACCGAGGCTGCTGCGTGGCCCTACTACCGCAAATCGTATCGTCTGAATCTTCTTGTTAGTAGAATTGTGATAAAGCGGAGCGGATTGCGTTATCTAAAAAAGAGCTACATTGTTTTTTTGATTTCGCGGTTCGTCTATCTGCGGAACTATTTTCTCTTCAACGAATCTGCCAAAGCCGGGTTAACACCAAACTAGATTTAGAAAATAACCACCTTTATTGCGTGAAATGAGGTGGTTTTTTCTAAAATATGACATTGGCCTAAGGCATTGACAATTTGGATAGATAAATATTTTTATTTTTACATTGACAATGACAAGTCTAACAGCATGCATGTCGTTTTTTTAACCTAGGTTATAGTTATCAAGATTCGATTTTTAATGTTTTTATTTGTCTATTACAATTTTAATGTGAATTTTATAAAATTGAGAATTTTAAGAACAACTTGAAATTGGAGGAATTGTGATAACGCACAAAGGAAGTCATTAATAAAAAGAAGAAGAATTTTATAACCTTAAAATCACGTTTTTGTTTACGTTTGAAAAATATATAGTATAGTTCCTTATTTTACTCTGAATCGAAAGTTGTTTTGTGGTAGTTAAAATGGGAAAGCGAAAAGGAAAATGTGTCAAAAAGAATGCAGCAACTAAAGAGGCTTTAGAACCTGAACATTTAGTGAAAGCGCCCCATTCGTTTGTTATTCATAGAGGAAAATGTACAAAAGACCTAGAAGATTTGACGAAGGATTTTAGGAAGATAATGGAGCCGTTTACTGCTTCTCAGCTAAAGGTTATATTATTACTTAGATCTTTTAATTTAATTCCGTATTTTATGACATAGGATTTTGTTTATTTGGATCGGAACTGATCTGATGTCGAAGATATACAGCGTGTCGTTACCACCGCGACAATAAATGAACACACATATAGGGGATAACTTTTTAAAATTGTATTAAACATTTACATTCTTATAAACTAACTAACTACTAAACATCAATATTTTCAGAGTTATTAAATTTTTCAAAACAAACAATTTTAGAACACCCTTATGTTTAAAACTGTAATGTAAAGTTCATTTGTAAAGGTCACAAAGCATATGAATGCTTTAAGAAAAAAAATGTTATAAACATGTCATCTCTTTTAACTGTTTCCTAAGGATATCCTTATGATGTTAATAATTAATTATTTAAAATTTTTCTTTCTCTTTCAGGAAAGAAAGAAAAACACAATTAAAGATTTCTTGTCTGTATCAGGTTACCTTCATGTCTCACACATGATGGTATTCACAGAGACAGAGTTAGGTTCCTACATGCGTCTAGCAAGATTACCCCGAGGGCCTACATTAACTTTTAGGATACACAATGTAAGTTATGTTTTAATATCACATAGTTACTTATAAATTTTTATATGCAAAATGATTTTTTAACTCTATGGGAAAGGATTTTGGAAAAAGACAAACACTTCAAAGAAAATGGGTAGCAAAGTCAAAGTTCAAATCTAAATTTCTTTATTCAATATATGCTTCTTTGGCTTACTGAATTTAAAATTTTTATAGTGTTGATCTCTGCACTGAAAGTGAATAAAATTTGCAGAAGTCAATGAAAAGTTTCTGTGGGAATTGAACCCACGTCTTCTGCATTCGTGCCCAAACAGTTTAACCTTTAGCTGATTGCCACACCAACAAAAGTCTTAAAATATTTTATCTACGTTGTTTCTTTGCATTTTAAGTCATGCTTGGCACATCTATTGTTTTGTCCTTTACCATTATCGTTTTACTATGTGAATACGAACGAAAGATGGTGCAATTTGAAATTAAAATATTTTTGTTGCATTAAAATTTTTTAATGTTTTATCTTAAGTGCAAAGATTAGCACTAAAAAAATTTTTTAAAAGTTGTTATGCACATATCTGGGGGCTATCGGTAATTATAGTCATAAGTTCCAAATTAATTTTATTGTTACAGTATAGTTTATCCCGTGATGTTATATCATCGTTAAAGAAGCAGTATGTTATGTCACGTGCATTCAAAAGTGCACCCCTAATTGTTCTAAACAGTTTCTCTGGCGAGGGAAATCACATGAAGCTAATGGCAACTATGTTCCAGAATATGTTTCCAACTATTAACATAACAACGGTGAGCAGTTTAAAAATATATAATACATAATATTGATACATGCTAGCATTAATTTATTAGCCCTCAAATGTGTAATTGACTGATTTTGAAGGTTTTTCTTAACGTTTTTGCGAGAATTTAAATGTTTAAAATTTTTGAAAAAAAGAGACAGTGAGTTACTAAATTGTACTCATTGTTAATTTTTGGCTTTATAAATCTTATCCTTTAAACGAGCAATTCTTGTATATATATATATATATATATATATATATATATATATATAATTACATATATTCGGAATCTCGGAAACGGCTCCAGCGATTTTCATGAAATTTAGTATGTGATTAGATTCGGGGGGCGAAAAATCGATCTAGCAAGGTTTCATTTTTAGACAATGTCCTTTCATCCCTGTTTTCAGGGAATGAAAAATATCATTCGAATATGACAGTAAATTTCGCCGCAAATAATGTTATAATATCTCGGTCGGTAATCTGGCGGCCCCAAAACAGACGGCCGCGGTTCGTATCACGATCATTTACACACTTATTTTTTTTAGTTTTTTTTCTATACCAGATCATTTTCTTTATTTTTTATTTTTTTTATTTCCAAAATACATGATTTACCAAAATAAAACCGATACGGTCCTCCAGATACGAATAAAGAATAATATATTTTCAAATCCAATAAAGAATAATATATTTTCACTTTCATTTTGGGTCTTTATTAGTACTGATTGCTGTATCATTTTTACAGGTTAAACTGAAGAACATCCGTCGCTGCGTTTTAATGAACTATAACCCGGCCACGAAACTTATAGATATGCGCCACTACGTCATCCGTGCAATACCAGTTGGTCTAAACAAGGGAACTAAAAAGGTAATAGTGGAGTGATTTGACTATTACAATAATTGAACTATTTATTATTATTCAGCATGGAATATTAAAAATGGGCTTTTTTTTACAAAGTCCTTTTGATTATTCTGTAACTTATTTACACTGCTTTGTCAAAAACAATTGTGTCAATGGATATCCTTAACAGTTTTCTATTGCAGATGGTGCAAGGCAAAATACCTAACCTAAATAGATGTAAGGATATGTCGGAATTCTTTGATAAGTGAGTCTTTCACACTTTTAAATTTAGTATACTACAATATACAACGTGTCGTCACCACCGCGACAATAAATGAATACACGTCTATCGCTACTTGCCAATAAACATAAAAAAATATTTTTCAAACAAACTAATTAAGTAAAAAAGAAACAAAATTTGTAACACCTATACAACTACAACTGACTGATTCATACACTCAGAGACTTTTTCATTCGTTACCACAGCGTCGCATTAATTTTGATGTTTAAAGAATGTAAATATTTAATACAATTTAAAAAAATTATCCTCTATATTTGTGTTCATTTATTGTCGCGCATGTAAAGACACGCTGTATAACACATAATATATATACATTTGCATTATCAATGTTATAATTTATTTTAAAGTACAACTTGCGCAATAAGTTACCAAGTTATACAGGGAGGTTTTTCTAAGGGTATAAATTTTTTAAATTAAATTCTAGACATAAATAATGTTATATAAAAAATGATAAATATTTAAAATCACTCGTAATTAATTAATTACATTCATTTGAACTTATCTCAAAATGTGCGTGATTTATGGGGAACTCATTTATTTTACGCGCGATCATTCATAACTAACACATACACAAGTTCGTTTCAAAAGTCTACGACGCATTTATGAACGACTACCGCATTGTCAACAAGTTCTGATTTTAGGAAATGAAATGCCTTAATGTAGCGATATACTTAAACCGTGATAGGAACACGCGACAGTCTTCGCTTTTGCAGAAATTGGCAGGGCCGTCCGGGTAAGTACCACGACCTCACAGAAGACCGGGGTGCAGTGGAAGTACTATTCTTCTGCGTTTCGTTTGTTGGGTGAGGTAGCCGGGGCCCGCATTACAAAAAGGTGATTACAACCCTACGGGTGTTGCACATGTCAAAGGGCGGTGGTTATCACAGTTGGTTTGCTATCTTCTCGCGTAAAAAAACTTCAAAGCCAATGTTCGAGTATTACGTAAACAAACTTAACTATATAAACAAATAATTATAGCTGCAATTCTGGAGTGATGCCTTTGGATTCACCAAGGCGAGAACTGGAAAACTCCAGTTCTCGACTTCGAGTTGTCACTTTGGATCCAACGGGTTATTTCGGCAATTCTGGAACGCGAATGATGCCATTGGATCCTTATAGACGTCCCCCCCCTCCTCCGTATGCGATGAAAACTCCATTTCTCGAACGCGGGTTGTCACTTTGGACCCAACGGTTGATTGCAATGCTTGCAGGGCAGCGTTGCTATCGGAGAGCGAGTTCGAAGACGACCCGAGCTCGCAGGTGCTGCTGCCGCAGAAGCTCGCCTCGAGGGGCGCCGCCGCCGATTCCAGGTCCGCCATACGCCTGGTGGAACTGGGTCCGAGGATCACCATGCAGCTTATGAAGGTATCCCCTCGTTCTATGAACGTGCATCTGGATCGCTTCAAGGCCGATACGACTTGTGAAGCCCTAACTCGAAGACCGGCACCGCTTCTCAAAGTTAAAGTCTATAAGTCAAAATTTCGTTATTCAATACTAGCTCGGATATAAATTATTTTGGTCTATAATCAGCAGCAGCCAGGGTGCTTGTAAGTGGAAGGAGTAATTTCCACACATCCTTGTCGTATATAGCTTTTATACAATGTTTGAAATTGTTTGCACTTGTTGTTTGTGGATGTCACCTATTTTTTTTAAATATAAGTAAGTTAGTTATAATTGTCAACTCCTCTGCAGTGTTATTCGTGAAAAAACTCTATAAAAATTTATATATAAGCCTATATAAATAAATAAAAGCTTCCAAGTGTGCAAGTGGTTCACTTGATGTTACCAACATGGACATTTACAAAGCCAGAGGTGGTTGGTGCATTGTCAAACTTTAAACAGAAGTTGATACTTCTACTCTAACTGGTCTTCCAAAGCCACGGTACTGCCCCGGACGAACCTGGCCATTCTTGCAACAGCTGTTATTACAAAATTCAAGATTCAAAATATTTTTATTCACATAGACGCTTGTGCGTTCTTAAGAAACGTCGAAATTTTACATACAGTCTCAGTATTCCGGAGTCCCTGCACATTGTTTAAAGGCGACGCTGATTTTTTGGCTCAATTCCAGGTAGAGGATGGCCTCATGGATGGAGAGGTGCTGTTCCACGAGCTTATAGAAAAGACGGAAGAAGAGAAGGCGTATATAAAGAAGAAGCGAGAAGAGAAAAGGTGATAATTATTAATACATTAACAATTAAAACATCAAAAAACCTTGTGTAGTACAGTGTGAGGGTATTATTTATGTGTCGTAATATATAATATACATAGAATAGGTCGCTATACATACGAATAATAAACATTTTTACGCAGAAAAAGTGACAAACGAAATACTGATTGATTCACGTCACTGATTTAAAATCCCTGATCTTAGCATCTACGACGTCCCACCCGCGACACAATCATTCTCTATTAGGTTGTTAGAAATTAATAAAATATATCTTTGTGTATTTTTTACTTCATCCATAAAATAGGTACTTTTAATTTTCCAAGTTCTTACTTTAATATTCTAATAAGCTGAAGAAATGTTGGCATCCTCACTCGCCATGTACATGAAATATCTTTATAGAATTTCGTACTTAGCAGATAATAAATATTGTTATCAATATTTCATAACAAGTATACAATTTAATAAACAAATATGTTCTAATGTTATTTAATGTGACCTTGGACTTTTTTCAGACGTCTGAAAGAAAAACGCAAAGCGCAACAGGAGGCTAACGTCAAACGTAAAGAGCATGAGAAGGAGGAGCTCAAGCAGAAGGCGCTAGAAGGTATCAAGAAGAAGAAGGAAATTACGGAGAATCAGAGGTAAATGCAATGTGAAAAGTTGGCAAGCTAGCTGGCGCTTTACAGCAACGACGGATGGCTAACCCAATAGAAAGGGGCCTCGGTTACTTTACTCACTAGTGTAAACTCGAAAGTATAATATTTTCAAGGTGGCAACGCCTCCGCGTCCCTACGGGTGTTGCAAATGTCCATGGGCGGCGGTTACCACTTAACATCAGGCGAACCGCCAGCGCTGTTGCCACTTATATAAAAAAAACTCCACTTCACGTCGGTCTTCTGCGAGGCCTGGTACTTACAGTAGTGCTAATGCATTACACATATGTAACTGGGATTGCAATTCCTGACGTCATCCTGAGGTTTTTTATAAGAGGTGGCAAGAGTAGTAGGTTCACCTGATCATGAATATTCATAACATCTATGAGGTCTGTGTTTGAATATTTCTACAGGGTTTAAGATTGAAAATGATAAAATAAATAAAAAATGAACAAAATAGGTGACATCCACAAACAACTAAGTATAAACAATTTCAAACAATTTGTAAAAGCTACCTTAATGGCAAGGGCCTACTATAATATCCAAGAATACATTGAGGACAAGGATGTTTGGAAATGACTCTTGCAAGACCCCTGGCTGCTGCTGATTTTATACCTAAATAAGTGTGTAAAATAAAAAAAAATTGCAAAAAGAACAAGACCGCAGAGTTTCTTGCCGGTTCTTCTCTGTAGTTTAGTGAACCGGGTGGTAGATTTTTTTGTGCAGGTCTAGCTTTTAGTGTACAACAAGAGCAATAATTGTGGTAGATTTTTTGTTGACGTTCAATAAGAGCTTAAGTTAGGCCTATATTGAATAAATATACTTTGACTTTGATAACCTAACACAAGAAGGACAATTACTACTACTTAAGACCGCTGAAGTGTTATTACTCCTTGTTTTTTCATTATGACAGCTAATTACTACTGTTGAGAACAAATCCGCACCAGTCAATACATATGGAAGTGCCAATCCATAGCCCTCGAAAATCTCACATTTATGAATCATAATCTCTTTACCAAATGATACAAACGTGTTTTTTTTAAACTTGTTATATTTCAGGTTAATGGAGCTGGCGGCGGCCGAATCGCAGGACGCGCAGGAGATGGAACAGGACGAGGACGACGCGGACTATTACAGGCAGGAAGTGGGAGCAGAGCCCGAACATGGTGAGCGAAATTCAACAAATGAATCAACGGTGCCACAATCAACTCATAATCACTTGTTTCATATTCGTTTTTGTTTTATACTTCTGATAAGATTATTACGATATTTTTCATTATTATCAGGCGAGATATTTTCTACCTTTGTTCCTCTTTAAACAAGGCATGTATTATTCCGTAAAAATTTAAACTTCGTTTAAACTTCGTAAAAATAGAGGTATAAAAGGGCGTGTACGCCCAGTTCCTATATTAACAAAACGAGGCGTTTTCCTTACGAGTCGTTGCATTACCTATGGAGAGTGAGCTTGACTAGCATTCCTTTTATCTACAAGTCGTTATGAAAGTTACGAAGCTATGTAACTAACGGCCGCTAGTTGAATATAGGAACCGGGCATAAGTAAGATTATTACATAGAAAACTTTCTTATATTTCATCTACCTGTCTATGTTGTATTTATTTTTGAATTTTTCCTTTACACCTAGTAAGTGGACTGGTAGGGAATGCCTTGGTCATTCAGTTCATATATACACTTGATAAATGATGAATAATATGAACATCATCATATAGAAAGCAAGTCACAAATACTGAAAATGTAAATTTTTTAAATTGTACCCAGCAACAAGTTAATTTCATACCATCGACAAAGTTTCTGCTAAAGGTACTATAGCAGAAATTTTGTCGATGGTATTTTACTACAATGGTTAATGTGGATATTTCAATTGTCATTCACACATTTAATTCAGATTTTCATTTTTAGACCTCTTCAGCAAAAACCCAGCAAGAAAACGCAAAAGCGGCGACGAGCCTGCGCGAGGCTTTAAAAAAATGAGACTGGACAAAAAATTGCAGAAAAAATACAATCACAAACAAGAAGACACTTCAAAGAAAACAAAACAAGGCAAAAGAAGGTTCGAGAGAAATGAAGACGATAAGAGTAACTTTAGAAAAAATCGAGATGGTAAGAAGAGGTTTACTAAACACGAAGATACAAATAAGCAGCGAAGAGGCAAAAAAGTATTTGGTGGGAAAATTAACAAATTTGGCAAAATGGGACAGAAGAGAGAAAATCATATGGGCAAAGGCAAGGGGAAGAATAAAAAGTGATACTTTAAATGACAACAAATGATCTTGCATTATAGATTATGTTTAATTCTCTAGAACTAAAAAATAAATTTAATAATGGCAGCTGTAATTGTTGCAGCCATTGTTAGCTTTCATATTTGGGTTACCTTAGAGAGAACAGTTGAGTTAATAGTTCACCAGAGCTCTTTATTTGAAAAAGTTTTAAAGCATGTAAACATATTTTTTAATTTATTGAACTGGTCTTATTTAAGTTATAATACTGGTTCATTTGGTTATCTGAAGATATATCCAGTTACAAGACAAAAGAATAAACACATTTCAGTGTCAATAAGAATCATTTTATTACATTGCAATACATTTTAATAACAATAAACATTGGCTTCAACAAAAAAACATGATCGCAATGAAGAATGTGAAACCAGTCACTTCAAAACCACATGCTCTAGGCTGATTTGTAATTTGTATTAAGTTTCTTTCGCAACAAAAAAGGTTAGATTCTTTTAGAATTAAATTTTTACTATTTCAAGACTACACTATTCAAAATGTTTTTTTTTTTTATGTTAAATTAATCCAATTTTAAGATGCTCACTGAGTAAATTTATTATGAATTTGAATACTTGAACCTTTTTCACATTCAAATCTCTTTTTGGCTTAAAAATATTTCAAAATTGGAAAAAAAAATCTGTTTTACACAAGTGCAGACGTTAATTACATTAATTATTAGTAACTTTCTTGATACATCAATACAAGGCTTCTTGTAATTTACCCTGTATTGCACAATGTTCTTACTAAATCTGTTATTTAAACATCACAATCACTTTCATGCTATATTTAAATTTAAGTATGATAAATATTCAAAAATTTTCATTACTAAATCTTTTATCTGTAAGACCTTGGGATGTTTCAGTTTTTATTTCTACAATAGACATACATTAAGATTTGCTTACATAATTGATCCCTTATTATTTAAGACATAATAACTAAGGTTTATTGTCATACCTTCATGAATAATACAAAATTAAAGATACCATGAATAGTGAAGTTCGACAAATGCTGAGCATAAAATATTGGACGACAGAATATTTGTACATTTACATAAGCATTATCTATTGGTTCTTGACTGACTTGACTTGAGTAGTGAATACACGACTCTTTATTAATAGAGAAAAGCGAAATCCATGCTAGCAAAAAATTTTTTGAAGTCGGTTTTATTGAACAATTCACTGCTGATAAATTTTAAATATGTTTAAAAATCATAATCGGTCCTTATGATTTTGTGGTTCGATTTATTATTCATGGCGTTCGTTCTAATAACGATGTAAATTGACTTAAATAAGGAAGACAATGTCGTCTGCCATCATGACCTGGTTGTCCTGCGTCATTCGCTCCAGCGCTGCCTGCACTTCGCCAGAGTCGAAGGTCTGCTGCGAACACTTCTCGTTCACATAAGACGTGATCCTCTCCAGGGGTAGAGAGTTTGCGCGCTCCTCTCTGAACAACTGCTGTAGCGCCGATTTGAATTGTGTTAGCCTGAAATGGCAAACTTGTCGTTATTGGGAGTACTGACCTAGGATCTATGGACAAATACTATTTGCCAATGAGTAACTATGAGGCATGTACATCTTAGTTCTGGGTGAATTATAAACATAAACAATACCGGGCTCAGCAACCCTCCAATGTTTACTTCAAGAATTATTAAATATATGGATGTATGGCAAATATTTTTTGTGAGAATGTGACGAGCAAGCGGGCCGTTCACCGGAAGTTAAGTTATAAACACCGCCCTTGAATATTTGCAACACCTGTAGGGTGGCAGATGCTCTGGTTGCCTCATCAGACGAAATGCTGAAGTGTAACACTTCCACTTCCCGCCAGTCTTCTGTGAGGTTGTGGTACTTCCCTGGACCGACCTGCCCATTTGTACAGCAGCGAAGACGTTGCGTGGCCCCACCACAGAAGTATACATCAATCATATTTACCGGCTAGAGTCGATGGATTTGGGAGTGGACCTTGTGGTGCGCGTTGCCTCGGGCTGAGTGGAGTGGGCGGCTCGCAGCATCGGCTCCGCCTCCTCGTCCGATGAGAAATCGTAAGGATCCGAAGTTCCACTCTTCTCCTGTCGGGAGACCGATTGATTTCACTCTTTTTAGTTGTGGATGTATCGCAATATGACTTATCTAACTTATGGACTATTGAACAAGTGAATACAGTACAATAAAAAGAGTTACGAGGTACGTTAAAAGGAATCACAAGGTTTCTCTCACATATGGTTCCCTAAGCAAACATAATGACCCCATATAACAAGGTGTAGGAATATTAAAGAATCTTCTACCTTTATTAAGTCAGGGCAAAACTTAAATCCGTCTATTAATATTTTTAGTTACATTATACTTTTCTGTATAGAAAATGATAATTCCTTTTGGGTAGTCAATACCCGAATTTTTTTCTTTTTTAGTCGCGTTTAAGCTTTGAGTTACAAGAATGGGTGGCAATACCTTAGTTCGCGATTTTTTTGCTCGAGGCTGCTTGCTGCGTTCCCCTTCAGAGGCGGCGCCTTCGTCGGCGGAAGATGCACGTCTCTTGCGACGCTTCTCTTTCATCAGAACCTGCAAGAGTATCAAGAAGAGTTGGAAAGTGTTTCTCTTTTTTTCTGTAATTTTGATATAAGTAAGTGTTTAAGGCAATAATTTGAAAGTTGACAATAAAATGTAAGTTTTATTTAAGCATTGCACTAGGATTACGCGAGGGAATTACTCTAATCTCTTGTTCAACAAATTCGTCAGTTTATGTCCATATACAGGTTGGTTTTTCTAAAGGTGCCCAAATTCACACAGGTTTAGACTTTTTTTTTAAAAATGCCATTCCATTCCCTAAAAACAGAACTTGTTGACAATGCGGTAGTCATTCATAAATGCGTCGTATACTTTTAAAACGAACTTGTGTGAGTTTTAGTTATGAATGTTCGCGCGTAAAATAAATGAGGTGCCCATAAATCACGCACTTTTTGAGATAAGTTCAAATGAATGTTTTTAATTAATTACGAGTGATTTTAAATATTTACCATTTTTAATATAACATTATTTATGTCTAGAATTTAATTTAAAAAAATGGATACACTTAGAAAAGCCTCCCTGTATAACTTGGTAACTTATTGCGCAAGTTGTACTTTAAAATAAATTATAACATTGATAATGAAAATGTATAAGTTTAAAGGGGTTGTAAATGGCATCAATCGCAATCAACGTCACAAAGCAGACGCCAGTTACAGTTATTGTAGCGCATTATGAAACAGTTCACTTAATAATTAATTAACGGATATTATTTCCATTGTCTTTAGTTTAGCGTTAAAAATAGTCATCAACTGCAATCGGAAAAAGTATCTTTTGGATTGAAACCTTTTTGAAGTAGGCGAAGTGCAGGAGTTCTATGGCGGCGTGGGCGTCCTCGCTGGAGACCTGGAAGCTGAGCCGGCACTTGGCGTGCGCGGTGGACAGCCGGATCAGGGTCTCCAGGGTACGGGCTGTGACGGGCTGCGTCTGAAAGTTGGAGATGTTTTGGCATTAGACTTTTTATAGGACGCCCCTTCTTCCCCCTGCTTCCTTGGGAATAAACACCCAGGCCATATTTTGATAAGAGATATTCAGGTCGAATTTAGTGAACGGGTGATAGTTTTCTTGACGAGTTCAATAAATTAGGCCTATGTTGAATAAAGAAGTTTTGACTTTGATAGCGAGGTCAGGTAAGTTTAATTTTCCTTGTCCTAATGATGCCTAGAAGAGACCGCTCTTTAGCGATAAGACCTTATTGTGCCCAACTTTTATGATTTATTTTATATCAACTGCAGTTAATTATTTGCGGAGTAGAAATTTCATGTAATCACCCTGGCCACGCCACCCTCCATGGAGTCCTGGCCTCTGAGCCTCGCGTACTCGTCCGCGATGGCGTCGCACGCGTCCTGGCTCAGCTTGGGCTTGATCAGCCGCGCGATGTGGATGTACTTGCGCATGAACTTCGTGCTGAATATCTGCTCCTTCTTGCTGCGCGTGTTGCCGTGCAGCAGGGGATCGTACTTCTCGTATATCGACTCGCTCGATTCCTGCAAAATCGCACCTGCATGTGACATAACAAGCTTTGACTTGCATTTACATGTATACATCGATTAATGAAACATTCAATCAGCCTTTTGCAGTCCACTCCTAGACATAGGCTTCCCCTAGGGTACCCCACAGTGCACGATCTTCCGCTTTCCTCATCCATCCAGTACCATCGACCTTTCATAGGTCATCTCCACTCGGCAGGGGGACGTCCGACATTACGTATACGTGTAAACATGGCGCTGTCAAATGTGTACACTTTACAATACGCAGACTCGTTTAAAATAAATTTCCTATAATTAATATTTATTGATATAAATTTTAGTTTACTGCAAGTTTCTGCATTCAAGATGAAACTTAACTATTTGTAAGATAAATTGCTATAAAGATTAATTTAATAAGTCATTAAAGGCATGAAATTCATTTAAACAAGACTGCCTAAGCATTACCTACTATTTGTCCCTACTATATTTTACATTGTGAAGTTTCATACATAATAAACATTTACTTACATCAACTTCTTCAGCGTCAGGGTTTTCCGTCGAGAGCATTTCCACCGTTAAGCCCATAGGTAAAACCTCACCATCTTGTTCCTTAGGATTTCTAAAAGACCAAATATATAATTTTAATATTATACCTTATTTACTAAATTTGAATACTAGAACTAATTTATGTGTGTGGGAATCGAACCCATGGCGCCAAAGCGTTAGAAACTGCGACACCGAGCCATCGACTTCACACAAACACAACGCATTAATTTATTACCTGTATCTGTGCATTCTTAGCACGTGCTCTGATATGAGGTTGTCGTGGTCGGCGTCGGCTATGTCCAGCATCACGAAGAGCAAGTCGAAACGGGACAGCAGCGAGTCCTGCAGCCCGATGTTCTCCATCGGCGTCTTGTACTGGTCGTACTGTGGATCAAACGCTAGTGCAATTAGAAAATCGTGACTATAAGAAGGGAATAGCCTGAAACGGCCACATTGTAATAGTTTGTAAAAAAATATTTTAAAGTGAAAGTGATTCCGGATTTTTGTTTGATTTCGTGTCGTTTTTTAAAATGAAGTAATACCTATGTATTATGTCATGTGGATTTATCGTATCATAGAAATATATATTTTGTGATATTATTTCGTAAAATATGCAGGTTTCAGTTTCAACAAAGTAATTTCTATTATGTCATACGTGGATATCACGTATCTTAGAAATATATATATTTTTTTCATTTATTTTTATTCAACAAGATATTTTCCTTCACTGCTATACAAATGATAAGTCAGCAGATAAAATTAACAATTTCATTGGTGGTGTACTGCGAATTGTGACTGGATGTCTTGAGGTGTCTTGGTGGTAAGTGCAGCACTTACCACCAGGACCTGCTCGTTTGCCTCTTTTTCCATAAAAATGATGTGGCAGGGCCACGCAACAGCTTTGTGTGTTTGCACGAATAGGCAGGTCCGTTTGGGTAAGTACTACTCACAGAAGACCAGCGTGCAGTGGAAGTATTGCACTTCTGCGTTTCGTCTGTTGAGTGATCTAACTAAATCATCTTTGAAAATTTCGACTGTCTAACTATAACGGTTGACATACAGCCTGGTGAGAGACGGACAGACAGACCGTTTTGCCCTTTGGGTACGGAACCCTAAAAGAATTCTGTGGACGGGATGCCACCATCACTTTACATGAAAAAAGCAAGCCCGTGCGTACCCTTCCGTAGACGGGGTTGGCAGCGGCCAGCACCGAGCAGCGCGCGTTGAGGGCGGCGTGCACGCCCGCCTTGGCGATGGTGACGCGGCCCTGCTCCATCACCTCGTGGATCGCGGTGCGGTCCACGTCCGACATCTTGTCGAACTCGTCGATGCACACCACTCCGCGGTCGGCCAGCACCATCGCGCCCGCCTCCAGCCTGGATCGAACATTTTATAAAACTAATATAATAACATGGACGATAAGAAACATTTATTCACGGTCAAATCACAATCGATACATACAAAATATAGAAAATAATGTAACCGCACAGTATACAGGGAGGCTTTTCTGAGTGTATCCATTTTTTTTATTAAATTCTAGACATAAATAATGTTATATAAAAAATGATAAATATCTTAAATCACTTATATTTAAAAACCTACACCTATATTTAAAGTGCGTGATTTATACGCAACTCATTTATTTTACGAGCGATCATTCATAACTAACACGCACACAAGTCCGTTTGTGTGCGTGAACAGTAAAATTTAGGTATTTATGAATGACTACCGCGTTGTCAATAAGTTCTGTTTTTTTAGGGATAAGTATGGTAATTCTTTTGAAAAAAAAAGCCTGTTTTTATTTCGATTATACTACCGAGTCTGAACCTCCTGTGTAAATTCGGGCACCTTTAAATAAGTCTCCCTATATAAAATAATTATATAATAATATTGGAAATTTTTTAAATAATTGTATAACAACAAAAACCAAAAAAAATAAAAATAAGTTAAGGTCTGTGTAGCAGCATAAGACCGTGTAACGGACGGGGCTCAGTGAAAGTCGTGGTACAGAAACAAAAAAACGCTCTGATCCCGACACTGGTTTTCAGACCGGGCCGCACCTCTGGGCAACTCGGACGACTATGTCAGTGCACTTCCAATATTACCTACAACGCGGAGTATCGAAAATTAATTTATTTTTGTTTAGACCTTTCATTTACATAAAAGCGGTAAGTAAAAATTTAAATGAATGTTTCCTACTTTAATATTGGTGTCAGCTGCTACATTCCCATTTCGGTTTTAGGTTACCAATATTCATCCCTACACTGTGGTACTGCTATTTTTGCTCGGTGAGCACGTCGACCGCTCAGTTTAGCGATTAGCGCGTCTGAACACGTAATGAGAAGGCGCGGATTCGAATCCCGGCCGTAAGGTTGGCCGTCAGGCTCCTCTCATAACGGTGACCAGACCTCCTGTCGCCCGTCTCCGGGTCGGTGGTGACGGCGGCGGTGAGCCCCACGCCAGAGGAGCCCCTGCCCGTGGTGGTGACCGCGCGCGGCGCCGTCAGCAGCACGTAACGCAGCAGCTGCGACTTCGCCACCGAGGGGTCGCCGATCAGCAGTATGTTGATGTCGCTGCAGGGAAACTCTATGTTAAAAAATTATGCACGAGTAAAGTAAAGTAACAGCCTGTATATGTCCCACTGGTGTGCCCACCAGTTGTATATGTCCCACTGGTGGGCCTGCTCTGCACAGAGGCTATTAGGGCATAGTCCACCACATCCCTAATGCGGATTGGCAGACTTCACATCTTTTTTTTTTTCATATATTTATTTTCGTTATCACTTCAAAAATACAATTTCTTTTAAACATTTTATGACTTAAAAAACAATATATTTTACAATTAAGGCCCCAATCGACCTACCCTCTCAGCCTGGTTCCATTGGGCAATATTTTCTCCATACCACCAAGTAGCAAACACAATATGGCCTTCTTGATGTAATCGTGTCCATGTATGGATGGCGCAAGTGACTTGCTCAGCAACTCAAACATGTCAGTATTGGCCCTCTTGGCGAGCCGTTTACAGAGTTTGATATCTTCAATTGTGATGGACAGATTGGCATCCTTGTTGATTTGGGTGATATTGTTTGCTATTAATACGGTCCTGAAAAATGCCTTCATCAGCATCTAATCATCACCAAATTTAAAAATTAACTTATTAGTAAGCATTCACATAAATGGATGTTAATCTCCTCCTAAGAGTTAGAGATAAGTTTAGATGAAAATTATACAAGTCTGTACTAGCAATTTTGTGAGACCTATATTTGATTCCAATAAAAATTATGACGCTGAAGGTACTTGATAATGGAGCATAAAATCCAGAAAAAACAAAAATTAAAAAATTAATTCAACCAAAATTCAAAAAAAAGTAGACATCATTTAAAAAACAAATAGACCATTGTAAAAATTGCATTAGTAAAAAAGACAACACACCTAAATGTTCCAGCCGTAAAGCTTCCTTGTTTTGATGGCAAACATCTGTAATTTCCGACTACTTGCACTCGATCTCCTGGCTTACATTTATCAACAAGATCATCATCACAAACTACATCTACGCTGCGAGGCAATTGCCCAGCCGGTGCCCTTTCAGGCATCTCTTGGACTGTAAGCGTCTGATGGTCTTTGTAACGGGACAGGCCATACTCTGTTTCAAGTGGATTACCCTCATCATCCTGAAAATTTAAATTCCCCATAATTAATTCCATTTCACAGCGGAACTAGTATTATGAGCAACAAACATCACTTTTTTTTTATTGGTAATGTAAATTAAGCAGACTAAGTTTAATCCAAATTCTACAATTTTGTATATTTATACTAGAAGGTTTCTGACACAGATTATGAATTTATAAAGATATTTTACATACTAATGAGGGTAAATAATGTCTGTATGAAAACTAGTGAATTACCTTAGTTGGATACACAGCAGAAGTGGGAAAGGCCTCAAAAGAAGTTAGGTCTGTATATTTACGTTCCATAACCTTCTTAGTTGCTGGACAGTAGTGCACACTTCTCACTATTTTTGGGCGAACCAAAGATACTCGTGTGACTATTCCCTCAACGCAAATAAGATTACCTAAATACCTGTGTAAAATTAAAAGTGGAACATAAAAAAAAATGTCTTACATGTTACTTATATAATTTTCTATAAATATACAATGTGGTGCTACTACCTCAATCATAAATCAACACACATAATGAGGATAACTTTTTAAAATTGTATTAAACATTTTCTCTCTTTAAACATCAGTATTTCGTGAGTTATTAAGAATTTCCAAAACAAATAATTTTATAAAGAAAACTGTAACATAAAGTTCATTTGTAAAGGTCACAACTCATATGAATTGGTTGAATGAATTTAAAAGACATAAAACATTGTTAGAAGAGACTTGTAATACAATATTGTGGCAACAAATGGACTACTCTTAAATGTATGAATCAGTCAATCATAGTTGTATATGGTATTACAATTTTTTTTAATATTAAATAATGATTATTGGCAAGTAGTAATAGAAGTGTGTTCATTTAAGGTCGCGGTTGTAGAACCATGCTGTATAAAAACATTTGATATAAATATATATCTTTACAGTATTTAAGTTAGGAACATATACAGCAAATAAAAAAAATTAAAACACACCTTGAAGTTAAACTTCTAGGAGTAACGTGTTTTGTTCCAAAGCTACCAGAAAACGCTACAAAGAACTCTTCCTGTTCTTTAGCATATGTCGGATCAATGGAAGACACGTATTCCTTGAGTGCTTTTTGAAAAGCGATCTGTTCCTCAAATGCATTTTCCAAAATGTTTTTAGCACGGGCTGGATTTTTTCTTCTTAGGTCGTTTATATTTACAACAAGGCGTTTCGACTTTTCCGTTATCATCTGCTTCACCCTTTCCATATACAATCCTTGGTCTTCCTACGTTTTTATGAAAGTAATTAAAAACAAATAATTTATTGGAACTCTTATTTTGTAAGGTATGCTCACCTCATCATCTAAAAACTCCAAGTACTCTCTTTGCAAATCTCTAAGGCGTTGATCAAAGTCACCTTCTTCCATTATGAATCTATCTACTATAATATTAAATAAATTGATCAACACAGTCAACCCTTTTAATGGAAAAAATAATAATTTAGGCGCGAAAATCTCAATGACATATGTCAGATTTTAACCGTTTGTCATTTGTCAGTGTTACAGTTTGAAAGGAAGCACATTGGTTATTTGTGTAATAATATTATTATTATAGGTTTACCGTCTTGGGCATTTCTCCATGCAGACAATGATGATTTGTCTGCACAGTTATACCGCCCTATTTCATCCATCATATAGTATTAAAACCCTCCGTAATTGGTCCAGCTATTCTTGAGTTATGCGCCTACCAACATTCATTTTTATTTATTAAGAAAAGATTATTTTTGTTTAAGTCTAGTTTGATGACTCCGTGGCGCAGTTGCCCAGGTATTGGTGTTGGCACCGAGGATTGTGGGTTCTGATTCCCACATGGTACAACTCTTTGTGTGACCCACAGAAACAAATAATTTATTGATACTTACTACCCAACCCCTCCTTACAAAATACAAGTGAAGTTTGTTGTTGAAACTCTCAGACTAAATAGATTTGCGAGGAGAGGACCCACGGCTAAATAACGATCATTTTTTTATCCTATTATATTATCGTAGAGACGTAGACGAACGGATTTCTTCTTTTTTTTCTTATTTGGCGGTTTTCAATTAATATGAAAATAAACACTGTTAATTCTCAAACTGTTTTATTTAGATATTCATCATAGTTAAACAAACTAAGTTGATATTATAGTAGACGAACGGATTTCTTCTTTTTTTTCTTATTTGGCGGTTTTCAATTAATATGAAAATAAACACTGTTAATTCTCAAACTGTTTTATTTAGATATTCATCATAGTTAAACAAACTAAGTTGATATTATAGTAACTCTACATGACATAGCAGTGTGATAATACAATACTTTTTTAATAAAAACGGATTTAATTTTATTTGTAATATAAGGAATTTCATCCAGTACAAGTCTATATAGAGCTTTTTGATTACGAAGATCGGTATCTTTCACTTTTTTAAATAAATATGTACATTTCTACACAAACATAGCTACACAATTATTTCATTACATAATGTAAAGTGGCGACAAAGTCAATAAGTCAAATCAGCCAACGGCCGGTTTCAATATTCTATCTACGGATAGGGTTGGTTACCAGCGGTAGGTATTTGACATTAGCTCCATAATACATCAAATCAGAAGAATTTTTCCAGTCTGAGTGTTTAGATATCTATAATATGTCTTCATGTACAAAAAAGAATAGTATGTTTATCAGTTAACTAGTATCCATAGTACAAGCTTTGTTTAGTTTGGAACTAGATAACGTTGTCTAAAACGTGATAGTAAGTACGTGTGGAATTAATATGGTCAAAATTGCAATTTAGTACTTAAATAACACATAATAACTTACAAGCAAAAATAACTATTTTACTTAAAAAAAAAGTTAAACAATGTATTTTATCAATTTATCGACGAATAATTAAATAATTTTTATTAACATAACATGTAAAATCTTTTAACATTAATATTTTTTCGTAGGACTAAAGTTTACCACAACAGCGTCGACAACTGACATAAATTAAAAAAAAATTATCTTGTTTACATTTTTTGATTGGATTATCTAGGTAATTTTAATTTGATTTGAAGATTCAAACTTTACCAGAAGTATTCTAATTTTGTACACATTAATTCATTAAACGTGCACGCTAATATTCTCCGCAGTAAATATAAGTTTGTAGCACGTATTAAATGGCTTGATTTTTACTTTAATTTAAAAAAAGTACACTACGGAATGTCGGAACCAAACTCTACTGTATCATCGCCACCCCGCAATGATAGACATGAAAAAGACAACAAGGACCGACCGAAATTAAAGATTCTAGCTTTCCACGGATATCGCCAGAACGGTGCAATCTTTAGGGCGAAGATAGGATCTTTTAGGAAAGCTGTTTCAAAATACGCGCAACTAACCTTTTTCTCGGCTCCTCATAAAGTCGTGAATGAGGATGAAGGTGATGAAGGTAATTAGATTTTTTACAGTCGATAAAATGCTCATGTAATTTAAACATTAATGTTAATAGTAATTTTTAATTTTAATCTTTACTGATAAATTTAATACTTTGAAAAGAAAAACTGTATTTACGATACAATTTGGAACAGAAACGGAAAATGTTGGACTATTGAATTTTAGATAGCAGGTCATGGTGGTTCAATGCTGAGGACAACTCTTTTAGTGGCAAATGCTTAGGTGGACCAGCAATAGGCTTTGAGGACACCTTACATTTGATTGAGAAAATAGTCAAAGAATATGGACCCTTTGATGGTTTTATGGGCTTCTCTCAGGGAGCTTGTTTAGTTGGTATTTTGGCAGCTATGCAACAGAAGGGATGTAAGTATAAATATTCTTAAAATATTTTTTATTGAATATTTAAATTTTTCTTTGCAAAGGAACAATATCTCAGCCCTCCTAAAGACCTACAATGAAGTCATAATTGTACCAAAAATGATACATAAATCTATAACAAATGTTTTCAAATCTTTATAATCGACGACTCCATCTTCATAGCCTAGTTTATAGTACAAATAATAAAGAAGTAAGCATTTATTTTTTGTGAGGAAAAAACAAATCTTGCCTAAAGAAAAAGTTCAAAGTTTGTCAAAGTTTGAAGAACGGAATCAAATTGACATCTTCGGGATTTGTGCCCTGAAGCTCTAGCTACTAAGCTAAACAGCTGATTGCCATACCGACGAAATTCTCAACATCCTTTATCTACATTGTTCTTTTAGCATTTGGAGCAATGCTTGGCAATGCTTGCAATATCCTTTTCAGCATATAAACAATTTCAAATATTGCTTTAGAACAATAATTTGAATGAGAGATGTCACCATTGCTTTTTACAAATTTATTTTTTTGATAGTGCTAATCTCTGCACTTAAGATTAAACATTGAAATTTGTCTTGATTAGCCACTAATAAAACATTGATTAAGTCTACCTGTTCTCAGTGCTAGCATGCAGCTATTTGTATATACTGATTGATGCATACCATACATAAGTTTTGTTGTCATGAATTTTTTGTGCCGTGGGGGGATATGTAGGAGTCACCCATTGCAAGTGATTGATATCTGCTTATTTTAAAATAAGCAAGAGAACAGTCTTTTCATCTGATGTTCAGTGTTTGCAAATATACAAACCAAGCAACAACAATCAAAGACCACAATGCCTGAGAGATAGCAGATGCATTATCAACATTAAAAAATATGGGCCCTTGTTACCTAAGTCACACTAAATGAATGAGGCAGTTGTACTTTCCATGCAGAGTCTGTCAATTCATGCAAAAGTAAAAATCAGCTTTCATGGCCCTCCCATACTTAAACAAATCTTTCTATCCATGTGACAATTTGTCATCACTTGTTCACAACAAATTTTTCCAGATTTGCCATACACTTTTCAATTTGCCATATTTGCATCAGGATTTCGCTCTGGCAGCTTGGTCCATAAAGGATTTTATGATGAAGATATAAATCTTCCATCATTACATGTTTATGGAGAAAGTGATTCTATTATACCAAAAGGTAAGGAAAGTTATTTAAATTTATTATATTTTCAACTTTGATGTATTCTTCTTTAAAGTTCATCATATAGGAAACTCTGGATATAAATTTGTAGATAAAACCAGGTAAGTTAATTTAAATATACAACAATAATAATAAATACACTTTCAATAACATTTTTTCAATCTAATTTTTTTTTATGTAAGGTGGCAAATGAGCTGATGGTATATCTGATGTTCAGTGATACCACCACCCATGGACATACCTACTACATTTTTATGTTGCTTAAAAAAAATAGGAGACTGCTTTAAATTGTTTATGTGAAAGAGAGAAGTCAGTATGAAACATCTCACCCTTCAATGTATTTTAACCATATGATTCACCCCAAGTAGCTATGTAATAAAGTTTAAAATGCCAAATTAACTATTATATTTTATATTATTAGAGCAATAACAGCTCACCACCATAGTTCGACAAATAGTTCGACAGGGGCCATACACAACAGATGTGAAGTAAAAGCATTTACACTTTTTCATTATGTCTATTGAGAGGTAATCAAAAGCTCTGCTATTGTGAAAGTCCATGGATCCATGGCCACAGCCCTCACTTGCCACATGGTAAACTATTTTCACGCAAAAATAAAAGTATAATTGTATTTTATATTTTCAGAAATGAGTGAATCTTTAATAAACTTATTCAATAAACCTGTTGTGGCAGAACATTCTGGAGGACACTATGTTGCCTGTTCTGGGTCTATTAAAGATGCATATCTTGATTTTCTACATGAAAGATATCAAGACATAATAGAAGATGATAAGAATGGAGATGGAAGAAATTCGTAAGCTAAGCAAGATAAATTAAGTTTTAGGAGGAAATTTAATGTTCAGTATGAAATACCGAATGTTAATTAAATATTGTAATAAAGAATTTGAACATATTTGTTTATGATTTCTTTTTTCATTTGTAGTGCTAATCTGCACCTAAGATGAAGTTTAAATATGTCTGTAGGTACATTATCGAAAAATTCTCACCACTGCCAGGATTAGAACCTACGTCTTCTGGGTAGCGCGCCCAAACCTTCTACCTAACTGAGCTTAGCGCTTGATTTCCTTAGGACGCGAAAATCTCGACAACTTGTCTATTAAATCGAGAGTCCGAGATGCAAGAAAAAACGGAATAAGATTGACTAACGGGAGAGATGCATACGAAAAAAAGTTAAAGATCGTAGTCATACTGGGTCTGTACTAAGCAAGCAGTGGTATCAAGATTATTAAGCATGTCATTAATTGATAAAAAAGGTAAAAAAACCATGTGCGAGTCGGACCCGTGCACGAAGTTTTCCGTACCATTATTTATAAAAACTGCAAAAAAAATCATGTCCGTTGTATGAGAGTCCCACTTAGATATATTTTTCATTCTGTTTTTTAATATTTGTTACTATAGCAGCGACATAAATACGTTTAATTTGTTATTATAGCGGCATCATCTGTGCTAATTTCAACTGTCTAACGGTGACAAACGAACAGACAGACAGCGGAGTCTTAGTTATAAGGTCCCGTTTTAACCTTATGGGTATGGCACCGTAATAATGGCAGTGTTGAAGACTGCAACAATGCATTAAAAATAGCTTTCGGCCAACCTATTCTGTGAATAAGTAAGGCCGTAACGCTAAGCTAGACAAAAAGTGTGCACTCTCAGCGCCTTAAGAGAAGAGGAGGGCCTAGTCTTTAACATCGTAGGCCCTTGGAACCCATCAGGATGTTTCCGAATCTCCACTAAAATCGTGACGTCGTAGATATTGTGAAGAGTCTGCCTATCGAGACATTATTTATAAGAACTCATCGGTGTACCTGAGCTGAATAAACGTCGTGAATAGCGTCGATTTGGTTTATTCCTCATCCATCTTTCATCTAAAATGCGTTCAGTCATCCCCGCCGGATAACACTACACCCACAGTTAGTGCAACAACAAACATACTAATCCGCCCTTGTCTCCGAGCACGGCGAGACCAACACAACGCGTACACAAGGTACACCCGCTTTCCGGGGCGGTTCTCACCGCTCCCAGCCACCGATTAGCTTATTGCACAGTCGGGATTTCGGTCCAAACCGCGACCTCGATGGCCCTTAGATGACACACATAGTTAAACGCACGCATGAGCACATGCGCGGACCTACCCACAGCGGAGGGCCCAAACCCGTGGGTTCTGGCTAGCGCACCGGTTCTGCGTCAGATGAAGCTTTAATAGTCTCAGGACTGAAAGCAAAACATCAGTTAATACAAGATACAAGAAGCGTTCAGTCATAAAATATTATTCTCGACGAATTTTTCGACTGCGATCCAAACCAACCGAACCTCAAGATCGCTCTTAGATTGTGTCGTTTCAAATATACAAATTATTTAATTCGCGCTCCACCACCCGACAACGTGTCGTCTCTTATGACTTACATATTCTTATCACTATGTCGTACGTACTCTTATCGCTATGAACGTGGCGACCAGTTTCAGTATATATGTCTTATCTATGGTGGTGACAGAGGCTTATACGAATTAACGTCCGACAATGCTCCACCGCACCTAGCGCAGCACGCAATACATACCAGTATATATGTCTGTATATATTTCAGTATATATGTCTTCTAAGATACATACATACATTAACAAACATACATGACATGGTACACCAGTGATTAACAACCTAAGATACATCCGTGTATGTAGTAGGCCGTTTTTAAATCGCTTATGTCATGTTGTTATAGTCAATTTTATTGTCCCGCAAATTATTAATTGCAGTCAATTTTCTTTTTTCAAAAAACTGACTGGAATTTCCCCAATACCCAAATATCTACATTCTACTGCCTACTACCCACAGCCCCACAGAGAACAGTAATTTCTATTAGTTTCTATAGTAGTATTTATCAGTAAATTTCAGATATATAAAAGTACTCTTTGGTTCTTGACTTGGTAATCATATCATCTTAGTAGTCTGTGTTGATAATATTCAGTTATCGTATACTTCAATCAACAACAAAAATTTGAGGTTATAATTATATTGTTATTGCCGCTTTTATCTAATTTTAGAGGGGTATGTTATATATATATATTGTGTAAGTAAAAAATGTAAATAATATAAATTTCAAAAGAACTAAAATGTGGCGACGTTACTTAATGTGGTTTGCGCACGAACACGTCGACTTTCGTCATGCTGTGAGTTTTATAATAAGTATAACTAAATATCTCTTATTTTATATAGGATTCTCATTAGTAAATTCTTTTTTTTTTATAGGAGATGCATAGTATTTTGTCTATGTATAATATTCCAATAAAATTTATTGAGCAACCCTGTATAAACAAACCATACTGGATAGTAGAACTACCGACAGAGGACCATGTGAAGAAAATCGCATCAAGATCCGTTCTTGTTAAGAATTGTATAGAATTATGGTCTCATGCTAAGAGTCAAATTAAACTACATGAAAATTTAAAAAAGGCAATTAAAAACTCTGAAAGAACGTGGATAGTGCCACATGACTCGGATGATAACGGCAATCATTTATCCCACATCTGTCCTAGTGAATTAATTAAAGCTTGCAGCAGTTCTGACAAATCCTTTAAAGTAGAGGTGGAAACATTCTGTAAACATTTCTCAATGCAAGAGAAGGTTGATAAAATTGAGGTATTATATTTTTTAATTGTCATTTTTAATGCAATGTTTGTTACAATTTAAATTACTCATTGTTTGTATTTTATTTTTTCATTTTTGAATGGGATTTCGAAGTTATACTTCTTTTGGCGTGTTGGAATATTTTTCTACAATGCGTGCGTACATCAACAGCCAACAACAAGAGTACAGGATAAAATCTTTAGATATTTTTTTTTATTACATTATAGAAGTGTAACTTCTAATGTGCATGCATAACACATACATTTTTAGTTTTAAATGAGAATTATTCAAATTGTTTAAATGATGTAACTGTTCTTCTATCCAAATTAACAAGTGTTTGTATTATAAACTTTTTATTTATGAATACCCAAATCTGTTATTCATATTTTGTCAAAGCAACTAATAAAATGTTAATTATTGCTATTAATTATAATTTATATTTCTGTTATAATTTTCTTACTTAATAGAATACTTATTAGACTTTCAGTTACCTGCCTCTAGAAGGACCAGTAAAATTGAAGAATCCGGACATAATATTATCCTACTTTGAATTCTATGGAGTCGATCCTAATAATGTACCTGAAAAGCCATATGATGTGTTTTTTGGCAGATGGGTAAGTTAAGTTATCATTTTTAATCAATAATCAGGTTAACTATAAACTATGCTACAACTTGGTCATAAATCTATATTCTGATTGAATGTGTGATTGGGGCTGACTAAATTTAGTTTAATTAAACATTAGGACACATGTTTGCATGTTTACAACTAGGTATTAGCTGTTTTTGGGCCATGCAATAATGTGGCCAAAAGAGAATATTTTCAAATTAAAACTTGCACTGTCTCTTGTTTTCAACAAAAGCTATTTTTCTGCTCATTTCAATTGAATTGCTGGGTTCCATAAAACTATGTAAACATGCTTGATTGCTTATTTTTGTTTGTGAACTCAGAGGTATAAAGGTCTATATCCTTTGAGTTATTGCCCTAGCTGTGACAATACAATTTGTATAGTGGATATTTAATCAGTCCTTGTGCCACAGGGTGTGAGGTCAATTTCCAATCCATGAAATTTATTATGTGATGAACAGTGTTATTCTAGTGTCTGTGAAAAAATAGGTTTACCAGTTTGCTTAGTTTCGGAATAACATTGACACTCAAATCATAAGTTAATGACTAATGCAAACACATAGATTGTCGATGGTCAGCGTGACCTCATCCAGCGTCACTCGCTGAAGCGCCGCCAGTTCATCGGCAACACTAGCATGGACGCCCAGCTTTCAATACTGATGGCCAACCAAGCTCAGGTGGTTCCCGGTGACGTTATGCTTGACCCATTTGTTGGCTCGGGAAGTCTACTTGTCGCTGCTGGTCACTTTGGTGGTAAGTCCACGCAGCGGTTCTACTTTTAGCTGTTCTCTTTCTTTGGATCTGATGTTTGACTTAGTTAAATAGAATTATTAGTGACATAGAAACCCGTATAAAATAATGTTAGCCTAACCGTCTTTCCCCCTTTTTCGACCCTCTTGCATGATATTAACCGGTTATTTATGATTTCTCAGCGCACGTCTGGGGTTCAGATATCGACTTCATGATGCTGCACGCCAGAACCCGTCCCACGCGGGTCGGACAAAAGGTAACAATGTATGTATTACATGGGATCTCAGGTTATTATATGTTGTGAGTCTCATTCAGAGGTGGACAGCCTCGCCCGTGTTCCTGGCATGAAACAAAATTTCCTATTTGTATGTTACCTTGGTGTTGTACACGCAAAATGTGCTCTCGCCTAATTTGAAATTGCCGCCAAGTCGTGGCACTCAACGTGACGCGCTCACTAGCGAAATGTGTTGACCAATGGGGAGATCTTCTGCTCCTGACTAGGTGATCGGCGGCCACTAATTTTTCGGACGGTTAAATATAAAATATAAATGTGGGAATTTATCTCTGTATGGTGTTAAATATCGGTGCATAAACTAACAATAAGTGTTATCGGAAGCTGGTACTCTTCATATTTATGTCGGGACGATCGTCGCTGCGGCTGTTATGAATTCGGTGTTGAGTACCTAATGTATAATACATGGCTAGGCTCGGAAGATTCAATCTATGAATCCTATAGAATACAGTCCACGTCAAATACAGAAGCGAACAGGTGCCTATGTTTTTGCTTTTTATTTGTCCAGTTAATAATAATAATAACTTTTCCCTAGTAAACTCAACGATTAAAATATATGAAGAAGAGTTTTTGTTTTTGAAAATTAAAAAAGAACCATTTGAATAAACCAAACACAAATATGTAGGTAATAACAGTTTGACTAGTGATTATATATGTGTGTACAATGTTTTTTGTTTGAACTTCATGTAATTCACCTGTGAATCTGTCATGTGTTTGTCCTGAAATGTTTGTTTAGAGTGAATTAATGAATGCAACCGTCGTTACAACTTTATAAGGAGCGTACGAAGCAAGAAAGCATCAGAGGCAATATGAGGCAGTACGGAATAGAGAACCGTTATTTGGACGTGATGGTGAGCGACTTCTCGCTGCCCATGTGGAGGGACGACGTCAAATTCGACGCTATAGTAACGGACCGTAAGTTCTGTTATTTAACTTTGTTATTTTTAATATATCACTACTTCCTCGCAAGTCGTGTCTACTTACACCAACGGTGGTAGGGCCACGCAACAGCCTCGGCTGTTACACCGGATAAGACCGGCGTAAAGTGGAAGTATAATACTTTCACGTATCGTCTGGTTAATTAGGTAGCTGGAGCCCAATTTTCAAAAGGTGTAGCAGATGTACATGGGCGGCGTTATTTACTTAACCTGATCCTGCTCGCTGGGCAACTTTTCACATAAAAAAAAAACACCAATAGAACGGGTCGGCACCGCCATCTTGTAGAAGATCGGCGTGAAGTATTTGCACTTTTGTAATTGTGTACAACATAACAAGTAAAACCAAATATCAAAATATGATTAAAAGGTGTTCATTAGTCCATCGTGTGTTTTGTTGAATATAGTCGTCACCCCTCGTTAAGTAACACACATTGGTTGATACTGGACTAAATTAACCATAGCGCCTTCTCCGTAGCTACTTCAGGATTCAAACTTCCAAAGCAGATGTCGTCGAGGTGGTTTAATTTTTTATTAAATTATTTAAATATAAATTGATTTATAGTGCGGATGCGTTACTAACTTTTATGAGAAGTTGGCGGCACTTCGCAAACCAGTCGAAAAGAAAAAGCACAATACTTCACTTCTTGATGGTCTTCTGAGGGCGTGGTACTTCCGGGCGAGGCTACCCATTCGTGCAACAGAGGCTGCCACAAGGCGACACCTACCATTTATTTCTCTTGGTTCCCCTACAGCCCCTTACGGCGTGCGCGAGCCAACTGAGAAGATCGGTATCGACAAGGAGAACTACACCCTAACAGAGGAGCACCGGGTCAACCACGTCCCCTCCAAAGTGGAGTACGGCCTGCCCCACCTCTACAGCGATCTCCTGGACTTCGCCGCCGAACATCTGGAGGTTGGCAGGCGGCTCGTGTGCTGGTACCCATTGGTCAGGTGAATTTCATACTTAAGGCCTTTTAAATGTGGTCGGTATTAAAACTGCTACCCTCACGTCTTTCAGCCCTAATACTATAGACTGTTACATATACAGGGTGATTTTATAGACGACGGACATATTAACAGAGCATTTATGCAGAATTTGATTCTAAATCTGAATCTGGTACGTACGTATGGCCTCATTTTTTTTTTCAAAGATTATTTTTAATTTTTTCAAACCTTAAGAAATTCGTGCTTTACCATCTCAATTCAATAACCTATTGACGAGCACTAAAACTTCGCTGAATGCATAATTACTTAACCACTTATCAATAGGTTAACCACTCTTAACGGGACAAACAATGTTTGAATTGATATTTTTCTGGTTATTTCTTGTCAAAATAAAATATAAATATTTTTTTGAATTATGGAATGATCAATTAACATTATGTATGTACGTCAAAGTACTTCGTCTAAAAAATCACCCTGTATAGTGACAGGTGGTGGGCATGTTTTTTTATGGAAAAAAGGGGCAAATGAGCTCATACGAGTAAGTGATATCCGCCGCTCATGAACATTTGCAGATGGTGTTGCAAGACTTGCAAATGCGTTGCTCTTCTCTCGTATTTATTTATTGAATAAAACATGTGACAGTGACCTCTGGGTTGCTGAGAATGATTACGATAGAGTCAAGAAACAATTTTTTTTTCATAGGTAGGTATTATACATCCTTTGAAAATTTATGTAAAAGGAGAAACAACTTCATATATAATTTCAGCTAGTTTCATGTGGTTGTTAAATGTTAATGAATTTTCATTAACATTTAAATTTCATGAATGACATCGCGCCCAAAACCAAAAATTCCATCACATCTCGATATCTGCATTTTTCCCCAACAACGCGATTTTCAAGGCATTTCCTGACTCGCACGACCACTGTAGAACCAGCTGCCATCGGCGTTTTTTCCGTAACATTACGATCTGGGAACCTTCAAGAATGGAGCATATTCTTTCGTGAAAGGAATTCAGATGTTCATAGTTGGCAGTGATCACTTTCCATCAGGTGAGCCTGCTGCCCGTTTCGCTCCCTTTATTCCATAAAAAATGCTATTCCAGGGACGAATACGATGAGAAGCACCTGCCGAGGCATCCCCGCCTGCAGTTGGTCGCTAACTCGGAGCAGGTGATCTCCAGGTGGACGGCCAGGCGGCTGCTCACCTACCAGAAGCTCAAGGTCCAGGACTCCAGTGCAACGACGGACCCGCTCGCCATTGCTCCCAACTTCAGGTGAGTCAAGCTATCTCTCTACCATGTAGTTTGATTGAGTCGTGCTAGACAGAGAGGGCTAACGCTATCCAATCCTCACGCTCTAGTTTCAAATGTGGTAGGAGACGACTACCAACCGACTTCAAAAGTGTATTTTGAATCTTATGAAATGTCGAATTTTACATAAAAATTTATACACAAGTTGAGAAATAACCGCAAGCTGTTTAGAAGAAATCGGCAACAAACTTAACAGTTGCTTTTTTAAATATATTAGTTTACAATTCATGTGAACTGTTCATTGTTGTCATGTGAAATGCTAAAAATTAAATAAAAAATGTAGTGATGGACGATTTTTTTTCGTTGTTCAAATGTAATCATTTTATTTAAGATAAAAGACATGGTAACTGAGTATCATGGCAAAACCCTCTTCGTAGCTGCTACGAGTCCATAAATTATTTCCATGAAATAGGTGCATAGTTCTTTTTAATAGTGGAAGGGCGAGGCTATCCTCAATGCAATATACATATTTAAAAAAAATTTACTCTTCTATTATTACTTCATACTGGCATTTTGTATAGCCACCAAGGTCACATTCTCTAGCCCAACTGCTCATTAATACAGTAGCTGAACTTGCTGCTCCATGTCGCTTCAATATTATATCAGTTGCTATTTTACAGTCAAAGTTTCCATAACAACCATGTTGTTATTTTGTTTCATTCCTATAGGATCATTATAAGATTGGGTTACATAACATTCTTTTCATCAATTCAATTGCCTAATTAATTTACATTTGACATCGTTTGCAGGGAGAAATACTTTTCAGTGGGCGAAACGACGCGGAAGGAGAGGAAAGAGAAACGGGCAGCAGACATGTTGGCGAACGCCGAGTGGCGAGCGCGAGCTACAAATGACCAAACATAATAAAGTGAACATAAATCAAATGTTATCATTAAGTGACTTTAATTGAGATGATAATGATGGTACAATAATTTGTAATCATCATTCTGATAGCCGTGATAGCTCAGTGTCCGGGCGCTCGCCTTTAATTCAATATACTCAAGCAACCTGAGTTTGATGCCCGGTGCCGGCACCAATGAAGTTTTTAACTTAAGTGCTGTCTTATCACGTGCTCCGCGGTGAAGGAAAACATCGTCAGGAAACCTGCATATTTTCGAAATAATAACAAAAAATATACATATATTTCGAAGATATGTGAAGTCCGCCAATCCGCAGTGGGTCCGCGTGGTGGACTATGCCCTGATACACTCTGTATAGAGGAGGCCTTTGCCCAGCAGTGGGACATGTATAGGCTGTTACTTTACTTTTACTTTACATTCTGATCAATTCAAAGAGTTTAACAATTCTTTTGGCAACTCAAATAACATTTGAAAAGCCATTTCTCATCTGATTAGTTGACTTCTGGGCGTTAGTCTGACATCACATACCAATTTTTAGGGTTCCGTACCCAAATGGTAAACGGAACCCTATTACTAAGACTGTCTGTCTATGACCAGGCTGTTGTATCTCGTGAACAAGTTAGACAGTTGAAATTTTCAGAGATGATGTATTTCTGTTGCCGCTATAACAGACTAAAGAACAGTATAAAAATATTTAAGTGGGCGCTCATACGACAGACATGATTTGTTTTCAGTTTTTGTGGGTAAAGGTACGGAGCCCTTAGTGCGCAAGTCCGACTCGCACTTGGCCAATTTTTTATAACCAACTAGTCGTTGTCGTGCCGACGAGCAACATTGTTAGTTGTTATTAATGTGAATATTTATTAGACACATTGATTTTTTTTATTATCACGTGCTCAGCAATGGGAAAACATCGTGCGATAACCTGCATGCTTTCTAAATAATAAAAAAAAATATTTCGAAGATAAGTATTAATAACTTTGCCCTAATACCCTCTGTACGGAGGAGGCCTTTACCCAAGCAGTGGGACATGTATAGGCTGTTACTTTACTTAACATGGATTTTTGGTAACTTTTTAAGCCAACTTGACAGCTGTTCCACTTGACTATACATGCGCAGAATGCGCAGCGACCATTACGCAAGCAAGTCTTAACGTTGGCTTTGTTTATGCTGCGATTGATGGTACATGGGCACGCATTGTGTACACTAGATCGTTTCGTTCTAGAGCGGTTTTCGTCACCAGCTAACAATTAGAGATTAGACAGTCCATGTCATTCACCTGGCGGTAAGTAGTGATGTTGCCATGTAATGCCAACATTTAGAAAATATGGGCCCCTATTACCTAATTTACGAGATGAAACGCGAAAGAATAATACTTCCACAACACGTTGGTCTTCTGTGAGTCCGTGGTACTTCCCGAAGCTGCTGCGTAGCCCGTGCCAGATAAAAATTGAGTACACGAACATCAAAGTTTAAGTTTATTTGGTGTAAACAGCTTTATTCTCGGAAAGAACGTAACATGCTCTCAAAATTAAATAGTGGCTAATAAAATAATATTTTGATTGACGTTTGATCTCCATACTCTGTGGCCATTGACCTGTGCACGCTTTTTCACTTACATCATCTCTATAGACTATACAGCGTGTCGTTACCACCGCGACAATAAATGAACAAACATATAGAGGATAACTTTTAAAAATTGTAGTAAACATTTACATTCTTTAAACATCAATATTTACCGAGTTATTAAATTTTCCAAAACAAACAATTTTAGAACATCCTTCCGTATAAAACTGTAACGTAAAGTTCATTTGTAAAGGTCACAAAGCATATGAATGGGTTGAATGAATTTAAAAGAGACAAAACATACTGTTAGAAGGAGAGGCTTTTAATGCGACGCTGTGGCGCGACTTGTATAGGATGTTACAAATTTTGTTTCTTTTTTACTTAATTAGTTTGTTTGAAAAATATTTTTTTTAATTAAGGATTTTGTTTAACGTTAATATTTTTTATGATTATGGGCAAGTAGCGTTAGACGTGTGTTCATTTATTGTCGCGATGGTAACGACACGCTGTATATCTATATAGATAAAGGTATAACGTGAAGCGGTATGTATCGCATTCAATTCACCCGTCTTAAAACCCTTCTTGCCCGCAATGATGTTAGATGAGGTATTATAAAATACATATAATAAAAATATATTTAGTCACCATATTAAATTATTATATCAAAAAAAATAAAATAAAATATTTATCATCTACGCAACCACTTTCCCATTCTATATAATAATTGAATGCTGTTCACCATTACTTTTATTGTAACTAGCATTAAACAATAACCAAATTCAATTTGAATAATAAATTAATTTGAAGATAGTTTCTTGCACTTTTCCCTTTGTCTGAAATAATAAAATAGGGCATTTGAGCTACATTACACTATTAAATGTATAGAAATGGTAAAAAGATATTTAAAAGGTGCAATAAGTATTGTATAATAATTGGTGGAGTGATTATACTAAAATTAATGGAATAGTTTTAAATAAAAAAATATTAAATAACATTGCATTAGTTTCCCTTACACCATGCCACAATTTTTCTAATCAATTTTATTTTAATAAATTTTAGCCCTAATCTGGGATAAAACAACTTACATAAAAATCAGAATAAATAAAATCTAGTAATATGGAAGTACATTAGACAAATTATAGAGTTTATCTATTTAGGATGTTTGCTTTTGGCCTATTTTATGCAAAGTTATGTGTAATGGGAAGTTGTAAGATGCCTAATGTGCATACATTAAAGTATAATCTACTCGGCAAGTGAGAGGGACAGCATCATATCTGAAAGAGCGGGTGAGGCTGATTTATGTGCTTTCCTCTGCTTGGCTGCTGTCTTGGACTGTGCCCACTGCGCCAACTTCCAAGCCTCTTTCCGTTTGGAACTGCCCGAGGACTTGTAATGGCCCACAAGGTTATTCGCCACCTAGCAACAGATTAATAATTATTGCAAATAATACCAATTGGCATCTTTATTTACTTTCCTAGAACGCCACAACAAACGACTCTGCCATTTGCATTCACCGTTTGCCGGCGACGCTCAAGATGTAGTTGGTCCATAGAGCTAAATATAATTAGTAAGAGAAAAAGATTTTAATCTGTAAAACGTTTAAAGTATCTGTTTACCAAACTAAAATACTTTAGTGTTGATGCAACTAATATCGAAACAAGCCATCTTTGGGATAAGGTAGAGCTGAACACTTGTTCAGCATAATCATGCTGTCATATGAGGTGTATAATTCATCCAATTACTTATATATATCTCTACATTATATAGCGAAGGCTATTGAATTAATGCATCATTGTGAGCCGTTCAGCCAAAGGAAGCGATGACAAGCGTCAAGCTAGCAACTGCGAATCGGCAGTTACGCAATCACGGTACAATGGTAAAATAATGAAGTATGTTATAGTTTTCTATTTGATTACAAGTTGATAATTAAACTGAACACAATATACATAGCATACAAAAAACCTATGCACGCGGTGCAAAATTTTCAGGCCTTTATTCACTATTGACGATGTGCAATACGTGTACGCGGCAATATGTTTTTGTTATGGTTTTTGCACGAACTTGAGAGACTTGCCCAAGAGTCACGCATGTGACTGTTCTTCTTCTCTCTCTGTTCTGACTGTTCTTTTTCTCTGATCTTTTCACTTGCTTGCTTTATCAGAACAGACATGGAGGCAAGGCAACAGGCAGGGTCACCCACTACGCCAATAACTATCTTATTATAAAGTCCTTTTATACCCAAATAGGCAAACAGTTAACTTACCAAGAACAAGCCTAATAATGCACGAATGTTGTCCGGATTCAACTTCAGTGCTTGGCAGTAGTAGGTTTTCGCCAATTCCATGTTCTCTATGCCACCCTGTAATTTTAATTTACAATTTTTTGAGAAGATACTATTTTGGAATTCGAATCTTACCAATGAACCCTATTTTGAAACAAAAGATCCTTACATATAGCTAACTATGATTTTACACAAAAATAAAAACATTTTTCAAGAGAAGCCGGGAAACGAAAAAAGTTGCTGTGAGTGGTAGAAAATAACGTACAGTGGTTGATCTCCAACCATCAAGGTGGTGTTGATGGTTTTTGGCCGTAAAAATCAGCAGCACGCATTAATACGATGAATTCTTCAGAACACCCCCAATGACATACCTTTGCACTTGAAAATGCTCTTTTGGACAAGAGTTGGTTGTCAACAATTGGACTTGATATCACTGCGCCATCCTTCATACCACAATTGTCTGGCACGAAAATAACCTTCGCCAATAAGAAATTATTACCGGGAAAGTGGCAGTTCTCGATACTTTTACTTTATAGTAGTTTGTTTTACACTCACCATAGTGTAACGGATGTCGGCAAGGCGTTGGTGCATCAAATGATTGTGGGGCTGATGAAGAATCAGCTCCTCGGCGCAGAAGGCGGCACGCCCATACTCCTGTACCTGGAGATAGAGCTCACACAACTCTTGCCACGCCTCAACGTCTGACATGAATCTGAATAATAAGTCAAATAAAGTTTTATCAAATTAAAAAGTTTTTGTAAATGGAAAACAAAATTGATGATTGAAAATTGTTATAATATTGGTTTATACAGTGTGTCGTTACAACCGCGACAATAAATGAACACACATCTAATGCTACTTGCCAATAATCATAAAAAAAAATTTAATCGTAAAAAATCCATAATTAAAAAAAATACTTTTCAAACAAACAAATTAAATAAAAAAGAAATAAAATAAATTTTAAAGTTTTTTTATAGTGCTAATCTCTGCACTTAAGATTGAACATTAAAATTCTTCAAATAGCTTCAAATGCTAAATAACAATGTAGAAGGAAGGCGTTAAGATTTTCATCGCTGTGGCTATCAACCGTTTAGCTCAGTGGCTAGAGCGTCAGGCCGCGAATGCGGAAGACGTGGGTTCGATTCCCACAGCGGCGAAAATATTTTCGTACTTTTTCTACATGTTTTAATGTTCAATCTTAAGTGCAGAGATTAACACTATAAAAAACTTTAAAATTTATAGAAAGCAATGGCGACATCTTTCGTCCGAATTATCGTTGTAAAACGATATTCGAAATTGTTTGTATGCTGGAAAGGATATAACAATAGATGCGCCAAGCATTGCTTCAAATGCTAAATAACAATGTAGAAGGAAGATGTTAAGATTTTCATCGCTGTGGGTATCAGCCGTTTTAGCTCAGTGGCTAGAGCGTCAGGCCGCGAATGCCGAAGACGTGGGTTCGATTCCCACAGCGGCGAAAATCTTTTCGTACTTTTTCTACACGTTTTAAAGAAATAAAATTTTTAACATCCTATACAACTACAACTGACTGATTCATACAATTAGAGACTATCATTGGTTGCCACAGCATCGCATTACAAGTCTCCTAACAGTATGTTTTATCTTTTTTAAATTCATCAAACATTCATATGCTTTGTGACCTTTACAAATGAACTTTATGTTACAGTTTTATATGTAAGGATGTTCAAAATATTTGTTTTATAAAATTTAATAACTGTAAATATTGATGTTTAAAGAATGTAAATGTTTAATACAATTTTCATAAGTTAACCTCTATATGTGTGTTCATTTATTGTTGCGGTTGTAACGTCATGCTGTATAATTTACTGAATGAAATTAAATAAACTGATTTAATATCAAAGAATTTTATCATGACTTTATAGGTTTCTTTTATTTTCCTTTCTATAACTTACTTTTTTAAATAGTCTGCAAGTTCTTTTATAGCTTCATTTATAAGGCCTCGTGCCTTCAGCACGGCAACTCGCCTTTTCCTTGCTGCCGCATTAGTTTCATCAGCTTTTATAATACTATCAAGAATGTTAAGTGCCTCATCATATCTGGAAGGTTTTCAATGTTTTACTTTGAATTAAAATAAGGATTTGTACTATCTAATAATCACACAGAGAGAATGTTATAAAAAGGTTGCATTGCATAATATTAACAATTTCCTAGCTCATAAATAATGAGTTCACGATCACTAAAAATATAAAACTCTAGTATTCATGAAATTTATAAACATACTTATTTAACAATTTTAGATCAATGATAAGTGCCTTTAATTAGATAAGTTTTAAATTTTTTTTAATATCAAAACATAAATCTATGAGTGATTCATCCAAAATATGTACTAACTTCTCTTCAGCTTCGAGCAGTGCTGCTTTGTAACGCATTACTCTAAGACTCCCTGGAAACTCAACTGACAGAGTGTATATCAGTGAATGCGCTATACCATAATAATGACAGTCAAGAGCAGCATAAATTATTTGTTCAAATATAACATATTCTGTAAAAATTTTCGATTAAATTAATTTATGTACAAAATATAGTCTGTTGTTTTTAATTTCAACTCAAAAGAAGATTTATATTGATTTCCTAGTCTTACTTTCATTGCCATATTTATTCAGGTTCACCTCTAGTACAGTTGACCATAATTCCAGAATCTCCTTACTTTTCCTTTCATTATTTTCGCGCCATTGACGCAACAAATCAGTTGCTTCTGGAAAATGAATTTATTTATAATAAATAATAATACATGCGTACGTTGACCAAGCAAGCTTCAGAAGAAGTATTGAAATTTTAGAAGCGTATTTGAAATTGCCCTTTTATATTATTTAACATGATTATATCAAGCGAAGAACGAATATGCCAATAAAAAGAATATACATATAAAATTATTATAATTTACTTACCACTTAGACTTAGTTCCTCGTAATTATAAGACATTTTAAACTATCAAATCAATTTGAGGATAAAAAGCTTACTAATTGAGTTTTGTTCTATATTTATTTAAATCTTTTATAAAACTCTAGTTATTAACATTATGTTTTAAATGGGTATTTAACAAAATCCTATACGCCTTATAATAAAAAACTAACACCTTTTCAATCGAGCTAGCCAAATTACTGCTGAGGTGACAACTGACAAGCGACAATGACAATATGACAATTGTCAATTGATTGATTGGCAAGTTGACACAATCCTATCTGTCATTTGTAAGTGGTGCTCCAATTACTGACTTTTTTTTTATTTTTCTTAAAATTATAAGTCAGTTTATTTATCCAACATTTACAATCTAAATTACATATTATTAAATAAATCTAAACCACGTATGGTGCCAAGAACGCTAGTTAGAATAGTTATATTCAGAGAGGAAATGCATTTTAACGTTTGAGCGAGAAAAGAACTAGCTCTGTTGTCAACAGCCGCGTTATTAAGTCTAGGACGTAAAAATTTCGATGTACGGAGACCTCATGGGCCCCTAAGTTTCAACGGCAAATGCACAAATACATAATTTAAACTAACAGTTGATGCCGCCCCGGCCATGACCGAAATACAGCCAAACTGTTTACACAAGACACGTATCAAAGGCCACCTATCGGATCTCTTACTATCGTAATCTCGTAAATCGACTCTAAAATAGATGGGACATTGATGGAAACGAGCACTACGGATGATGTCATTCGGGGAACCGTGGCGGGAAAAGCGGCCAGCAATTTTTGGACAACTAAACCGGTGGAAACCATATTTATCTACATTGATACCACAAGGACATTGGTGTGCGGGACAAATCGGTACTCCCAGTTGTATTCCTACAGTAATGCATAAGCTTTCATCGTTAAGTAATGTGCCAAAGTTGATAGTAAAGCTTGAAGCCAATAATTCGATGCTTTAGATGAGAAATGTATGCCTAGAAAACGGGCACGCTTTAAATTACTATTTACAGATTGAAACATATCTCTCTGTGCTCTCTGACGAAAGGAACATCCCACTGTTTTTGTTGGTTTACTTCCAGTGGGATATTTTCGTTGGAGCAGATAGACTACCAAGGCCTCATCTGCAGTTCAAAGTTCAAAGTTCCAAATTGTGATTTAGGATGTTATTACATTAATTAAATACGCTATACACGGAAGCAAGGAAGAGACACTAGAAATTTTACTAACAAAAATGCCATCAAAACGAATTGGTAACGTAGCGTGCGTCCAGCTTATTTCCTTAAGTGGTATCTCTTAAGGAAATAAGCTGGACGCACGCTTTAAGAGAATTCTTTAAAGAGAAGTAATACAGAAATAAAGGAGAAGAAGAAGAAGTACTGCTATTCTTTGCGGAATAAAATATTTTTAACTAACTGTAAAAGTGTTTAAAATGATGATGATTGTAAGTTTATATAAAGTTAAAAAAAAATCGGCCAAGAGCGAGTCGAACTCGCGCACGAAGGGTTCTGTAGGTAATTTTTAGGCACGATATAAAATGTAGTACATGCGGGTGGAGCCGCGGTTGAAAACCTAGTTAATAATATACTATGTTAAAAATAAAAATAAACAAACGATTTTTTAAGTTTAATCCATGATTTATTAATTTCAAGCACCTGCAACTTTTTGTAAATTATTACCATTATATTTGACGATTACCTGATATACATTTTGTCATAATTATTATAAATCGGTCTCATCTTACAACGTTTTTAATGAATTTCTAGTTAATACTAACTATTTCTGATCACCCCATCAAACAAATGAATAAAGTATCGATGGTCATGAAATGAATTACAAAGAAAAATAACAAATTCTTTATTACAAATATCTCACTGTACGTTTTGCCTTTGTTACAAAAACGTTATTATAATAAACGAAAACTTCATGAGATATGGTTGTTGTTTTGCCTTAAAACATGAGATTTCGTTGATCTTGTTGAGATCCTTGCTTTTTTAATTCTTTTTGGCTGTTTACGGAAACAAAACATTGGAAACTTATTTTTACCAAAGTGATTTTATCGCTTTAAGACTTATGAATAGAATAAATCAGCATCGGACTTAGATGACCCGAAAGATAAGAAAGGTTGTTAGAAACTACGTTATAAATCATCAGAGACAAACATATGCCTGAATTTTATTAGTTATTTTTTGTTGAAGGAAATAGGAATGATGAGAGTCATGTAGGTTAAATAATTTTATGATTTTTCACTCTTGCTAGGTACATAAAGATTGTAAATACGTTTCTTAACATGTACAGACATATTTTATCTCAAACGTGGTAGGAGATCCTACAGACATAAGCCACATGAGAGAATCCTAAATAGCTCATAGGCTCTCGCAACTGCAAATTAACGAGTTCGCGAGTCATGGAATTTTTATAATAATTATATATATGGAGGCTTTTCTAAGTGTATCCATTTTTTAAATTAAATTCTAGACCTTAATAATGTTATATAAAAATGATAAATATTTAAAATCACGCGTGATTAATTACATTCATTTTAGCTTATGTCAAAAAGTGCATTTATTTTACGCGCGATTATTCATAACTAACACGCACACATGTTGGTTTCAAAAGTATGTATATAAGTAAGACGCATTTATGAATGCTAGTGATTCATATAATGCGTGGCATTGTCGACAAATTCTGTTTTTAGGGAATAGAACGGCAATTTTTTTTTTGAAAAAAAAGTTTTGTTTTTATATCAATAAACGATTCTGAATCTCCTGTGTGAATTTGGGCACCTTTAGAAAAGCCACCCTGTACATTTCAAATATAACTAAGGGTTATATTTATTTCTAAATGCTTGTAAGATCTATAGTCCGCGCAATAAAACCGCGCTAGACAGGGTTATATTTATTTCTAAATGCTTGTAAAATCTATAGTCCGCACAATAAAGCTAGCCATTCCTGTCCCGATCAATTATTCCGCCTAACGGAACATGTCCTAAAAGGCCTAAATCACCCTAAACATGTACAGGGCCTTTTTTCTTCGATGTCGCAACATTCGACAAGGTCTGGCACAAAGGCTTCCTTTACAAGCTGTACACACCCAAAGTGCCAGATGGGCTCGTCCACACCATCCAGGCATTCCTGTCGGACCGCTCTTTTTGATATCGAGTTGAACGCACCCTCACTCTCTCCACAAGCCGCCGCTCTTGCCTCTCACCTTTGCTCTTTACGCTCTACACGAGCGATATACCTAAAGACCCCCACGTCAATCTCGCGCTTTTCGCGGCATCCACGGCGCTTTTTTATTCAGACCGCAACCTTAGTCAACTAACAAAATGGCGGTTGTCCATAAAGGACAAATATATCTTTATGGCCAACCGCTCCCCTGGGAGAAAAAGGTCAAATACTTAGGAGTCACTTTCGTCTCGCGTATGTCATTTACTACGCACATTAATAACGTTCGCAATAGAGCTGCGTTCGTCTCTGGCAGGCTACACAATTTAACTAACGCTAAAAGTAAAATGCCTTTCTATTATATAAGACCTGCGTACGACATATTATGTCCTACGCGTGCATAATTTTCGCCCACACGCACCCTACTCGCTTGTACAAGTTGCAAATAGTATAAAATAAGTTCATCCGCCGTGCAACACAGTCGACGGCCATCTTGGTTTCGGTCCGAACCGCGACCTCGATGGCCCTTAGATGACACACCATACTTAAACGCACGCATGAGCACATGCGTGGCCCTACCCACAGCGGAGGGCCCAAACCCGTGGGTTCTGGCTAGCCCACCGGTTCTGCGTCAGATGAAGCTTTAATAGTCTCGGGACTGAAAACAAAAACATCAGTTAATACAAGATACAAGACAATCATTGTTAAACGCACACATGAGCACATGCGTGGCCCTACCCAGAACGATGGGCCTAAATCCGTGGGTTCTGGCTAGCCCACCGGTTATGCGTCAGATGAAGCTTTAATAGTCTCGGGACTGAAAGCAAAAACATCAGTTAATACAAGACACAAGATTTATTTCTAAGTGTTTTAAGCAAATGGTAAACCATTGGTAATAGAAACGCAGTTTTTCTATACGGCAGTTTATTTACATTAATTTGCCAGTACCTTTTAAAATATTATTATGTTGGGGATATTTATTTGTTTTGTCGTCTGGTTGGGTTTATAAATAAAAATAAACATACAGATATAAATATTGTATATAATACATACATTAATAGGACCGAACCAGAGGGAAGCCCTCGGCAGGGGAGACCATACGGCCGAGGGTTAGGGTGAGAAGGAGAGAAACCGGGAGACGATGCGGGCGTTATCGAGGAGCACCGCCTTGTGCATTTAAGCTTGAAGCGTTCCTTCCCGGAGTCCCAGCAGCCTCAGATGTTCGCAGACACGACTATCGGGATAATTTCAGTCAACACACCACCCAACACGTCGGTCACCTCGTAAGCCAGGTCAAGATATTTCGTCTTCTTATCTGTTTCGGCTTTCACGAGTTTCTCGTCATATGGGATGGTAATGTCGACCAAAAATACCCGCGACTGTGCCATGACGACGGTCCATCAACACGACATCAGGTTTGTTCGCGAGAATCATCCTGTCCGTCATGATGGGCCGGTCCCAATAGAACCTCGCGCGATCATTTTCGAGCACGGCCTCCGGGTAGTACTTGTAGTACGGCAGTTTCCGTTCCAAGAGGCCGTATATCAGAGCGAGCTCCTGGTGTAAGATTCTGGCTACTTGGTTCGATCTTGTCGCTATCAATTAATATTATTTATTTTATTCATTTTAAAGAGTCTACGTTATAATGTCTTTACATACAAGAACCAATTATTCAAGTCTGATAACTTTCCTATCAGTATTTGATATTCTTTTTAAAACGACCTATCCACAAGGAATCACGATCATAAAGTATATCATCCGGGCTATTATATTTATATTACACCGCGTGCAATGGTAGTTGGGAAGATCAAAATAAAATTGTTATACATTCTTTGGCAACAATGACTATCTACACGAGTGAATTAGTTTTAATCCTCTGAATAGAAGTAACTTAATTTATAAATTGTGTTGTTTCTAAGTTATTTTAAATACACGAATTAACATCGAGAGTTTTTAGTTGGTATTTTTCAACAAATTATAATATTCATAGAATATATGAATATTATTTGAAAGGGACAATAAGAAGTTACAGAACAATATTTTATACTTTGGTGTCTTACGTAAAATGGAATACGAAAGTTTTGTGTGTAGCCGTGCGTGAGCATTCTGTGGTGATGTGATGTGAACCTGTGATCAAGACGTCTGCAATATCACAATATGTCTGACTATTTGGAAATATTTTTAGAATTAGCATAGTCGTAAATGCAAGAAATATCTATTTTAGAGTTATAAATGCCATGGATTATACATGACAAATGTTTTAAAGAGGTGAGCCATATAACTGTACTTTTTAAAACAAATGTGTTCAGTTCATTCTTCCTCGAACTCGACTTTTTTATGTCTCAATGGCCTTTATCTCATACTTTTGTTTTCTTTTGTCCTCCAGTCGTGTATCGAACCAGTTTATTGATTCGTCGATGTAACATTAAGCGTTTTAATTGTTATTTTATTTATTTAGATTTGTTTTACCCGACAGATCGATAAGGAGACGACGTTACATCGGGGATATGTGTTATTGTGGGCCGTGAGACTTACGTGTGAATAGATATGCGCATCACGGGGCTCGTGAAGAAGCACTGTGAATTAATTGCGAGTTCCTCTTAATTTTAACACATCGACGTGCGTCGTTGTCTCGACAATTTGTGATATTGAAGGTGTAAACATGGAGTCAAGAGTTCAGTGCCCCGTGTGCACTCTGTATCTACATAGTGGGATGTCTTTGGAGTCTCACTTGGATACACATCCAAAGGACCAAGTAATAAAAGCGTTATGTAGTTTGTCAGCAAAAAGCAGTAGCTTTGGAAGCCGTACTCCTACACCTTCACAGTCTGAGCGCTCATACAGGAGTAGATCACGCACACCAGCAGCTGATGATAGTATCAGATGGATGAGCTCTAATCGGAGTTCTGACAGTGAAAAGTATTGGCGAAGAACACCTAGTAGAACTAAGTCTACCCCTCTCTCAAATGTATCCAGGAATGTGACACCGGATATAAGAATTGGTGATATCAATTTTGAAACCACAACAATTAACCATGGAGTACAGTATCCTGAATCCACATTTTCAATGAAGTCTGATAAAACACAACCACCATATATTCCAAATGTGCAAGCAGCAGATTATGATCAACAATACCCATTTTATTCAGATCATCCAGAAGACCGTGAAATAAAATATTCTCGCAGTACAGAGTATAATTCTGTAGACAGTACTAGTAATGTTTTTACCTATAATGTGCCAGCAATGGGTGTTGTACCTAATTTAAAGCATCCCACAGCTGTTGGATCAACACTCTTACCCCCAAAGAAAAATAGTGACATTGTTAAGCTATTATCTAAACCCGATCTTGTGAAATTGCTGCCAAAGTCAAATAATATTCTTTTCAAAAGAAATATGAGTGGAGTGCAGTATTTAGCACCGGGTGTTAATGTAGTCATGCCATCAAAGCCGACATTTGTTCAGAAGAATGTTCAAAATAGTATGATTATGTCTGGAAGCCTACCCACTGCTCAAGTTATAGATAGCAAAACAATAGGGCAACCAATAGCAAACCAATATAACCAAATGCTTCCAGGCACCACTGTTGTCACACAAAACTCACAGATAATTTATAGAGAAATGGTCCACAATATAGATGGAAAGCCTTTTATTTCAAATATGTCACCAGTCCTTGGAGGTCATGAAAATGTGTCCCAAAGTAGTTCTATGTACCAGAATGTTATGGTTGTTGATCGGTATGGCAATGCATCTTGTATGTATAATGGCCCCCAACAAATCCTTCGAAAACCCTGTCATGCATCTATTTATCCTGAAAGTTCATTTATGGCTAATGCGACATTGTGTAAACCCCGTATGGAAACTGATAGTAATAAAACTTTAATAATTGAAGTGGGTCCGATTGTTCAACCAACAACAGTTACAATCTGTGATGCAAGCACAAGTGCGACACTTCCAATTGATATTGATGACAGTAAAAAAGAAGATAAGCCTGAATTGAAGAGTGAAACTAAGGGCCTTAAGATTCTGAGCAACATTAAGGTGGAAGTTCCAGTTCAGCACAGTAAACACATGTTAAATGCAGTACTGGACCTAACAGAACCTAATGATCAAGACTATTGTGATAGGTCTGTAACACCTGAAAAGATATTGCCTGATTTAGAAGATAATAAGCAGAATTTATCTGATGATTGCATTCATTCATCAATAGGTGGTGGTAGTGATAGTGTGGTGTCAAATGCTTTTTCTGTGATAAAGAATGTAGGTAATCCTCCATCATACAAAGACTCGCCTTCCAAGTCTAGTATAGTAGGTAGTAAAATTGAAACAGAATTTTCTGATAGTTGTCCTGTACCTGATTTAATATGTAATGAGAAACCTTCAATTTCTCCATGTAGTGAACTATCTGAAATTGGGGAAAATTCAACGGACAATGCACCAATATCTCCAAAACCTGAAATTTACGGAAGTAGTAAAAGCGTTGTGGATAAAAATATAAGTGGTAGTAGGAAATTACCTCATAAGCCATTTAGAAATAATGCTCTCAGATTAAACAACATCTATGTAAAGAAGCATAAGAAGATTTTGCAGATTAAGAATGCAAAGACATCTTCTACCTCTGACATATCAGGCAAAACTGATATGGAACCTATGGCCTCCTCTTCTATATGCAAAACACCAGAAAATTTTAGTATAACGAAAATACACCATACTGACAATATGGACAGTAAAACTAATGCCTTACAAACTGAGTCTATTGAAAAATTTAAAGAAAGTGAGAGTGAGTTTGATGCAGATACTGAGGAACAGTCTATGGATATAGAACCCATTGCTCCATCATGCTTAAATGATTCAACCTCATATTCTAATAATGTGCAAGTAAAGGAAGAAGGAAATTCAAGTAATGAAGGGGTTTTTAGTAACCACTCTAGACCTCTGCGCAATGCAACACCAATAGAAAGCTTAAGACCCATCAATGTCATAGCATATAGTAACATGGTCCCAGGTGACCTTGATGATGAATCAAACCATAGAGAACTTTTAGATTTGGAGACTACATCAAAAAACAAGCAGTTTGTTAATATGATGAATGAGAATTATTTTGGTGATAATATTTATGCCGACTATTTCACTCCAGATAGGGTTGAATCATTTGACGCTGAGAAGGAATCTAGTATAAAGGAGGGCCAAAAAGAAAGCATGGACCTTTGGGGTGAGCCATCACAGAAAGAGTCCGAGTTTGTACTTCCGAATTTTATTCATGAGAGCTACAAAATAGCTGACAGTAATGGGCCAGATCACCCTGGTATTCCTAATGAGGGCCATGAGTTAAATGTTGCAGCAGACAAGTGTGAGCAAGATAGTAAAGTGGATATGTTATGTGAGAGTAGAAGTGAAGAAGAGACACCATTAAACATCTGTGCTGACGAACGAATGCCACCTAGAGGAGAGCTGAGTGGCCAGGAAAGTAATGGAGATATGGAGTCGACATGGAGTGGGGTAAGACATTTTTTGTTTTGTATATAAATGTTGTTATTTCTGGTCTTATTGTGCTAATTCATCAAAATATTTCTCGGCGTGTCTTTGCGACACGAAGGCCTTTGACTTCACGGCGCCACCCAATGTATTGGTGTCGGCGATAAAAGCCTATTATAAGGAAAATATGCTGTTTAGCTCTGTGGCGCGGGCGTCGGGTGCTTAACCCGGAGGACACAAGTTTAAATCCTCACAGCAGCGTAAAACTTTTCTTCCATTTTTTACGTAAAATACGTATTAATTTTTCTTGAATTTCATCTTAAGTGCAGAGAATAGCACTACAAAAATTCATATCATTTAAGCATTAACCACTAAAGTTACAATGTCTAATACATTGTCATCAACTGTGTTTTTATACAATGGTTTGTAAGCATAAATTTTGTTTTTAGTCTCTGTTTTGGCATTACAGACATACAATGAGGTTACGCCTTCGGAGCCCTACGATTTAATCGCTCGAGAAAGCTGGGTGTCTGACGGTTCGGAGGTTGATGCCAACGAGAAAAGGGATACCATGTTAGTACTTGATTTCTATCTATTAATTTAATATTATTTGTATCACAAAGGGGGTCTCACAATTGCATAAGTTCAAAAAGTATTCATTTGTATTTAAAATATTTTAACACAAATTGAACAATAATATATTGATCATTGTTAAACATGTTGTCTATTACGTTTTTTTAGACCATACATTTAGACAAATAAAAGACAAGCTGATGGTTTTACCGCACGCTACGAGTACACAAGTCCGCGATAGTCTGTAAAATGATCGCGTTTCTGACTGAAACAAGTTTAAATTAATTTTGCAAATTATTGAGTTACATTTGCCTCTTGTGCCACCTTAGTGTCGTTTTATACATTTTTCTATTTTTTCCTACATCACAATGACAAATTTAATACAAATAATTAAATTATGATATCCTAATTTCAGTGAGGAGGATGTGCCCTTTCCGAAGACCAGGCTTTACACTTGTACACAATGTGGCACCAAGTTCCCCTCGCTGAAGGAATTACGCACCCATAAGGCCCTCTCGCACTCCCTGCCCACGTGTTCCAATGTGAAGACTACCTACAGCCGCCTGGTAAATGCGCGGAGCATAAAGAAGGAGGATAAAGCTGAAGATGGTGGTTTAGAGAGTGAGTAATGTCGTAAAAGATTTGTGGGCATTAACAAAACAGATAATGCATGTACAACATTAGTGCTAACCACCCCTATATTTAACTCCCATTGTAGTAGCATATATTAAAAAGTTTCAGTATTTACATATAAGGAGATGTTTTATAATTGTGTTTCTTTAAAATAGTCAATTAATGTCACGAGCCCATATAATTAATTTCATTCGTCAACTTCATAATGGACTGATTTAACTTAGATTGACTACACTGTGGTACAAGTATACCATTTATGAAAGCACAACATTAATTAAGTATTTTTCACAGCAGCATAGCTTATAAAGTTTGGGGAATGTGATATTTTATCCGGTGAGATTATTGCATCCTATTGTGCAGCATAAAGTCGATATTTAGATGTTTATGTTACTTTTTGCATTTCAGGCAATCTTTTAGCATTATCTGGTTCAAAAGAGTCTATGACATCAAGTATGTTGCAAGTGTATGACGCGATTGCCGATGCTAAACCAGCTTTAAAGGGCCTTATAAATCAAGAGGTTAAGCGCCGAAGAAAGGACTTTGTTTGCCCCACATGCAAGGAAGACCAAATGAGTGATGTAGCTTTTCAAGCCCATCTAAAAATACATCCGTTGGAGTGTCTCACCTGTGGGAAATGTTTCTACAAGAGAGCCAATCTGTCACTGCACATTAAAACGCACTTAGGAATCAAGAATTTTAAGTGAGTTGGTATACTGAATGATTTATTGTCTACAATACACCTGCCCATTTTGGTAAAGTACTTTGTACTTAGGTAAAGTACATCAATATGTCAAAAGGAAGTTCACCTTTAGGGATAGGAATGCTGTGATTAAAGCTACATACTGTACCTTTCTGTATTTCATATTATTACTGAGTTTGAATTATTTCTAAGCAGCATTCAACATCTTAATTTAGTAATATCAATGCTTAGGTTCAATAATCATGATCAGATACTGGTTATTATAACTGGATTATTTAGGAAACTATTTACTTTTTAACAAACATGTATCCCATCATATATATTTGGTGTTTAGTTTAAAATATCTTATATACCTACTAATAAATAGCAGATATTGCGCAATCTACAGTGAATATTAATTATTTACAATAAGGGCGGTATACACCGTGTCGTTACCATCGCGACAATAAATGAACACACGTCTAACGCTACTTGCCAATAATCTTAAAAAAATATTAACGTTAAACAAAATCCATAATTAAAAAAATATTTTTCAAACAAACTAATTAAGTAAAAAGGAAACAAAATTTGTAACATCCTATACAACTCGCGCCACAGCGTCGTATTACAAGCCTCTCCATCTAACAGTATGTTTTGTCTCTTTTAAATTCATTCAACCCATTCATATGCTTTGTGACCTTTACAAATGAACTTTACGTTACGCTTTTATAGGTAAGGGTGTTCTAAAATTCTTTGTTTTTGAAAATTTAATAACTCTGTAAATATTGATGTTTAAAGAATTTAAATGTTTAATACAACTTTAAAAAGTTATCCCCTATATGTGTGTTCATTTATTGTCGCGATGGTAACGACACGCTGTATAAAGTGCCGTTTGTTACGGTCCACAGGTGCGACATCTGCGAGAAGCGGTTCGCGACGCGGCAGAAGATGACCGAGCACCGCAACGTGCACACCGGCCGGATGCCCATCAAGTGTACCGTCTGCGACGACACCTTCCGCCGCTACTCCAACATGGTGCAGCACAGGTGGGCCCAAAACGGTCCTTAATTTGAAAGAAATTTTCATAGCATGCGATTTATGGCCGCACCCGACTAATTTGTCTGCCTGACGTTAACCCTCCTACGGAACAAACACCCAGGCTACAATTATCTGTGGGTCATACAAATGCTTGTTCCGTGTGGGAATCGAACCCACGGCCGAATCCTATAGCTTAACATCTGCGCCACCGAGTCTGAGTGTATTAAGATTACGTGCCAAAATTTATACAACCTTCGGCAAACATGCATCTATCCTACATAAATAGTTGTGGCCCATGAAATCAGTGAGAATAATCATGTAGACCTTAAGATCCATTGTTGACTGAGACAAACCTGCAAACAACGCTTTCGCACTTCTTATGTATAGAATAATTGTATTTTTGTTGTATATTATTTACTACTGTATTTAACTTATGCATATACATTACATAGTTTGTAAATATTAGCGTTTTCCTTGTTGGATATCTCTCTGTGTACCTACCTAATTTTCTCCCAACCACCCCAAGGTTGACTGGGAGATAATGCTTTTAGCATTAAGTCCGCCATTGTACTATTTGTGCATAAAGGGTAAATAAATAAATAAATAAATAATTATATTAGGGACACATTCAAATTATAACGTTGGAAACTTTCAGGGACCGCCACCACTTCCAGAAGCGTGCGAAGGTCCGTGACTTCGTGTGCCACTGCGGGGCGGTGTACCACTCGAAGGCGAAGCTCCTCTGGCACAAGGAGACCCACGAGGAGAAGCCCAAGTCGTGCCACTACTGCAGCGACAAGTTCGTGCACGCCTCCTCGCTCACCAGGCACGTGCGGCGCACCCACAACGAGTACTACCTCTCCGACAAACTCAAGGGGAAAGTGGAGAACGTGCCGTGCCCCATATGCAAACAGGTTGGCCAGCTCCGCCACAATATATGCCCCAATGTCCATAACACTAAGCTGAGGCTTACATCGTTTGCAATGTGCGAACGTTGTTTATTAATATGCTTATTTTTAACGGACTTATGATTTATTTTTTACGGGCGAATACTGTAACATTATTAAATGAAACTGGTTTTATTGATTTTATCTACTCGTGACGTCAAGCGTTTAATGTAAATTAAACTGTTCTCAAGTTTGTCAAATTTAATATAGTTTGTTACTAAACAAACTTAAAGTTTAAAGTATATTTAAAAGTTAGTTCATTTAAAACATTTATAGCACACTAAAGTGTAATTAATCATCATAAAATCCGTTAAAGCTTCTCTACTTCATTGCATATGTATGATGGTATTTACATACGTTATGCAGATGTAGTCTTGCAATCTTGTTTGTTAAGCGATGTTTCGATTAGATGGTGAATATGCGCCTCAGGTTACCAGATTTCAGGATTTTTAGGATCCTGACAGAATTGCGGCTTCTTTTGATTATCAGGATTTTTCGAATTTCAGTGAATGTAACTGTAGATGATTTGAAACAAGAACATAATATTCTTTGGATATTATCACATATCAACGTAATGAACATTAAATAATCACGCTAATAGAAAATATATATGGACAGATGCCCAATAGCTCAGGTAATCTTGAAATATCTATGGTCTTGAAAATTGATGACCACAACATATTATGGAGTATTACATTGAAAAAACAATATTAAATCCTCAATGCATACTCCTTTTCCATTCAGGTAACGAATTGATGAAGCAACTTGTTCAAAGTCAGAAACGAACTTCTGAACATAATTTCCGCTATTTTTTAACTAGAGTCATATCTGTGTGTACTTTACATTGGCAACATTGTAATGCGACGACGCCTGCCCCATTCGCAGATGTACCTGCGCACGAATCTGCGCGCGCACATGCTGACGCACAGCGGCAAAAGGCCGTACCCGTGCATCGTCTGCAACAAGTCGTTCACCACCAAGTGGAACCTGAAGCTGCACCGGTGGACGCATATGAACCGCTCCGCGAAGCCCTTCAAGTGCCACCTCTGCAAGGGCGCCTTCATACGGCACGCGGAGTACGTGTCGCACATGAACTCGCACAAGTCCCTCAGGCCGTACACGTGCAACTACTGCGGCTGCCAGTTCATCAGGAAGTACAACTGCCAGCGGCACGTCAGGGAGCACGAGATGGCCAAGAAGTATGTCTGCAAAGTGCCCGAGTGCGGCAAGTCCTTCCACAGGAGCTACTACCTGTCGGAGCATATGAAAGTGCACAGTGGAGTGAGGCCCTTCGCCTGCAATATATGCGGCAAAACGTCGAGCAATAAATCGAACCACAACAAACACGTGAAGATCCACCACGCGAGGGAACCGGTTGCCACGGAGGCATAGGGTCGGGCCATCGGTGCCCTGGTGACTAGTGACTGGTCTGCCGTGAAGAGTGTTATGTTAGAGCGTTCTCGGGTTGAGTTTTGTGTTGGCACACCAAACATTATGCATATGCCACCGTTTGTAATTCTTGTGATATTTGTAAGCAATAACTACATCACATTTCATTGTTACATTTTAGATGAGAGAATAGAGAAATTATATATGTATTGATGTGGAACGAAATTTTTGTCTGTTGTAGTTATAAGCGGAGCATAATATTAGGATATTACGGAGAAAGGTATGCAACGCAATTTTTTTTTTATTCGAGAGTATTAGAGCTATATATGTATTTATACATGATGATGCCTCAGAGAATGGTTGAGAATTTTAAAACTCTTAATCTAGCGTAACACTTTTTATCGACTATTTGGCCTTATAGGTTAAACCTAGCATTTTTCAAGTCACCGCATTGTAAATAGTTAGTTAAATTTGAAATTGAATTCTTGTAAATACAGGACCAAGTGTGTGTGAATTGAGGAAGGGCATAAACGATTAATGAGCGGGCATCAAATTAATTTACGGTTGGCAGACTTTAATCTGAGTTGTATGAGGTATGAACAAAAATTAATTCTTGAAATGCTGGTAATCTGGTTATCATGACACACAGGACTTATTAAATTCAAGCAATGTAATAAAATTATTGTGCACTCTTTGTTATTGACTTGTAGTAAAAAGTTAAGTTATTGTGTATGTGATATATATGCGATTAAAACTTAAGCGTACCACTGCCAAAAATAGATTTTTAATGAAATGTGCTGAAAATGTAATTGAAAGTTGAGTGAATGTGTATATAATATAAGTGAAGGTGAGTTTTATCCAAACATCTATCCATTATTGGATATATATACTTCTAAAGGAGCGGTTCATGGTGAATATATTTTTATTCAAATTAAAGCCTGCCGGCCAGTAATGGAGACCATCCAAAGTTTTAGTAAAATTGTTTGAAGGCATTTCAGTATTAGGACCCCGCTACTAAAAGTTTTTAGTTTCATTTTATCTCCCTTAACATGTTTATGTATGTCGTTTTTCGGTCCTTTTTCATTGGTTCGACGTTATGCCATCTCATTTTCTTGTTTATATATTTTTTTACAATGATGAAGTTATTAGGCGAGACATGGTGAATTGTTGCCAGGTTGAAGATTTAACACTGATTAGTCTAATTTTAATTTTTAAGTAGCATAATTTTTAAACATTTCTGATTTATTGGTTCGGGCGTAGTCTGGCCGTGATCTATCTATCACAAATTATTGTATAAAATCGCAGTGAAACAGATGTTATTCATAAAACTAAAATGTTGACATTTTGCAAAATGGACTTTTCTCAACTGTGAGTAGTTGTACACACCAAGTTTTATTTTCTATTTACTTTATTAATTTACTACTTATGATTTAATTTATTTTTATTGTTATATTTGGGTTAGAATTTTAGATGATACTTTATTCGTAAATTCATCAGCTAACATCTCTGTAGCGTTAGGTATTTCGAATTCCATCCTGAATTTTGATTGAGTCACATGCAGCGATTATTTTTAAAGTTGCTGATGATAACATATTCAATATCTTTTGGCCTAACTCTTATTTTTGCAACTAACTCATAACTATAATAAATATTTAAGGAATCCTGCTTGCATATACTGTTTAATTAAAAAAGAATTTTGTTGCCATAACAATAATTACGTAATGTTGTCAACATACGCATTGTGCGAATTTGTACTTGAAGTAAAGCAAGTAGTGTGTTATTTTAAAAGTATTTTTAACTGTGATCAAAACACATGGAAATTTGTATCCTATATTATCTACATTATATTTCTGTAGTTCTTTTACATGAGTAGACATATTGTAAATTTTACTTCATCGGAGTATCCATAGTTTTATCAAATCTATCTAGTGCTTAAAGGAGACCTGTTGCCGGTTATCATATGTTGCCACATATATTCTACTTGCTAAATATATTGATGTGCACTTTATAAAAAAGGAGATCCATACATTTTGACTGATTTTTCTTGTACATTAATTAAAGCACGGGTTCGCATAGTTTCAAAAAAAATTAAAGAGCTTATTTTTTTAATGTAATTAGCAAGAGTACTTAAGATGTGAATGCATGTATTCCCGCCCGCGTCACTAGTCGTTATTTCGTTATGTACCGTCTGCAAAATAATGACGTTTCTGGCAACCAACTTCGAGTATTCAGTACATGAAATTGACTGTCGTTAATGAGATTGATGTCCGTTCTTAATTGGTTGCCCTGCTTATACGTTTCAATGGTAAAGTTTACAATATGTGTGCGAGTTTACAATACATACATCGCATCCCTTATAAAATTTATAAATTCAAATATGAAATGTGCAATCGAACCGTAAACGTCCGTTGTTTCCTTTCTCAAAGCAATGACAAAGCACTGCTGTGAATGTTTTGCGCGTGGGTTAAATATTATCAGAAGAGGTTGAGTCAGCGTCGCTTATGTTTTAAAAATTTAACAAAATTTTCGACAACTCTAAGAACTGTATGTGAAAATCGTTCGTATAAAAAGGCTTCAAACTTTAACAGGGCCTCGTGAAATTTCAAAACCATAGACATATCATTGAGTGTTTTCGAGCGCTGGGCTTTGCTATTGGATCTGTTCATACTTTCATGTTATTGAACCACTTCAGCTGTGTTCATCGTGCAGTATCTTTAGTTCTCTTATTATTATTTCGTTTCTAAACACAACAAAACAAATGATCTCGTATAATTTTAACACGAAACGGAAGATTTTGAAGATTTGTTTTTTATTTTAATGTATATTTATATATCTATACATAAATTTAACCTAGCTGTAGTTACTCGTACTCGGTTATTAGAAGAAATTGGTTATTTATTTTAATTTTTAAGTTCTAGCAGTTCACTGTAAATACATGGTTAGGTTATTGTTTTTTTTTTTTTTAATTTGTAACGTGGGTCGTACACCAAAACAGTTCGGCGGGGTCACTGGACTGATGAGTTTGTGTCTGCAATAAATTATTCTAAGGACTCATTCGTTTAAATTTATTACTCCGCACAATCTCCCCCTAATTTTTGTAAAAAAACTTTCCGTTTATGGAATTTGAGAAAGTCTTCGATTCAATCGAGACCTTGGTGGAATCGCAGTCCCTTCGGCGATGCTATATTGAAAATGCTCTCTTGGAGGTGACGGATTCGGCATCAATATCAATACATCATTTTAAGTGCTAACTTATCACGTGCTCCACCGTGAAGGAAAAGATCGTGATCGTCGAAACCTGCATATTTTCGAAATTATAACAAAAAAAATATTTCGAAAATATGTGGAGTCCGCCATCTGCAGTGGGGTCGTGTGGTGTACTATGCCCCTATACCCTCTGTATAGAGGCCTTTGCCCAGTAGTGGCAACGTAATTGTGACTCAACCAATGTTACAAGTGTCCATGGCCGGCGGTGATCGCTTACCATCAGGTGACCCGCTTGCTCGTTTGCCGCCTTTCATTTACATATACATACATACATACATTGTTTATATATATATATAGCGTGTCGTTACCATTTATATATATATATATATATATATATATATATATATATATACAGTGTTACCACCGCGACAATAAATGAACACACGTCTAACGCTACTTGCCAATAATCATTAAAAAATATTAACGTTAAACAAAATCCATAATTTTTCAAACAAACTAATTAAGTAAAAAAGAAACAAAATTTGTAACATCCTATACGACTCGCGCCACAGCGTCGCATTACAAGCCTCGCTTCTCTCTCTCTCTCTCTCGATAGCTTTATATAGAATAGTAATCTAATTACACAACTTGGTGTAATTTGAGCGTCTCAGTTTCGGTGCGCTAGTGACATATTTATCTACCTCGTATTTGTGTATCGTATTTGAATACATAGGTAGTCTTCATGGCGGAGTCGCTGGAAGACTACGCTAAGCAACGTTTATGGGTTCTAAAATGAACTTGGGAAGACCAAAATCACGTCGATGTGACTGGACCGTTCGACCGTCTCAGAAGGGCAAATAGTCCAGTAAGTACAATATAGATATGATAATATGAAATAAAGGTTTTTTTTTCCGCATCAATTTCTCCTCGGCCTAATGTCATATTTTAGGACACTTTATATTATGTCATATTTAAGTGACGAAACCTGTTTCGTACGAGCAGGAAAATTTAAGAATGAAGGTTTAATTGACCATACCTGTTAATATTTAAACCTTTTCTTATCCATGATAACCAATTATTAGCCAACATATATATACGCGGACATAATTTTAGAATCTAAAGTGATTAAAACATATTTCGATAATAATAAAGTCTAGAAACATCTACGTTATATGGAATAGTTATACGATTTGATAATAGCAATAGTGTTAAGAACAGATAAAGAAATGGGCTCATAACATTACGACTTACGTAATTATTTATACCTTTCACGAAGTTTATTATCAGCATTTTAATTAATAATTGAACAAGGAATTGGAAAAGTTATTTGCAAGTGATTCGGGCATAGATATTTTTTTCCGACATAGAACTTTAATCGCTAAAATCTATGTGTGCTGTATGTGACTGAACTTCTCTCATACGCCCTGGACTGATTTTAATAAATTTTTTCAGCGTCTTTGTGACGTTGATTTGAGAATAGTTTTCACAATTCGTTCCATTATATTTTTTTGTTTATAAGTTGTCAGATTTAAATCGTGTGTACAGGAAAAAGTCTCTCGGGTCTGCTAGTATATATTTAAATTCGTTTTTAGCTAAAAACTCCCAGACCTTTAATTCGAATTTAATTAAAGCGCATTACGTCTTATTTTTATTCAAACTGCTCTTACTGTGAAATAACCTTATTCTGAGTTGTAAGGACGACTTACATACATAAATTTCACGTGGACAAACACCCTCACCCGAAGCATTTTTCTGTGGATAACACAAACAGTTGTCCCGCGTGGGAATCGAACCCACGATCCCCGATAACAAAACATATACTTTGGCAAGTGGCATGTATGGTTTCAGTCCGAGAGATAATTTCCCAAGGATAATGGAAAAAAAGTTCATTAAATGAAAATTATGCAATGCACGACCGCATAATGAAACAATGTTGGAAGAAATCATGAAAAGTAAAATAACACGATAATTAAGTAAGATTGCCTTGTGGGTAGTTCATAATAAAGTTACTCGAATAGGACCTTTATCAGGTTTAAATCTTGTCGGAAGTTTCCGTAATGGGTTGTTTAGAAGATTTTCTTTAAAATATTGCCGTTAGGGATTTCATTCGGGCACGCTATCGTAGAGGTCATCGAGAACGCGGAAAGACGTCACTTTTCCGTTGTTAGTTTATTTTTAGACAAAGCGGTGACTAACGTCACTATCTTGACTGACATGATATTGGCAGAATTCTTTTAAGAGAAGCCATTTATTAAATAAAGAAGAAGAGAAAGCGATGAAGTAACTTTTGTCAGCTCATGTATAATGTACGCAAAACATAAAGACAGGACATTCACTCTACAAAGAAGGCATTGTGCTGAAGCGTAAACAAAATTGTTAGGTCACGTTTAAAAAAAATCTATAAAATTTTTCAATTAAAACACTGCATGATTACTCGCTTATCATTTTTTTCATAATTCCTTTATGGAATCGACAGAGAATATTTAGATTGTTAGAATTTTTTTAGTTGGGAATTAGGAAGTAAAGTTTTTAATTTTTTTTAAATATTTTAGGACACATTTTTAATCAATGTTGTGTAGTCCCAAAGTAACGCTTGTGCTATATAGGTACTTATGAACTGATAAACATACTTTTATTTTGTTGATAGATAAACATATTATACATTTATAAACACCCAGACACTAGAAAAACATTATGTTCATAACAAAATATTTTTTCAGTAGTGGGGATAGAACCCACACCCTCTGGCGCAAGAGGCATGTTTACTACCCACTGCGCCATTCGGGTCGTCTTTGACGCTTCCGTTTTGTATAGTTTACCATCGATAAGATGTTTTTAGAGAAGCCATTTATTAAAGAAAGAAGAAGAAGAAGATGTTTTTATATTACCACATAATTATAATTAGTTGTAGGTGTTTTCAAATGATATTGATACTAAGATAGTTTCCTATCTAAACAAGGAAAATAAAAACATAAGTATGATTACTTGGGCTTCGAAGAAAAGTAATAACGTAGAATCGACGCAATGATTTTGATGACGTAGATACGTAGATACATGAACTGCAATATATTATGTAATGCAAATGACGCACTGATAAAGTATGAGGAAGGAAAACGACTCACTAATACAAAAATAATTTCACAAAACCGAAAATTTATACCAAATTTCATAAGAGATAATTAGGTATTTTCAATTATTATTGTATAGAGATCTGATTTTGATACTTAAATGAATCACATAATTTTCTATTTTTTTTTTCCCTACTATGGCTCCACTGATACGTCAGTGATTTTGCCAACAACTTGGTACTTGGAGATCGATTAGGCTAAGGACATGACAATAATAACCTACTGTATTAAACCACTTTCAGTTGCATACCTGTAAAGAGAGGAACAAAACACCTTATTAGTAATTAGTAATATGGTCATTAGTCATGGGACATCAGCCATACATAAATAAAGAGAAAGAAAAAGGAACAAAAGCCGTATATTGTTAATTTCTATCAATCTAACTAGAGTTTTAATGAATGGGGCATAGACAAAAGTTAACAAACAACTAACATTCACAGGACGTACAATAGTGGGTGGGAGTAGATCATATAGAGAGACTGATAACATAGGACAACTAAAGAATAAATGATCAAGAGTACCCTCATCTAACCCGCATTCACACAAAGACGTATTTCGAATATGCAGTTTAGCCAGAAACACCGGTGAACATACATGGTCTAGTCTGAGCCTGATGATAATAGATGTAGTCTTTTTGTGATAGCATCTATATCTAAAGAACCAAGGTTTGGTAGGTATAAAAGGTTGAATTAGACTGTAATATTTACACCTTTCACGTCCAATCGCCCGCCACATGTCACCCCAAACCCTTATCATATTATGTTTGGCAGAGAGACGCAGATCACGCACAAAACATTTATTATACTTAGGGATTCCGAGCTGAATTGCTTCTTTGGCACAGCAATCTGCTTTTTCATTTCCAAGAATGCCGCAGTGACTTGGAGTTAGGCAGAACCATCCAATTAATTGAAGATGCCAGAATAGTTGAGGAAAGAGACAAATCAATAGCCGAGGGATTCTGTAATGGAGAAACTCTCCTTGTAGGTGACCCATCATTTGAAATGTCATAAACAAAGATTTAAATTGTCCAGCATAGCTATGATAGAGTGAGATGAAATGTCACAAGCTTGCTGAGGAAGAGATTTATTGTAGACGACAGATGGCGACCTATGAGAGGATGAAGAATGTTCATAAACAGGGGATTGTTGTGAAGGGAGAGGGCAGTAGGCATTAGAAGAAGAAGGGACATTACATGGGACCCAAGAAGGGGCGGGTGAATTTTTGGGAGAGGAGCAGATTACATCAGCAAAAGATAATTTGGAAATGGGAAAGCGGCGTGATGCTTCAGTATTACTAACATTCTCTTGGGACATTACATGTTTGATATTTTTCTGGCGCAAATGTTCTGGACAGATAGGCTCTGTGGCTTTATGATGGCCTCTGCACAAGAGACAAACAGGATCAGGTACTGTACAGGAGTCCCCAGGGTGTTGTTGAGCACACTTAAAACATCTAGGCTTAGATCGACCTTGAGCACGGACATGGCCAAATCTGCAGCAGTTATGGCATTGTATGGTAGGGAGTTGGTATATGGAGACTGGGAGAGAAGCATGGAAACAATAAACTTTATGTGGGAGAGTTTGACCTAGGAAGGTCAACACGACTGTGGTGGATGGTTCCCAAGTTGGTCTAACATTATTGTTTTGCCGATTTTTCACATTTAACCTTCTAGCTCTTATGACAAGACTACAATTTGGAGGGCATTGTATCCCAGAGACCAGTTCTTCAAGGGACCACTCCAAGGGTATTTGGCGGACAACACCCATTCGAGAAACCAGGAACTTTGGGACCTCTGCATTGAAATTATTTTTTTGTAATGTAGAATTCTCAATAAAGGAATTGGCTTCTACGTAATTTTCAAATTGAACAGAAATTTTATTTCGGCCTAATACCTTGATGCCATCACACACAATACCAGAAATCTTGTTTTTATGTAGTAGCTGTGCAAAATTAAGTAGTTTAATAGAGAGCCTTTCAGAAGGATGAGCTTCCATACGAGACACGTGGACAGTGAAGGGACCTTGATTAAATTCAGTATACCAAATTTTTTTGTCAGGCTCAAAACTAGGTCTAGTGTAAGTATCCTGAATTGAAGCAGCGTGAGTAACGTTTTTTTGGATTACATATAAGACACTTACCAAATTAAATAAACCCACAACCACAAGAACCAACAACAATATGGATACACAACTGAAATAACTAAATCAAACTTTCAAGAAAAATATCACTAAAGCACGTGTCAACGTCCGAATCCGGTAAATGTAAATAACTTTAACTCCGGCGTAATTCAAATCAAATAAGTTTTAAACGACAGAGAAAAATCACTTACGAATTTATCAATAAGCAGAATTCGGCGGTCGCTTCTAGTTTTCGAAAAAATAAATAATGAAATAGTGTGATTTTTACTATAGAAATCCGCCATTTTTTTGTTGTCAATATGTCAATTCAGCTCGTATTTCTTGGTGGTCATAAAAAAAACCTAACATCGAAGGTTAAGGAGCGGAGCTCCCGCCTGAACCTTCTAACCTATCGTCGGATTCGCTCTGTGTCGGTTCTGTGATTCATTAAATTAATAAAATCGGAATATCGATACGTGTATGATGTCGCCCGCTTCCTATATTTATCATGTTGGCAGAACTGTGTATTGAGTTTTTGAAGTCAAACAAATAAAATGGTGGATTTCTTAGTACAAAAAAACAAGTTTTAAATATTTTTTTTCTCGAAAACTATAAGCGACCGCCGAATTTTGCTTGTTGATTAATTCATTAGAGATTTATCTCTAACGTTTAAAATGTATTTTAATTGAATTACGCCGGAGTTAAAGTTATTTACATTTACCCCGAATCCTTCCGAGCTCGCCGACCAAGACCAAGAAAGTAATTTTCACTCTATTTTACGTTATTAAAACTCCAATCCAACTCATAATTTTCTATTACCTGAATTGAGCCGCAGTGAGCCATTTAGTTTTGGAAAAATACTAATGACAGTTGAGATCTAATTTCTAGTGTCAGATTATAATTATGTCAGAATTGCACTAAAATATTTGTAAACACGAGGAATACACGGCGGTGGTTACACAAAGTAATGGTAGGTCGTTAGATCATTTTAGTCATGTTTTAATAAATTTATGTTTTATTTTATTTTGATTTATCAACCTATTCAAAACTTTTTTATTGGCTAACTGGCTTGAGCTCAGTTTTGTAAAACGATTTAAAATACCCTGTTTAAGCATCTTTTCTGTCGGATAAAAACAATATTGATATTAAATATTCACCTTGATCATATGTTTCTTAATCAAATATGCATATCATGCACGTGTCAAATATTACCAATATTACTTTTCTCTACTCTATCTAAACTTCCAGGAAGAAGATGTAGAAGAAATAAAAACAATATACAACACAGACTCACAAAAGAGTGTAACCACTTCCAACGTGTATTCAGCTGACTTCACTGATAACAATTCGGACAAAAATAATTCTTCTGGGAAGGAAACCTACGTCATAGATTGGTATGACAGCGATGACAGCGAGGCATCTTGCAGACTGCACCGCGAGGAAAGTTCATTTAATGTAACGGATAAAGTTAGTCAACCTTTGGTGAATAACATGATGCAGTGCACTACAGAACATCAAATATCCGAAGCATTATTTTCGAATCCGCCACTAAATAACGTCACATTTATTGCTCAGGAAACGTTCACTCAAACCAGCAAAACAATAATCGAACTAGCAAAGTCTGAGGGCCTATTTGTAAAATCGACAGGCAACAATACGTTGCAAACACAAACCTCTTATGTTTCAATCACTGATAGTAAAAGAATAGAGTACAAGATACTCAGTTCCAATGTGGTTCGAAAGAACAGCGATTATGATTGGCACATGGTTGACGAAAACCAAGTCGTTTGTCCTATTTTAAGCAATTGCCTTGAAGACAAATCTTCCAAATTACCCGAGTCGGAATCCGATGAGGAAAAAAGTGAAAGCGAAAGCAGTATAATTACACGAGCGGAAACACAAAACACCAATGTATATACCGAAACTCTAAACAAGTTTGAGGCGTCTGAGTCGTCAAGCACAGATTTCGACGATGACTCTTTGATGGATGAATCTCACGATAATAACGGTCATAGAATGCATGAAGCATTAAATCCGATCAGCGATAAGAACAGCGACATATGTGATACACCAAAATCGATTGGTGATGAAGTGGATGATTTATATAACAAAATGTCCAACTGCTTAGGAATGCTTAGCGCTAAAAAGAACGCTGAGCCCGAATTTTCTCAATGGACCGGTGCACTCACTCCTCTAACGGAAGAGTCCACAATGAAGAAGGAAAGCATCATGGATATCAGCCCTTGTTTGAATATTGTAACCGAAACAAATGAGAAGGTTGAAGATATGAACAATTGTATACAAGACACGCAAATTGAACTATTGTCAGTCCAAAAGGAATCTTGCAAATCAGGGGATCCGTTCAAATTGCCCCCTATACAAAAAAATAAGTCTTCACCGTCCACCTTAAATTTCCTACTATCGGTCAACCGCGGAAATCAAATGAACAATGCCTCGACACATGACAGTCTGCTACACACTTGGGAAATCAGGGGTAATAATTTGGCAGCTGGAGAAAATCAGTTTATAAATCCAACATGTAAGTATAACAAAAGTGGAAGGAACAACAAATGTTTTTATAAAGGGTGGTATCATGAACATCGTAAATTTTTTTTAAACATTACCCTTACTTTAGGATAACATTATCCTGTGTTGTAAGGACATTTTACAAACATATTTCACGCGGACAAACACCTAACTATCTGCGGGTCACAAAAATAGTTGTCCCATGTGGGAATCGAACCCACGACCCCCAACGCCGAAGCCGATACCTTGGCGACTGCGCCACGGAGTCATCATTATTAGAATACACGTTTATCTAGCTATAGTTTTGTGAAGCGTGATTTTATACATTTTTTATGTGAGATGGTTGTTGTGTGGCTCTACCACAGTTACACGACGCTATCAAGCTATAACTGTAAATTACAAGTATTTTTTTATTATTGGCCAAGTGTCTGCAATGTGTCGACGAGTAATTAATTCATTTACAGATTCCTCTCGCCTTCCGAACGAGGTGTTCCAACTGCCCCCAATCCAGATGGAAACGGGGATCCATAACATTTACACAAATTACACTACACGGTACTCGTCATCGTCGAAGTTGTCATTGACCGGAACCCCATGTGAATCGATAAATATAAACGATAAGATCAGAGAGCTAAAGATGTCGGACGTGAGAACGTAAGTCGATGGCATATAAAGTTTTGTATTTGATATTGTTACCTGTATAGATTGATTTTTGTTTATAAAGAAGGAAAGTCTCATGGCCTGTTTGGATATAGTAACTTATAAAATTGTAAGAAGGTGAAAAATTCGATGATCCCTAAAGCGCAAAGAATTTGTAAAGATTGAACATTTAAAAAGTTTTACGAACTTGCCTAAAGCAGACGGAGGGGCCGTGGAAGCAGATCTCCGTCAATCACATCCTCCCCAGACGACAGCAAGCTGGGGGACGTGGCCCTGAAGGGATGTGAAGCTCTGTGCGCCGAATTGATGAGGAAGCTGAGATCGACTTCGTGGTGCGTGTTCTGAAACAAGCCTAAACTTCGGCCGGTGTCAATTTAGAATACAAAAATCTACGTTTAGCTTAGAATATGTTCAGGCTCTTCACGAGAATTTTCCTAAATAAAAAGATTTATCATGATCAACGCCAATATCTATGTATAGTGGCTTCGAAACTGTTGAGTGAAAATTCTACATCTACCTTACCTTTTATTTTACTACTGGAGAAGGCTATTACTGTGTTGACATGCAAACATCCAACATTTATATTCGACAGTTATTTAGCAAATTTCTATAAATACTCTGTAGGTGCGAAATTCTCGACACTCTAGAGGAAATACCAAGAGTGATGGAAAAATTCTGGAATGTTATCGCGGAGCTACGAATAGCGGATCTCATAAGACAGGTGCGTAGATCTTATTGTAAATGTAATTTAGACATACCTTATAGAAACATTTTGAAATATTACGTGTGTCTATGAAATTTACGACGGAAAAAAGGGAAATAAAAGGAAAGTTGTTCCGTTACCAAAGTTGTAGTTTTGTAATTTATTTTAAAAATTAACAAAAGCTTTGAAAAGGTTGTAAGTTCTTTTTATACAACTTTGGAGTTATTTGTACCTTTCATACTTTACCTTACTCTACATTTTATACTTATCTATATTAATACCTAGTTAGATTACTTATAAAAGTTTGCGAATTTTATATGTAATCTTGATCATGGATGCTATGCCATGCATGTGGCCCTTGAAAGTGCATTTGTTTTGTGTTTGAGACCACTAAAATTTTATATATTGTATAAAACCAAGAGTCGGAACGGCAAAGACGTTTTTATTTGGAAAACCTTTGATTCTCCTCACCAGGTCACTGTACACGTGGACTCACCGCGCTCGCAAGTGGCCCGCACAGCATGCATGACGCTCGCGTGCATCCTGAAGAACACCAACTACACCAGGAAACCGGTAAACTTATTTGCACTCATAAATACTCACGTCAATCACACAAAGTAACAAACAAACTTTCACCGTAATAAGAAGGAAGCAGGACACCGGCTGTTGCCCTCTCTGTCGCACTTAGGCTTAGTATAAGTGTGGTTTTTAACAGCTAACTATTTCACGCTTCGGAACTACCATGGATGAAAAAAGCCCACGATAGCTGTAAGATCGATACCTTCGCAATATGGTGACGCATGATAACCGGACTCGATATTAAAAGAACAACAATACGGAGTGCCTCTTTTCAATTTGTTAACGTGAACGAGCCCTCCGCTTTTTTTGATACATTATGCGATCAGACCGTCATCACAGAGCCGTGATAGCTCAGTGTCCGGGCGCTCGCCTTTAATTCAATATACTCGAGCAACCTGAGTTTGATCCCCGGTGCCGGTACCAATGAAGTTTTTAACTTAAAGTGCTGACTTATCACGTGCTCCGCGATGAAGGAAAACATCGTGAGGAAACCTGCATATTTTCGAAATAATAACAAAAAATATATATATTTCGAAGATATGTGAAGTCCGCCAATCCGCAGTGGGGCCGTGGTGGACTATGCCCTGATACCCTCTCTATAGAGGAGGCCTTTGCCCAGCAGTGGGACATGTATAGGCTGTTACTTTATACAATCAAGTCAAGGCACAGTCTCGAGGAGCATAGTCCATTAGAGGCCAGGGGATCGTTATATGCAAAATGAAAGGCAGGCCTGCTAGAGACAGGGCACTCACATGATAGGCTGACACAGGTAAGAACGCGGTGGGGGGCAACATGAAACGCGCAGTTCACAACGAAGAGAACAACATCTGGCTACGATCCTCAGAATTGAGGGACCGAGCAAGAAGAAGAACGTAAAAACACGCACGTATTGATAGCACATATTCTCGCCATAAGAGTATGGCAGAAGTAACACACCTCGTGCATAGCACAAGCCCGGTCGAGGCAGTTCTTACAGCTATCTGAAAACGATAGACATTTAGAGAAGGATACGGTTTGGCCTTCAATGGTCTGCAGCCGGTTACACCATACGAACAGGGTCACGTAGTATACATGGAGCAGTGCGCATGTAAATATGGTTAACTGTATTTTTAAGGTCTTAGATCCATGGCAATATGTAGCTCGATGAATGGTTCATGATACTGAAACATGACAAAATAAAAATCTTTTCCAACACAGACGTAGTAGACGACAGAAGAGCGGTACACAAAATTTGACTTTCTGTCAAAAGTAAATCAAAAGTATATTTGAGTAGGCAGGGCACATAGCTCGAAGAACCGATGGCCGTTGGGGCAAAAAGGCTCTCGAGTGGAGACCACGTGACGTAACACAAGCGCAGTTTAGGAAGGCCTCCCACAAGGTGGACGGACGACCTAGCCAAGATCGCAGGAACGCATTGGATGCAGACCGCTAACGACCGGTCGAAGTGGAAGTCAATGGGGGAGGCCTATGTTCAGCGGTGGACATCCTACGGCTGATATGATGATGATGATGATGATATTTGAGTGATATTAATATCTTAATGAATCATATGCTTATATTATTCTTTAATCGCTGGATTGGAATGAAAATTAATAAAAACAAAAAGGACTAAGCTTCTGCATCCACTGACATGTCGAAATAGTAATTTCGATTAGGATAACAATAACATCCTACAATAAACCAACTTATAGGTTAAGTTACATGCCTGTTACTTTTTACAGGATTTCTACGAGGCAGTAACAGCTCTACTGGTAAAGACTGGTAGCTTTAGCCGGCCAGTACGGCGCGCGGCCAACATGGCGCTCGATGATATAGTCTGTAGCGTAGATTTCACGCACGCTGTTACAGCTCTCTGTGTGCATGGTGTCGGGTAATTTTTTTATTTATTGAATTTGTTATAGTTTTATCTGTTATTATAATGTAGATAATAATTAGTCAGGCAACTGCTTTTTATTCTTTATTCTTTCGTTATAAACCAAGAAATGTCTCTGAATCCTGTTTAATCTTTCAAGAATCCCTTTTTATTTACTAATTTATTTTTATGTAGTAAAATTAGGCATACCATTTACCTATGTCTAAGGTTTACTTAATTTACGAAATAATAACAGCGTATGTCACACACTTAACAACATCCAAATATGCGAGGAACTATATCTACGATTTAAAATTTTGCTCCGTTATAAACTTTACCTCTGTTGTACTTGATAATTCTACTATCGTTTTTAGATACTTCCTCGGTGCTTTGATACATCGTTGTTCAGGCACAAAAGTCCGTTGGTTCGTTGCGCGTCCGCTCGACTGCTGGTGGTGTGCTGCGCGGTGTCGGGCGGCGGCAGGGGTCTGCTGCGCGGCCGGCCCCCCACCGCGGCCGCCGCCCGCCGCGCCGCCCTCCGCGCCCTGGCCGACCTGCTGCAGGACAAAGCCACCGACGCCAGGTGACACGTTGATCTGCGAACAGCCTGTGCTCTACTCGACATTTGTGGTGGACAATACAAGTGCATTCATTTATTCATTCATTCATACATTAATTCATTCATTCACTTTCAGCCTCCATTTAAACACACGGTGCGGGACTATTATTTCAAGAGGAATTAGAACGACGGCGAATTACGGCCGGTTTCAATATTCTTTCTACAGATAGATTTGGTTAATATCGATGGGTGTTATACTTACGTCAAAATTATACCAAATCTATCTGTAGATTGAATTATTTATTTTTTTTATGCGAAAAGTTGTCAAACGAGCAGACGGTTCACCTGATGTTAAGTGAATACCGCCGCCCATGGAAATCTGCCACACTCGAGGGTTACAGATGCGTTGATAACCTTTTGAAAATTGGACTCCGGCTACCTCACTCACCAGACGAAACGCGAAAGTATTTGTCATACTTCCACTTTACGCTGGTCTTCTGTGAGGTCGTGGTACTTACCCGGACGGGCCTGTCCATTCGTGCAACAGCCAAGGCTGCTGCGTGGCCCTACCCCCGTAAATTATCATCCATTCCTCTATTTAATATTTAAATGGGCCGTTTCCGTGAATTGTCATCAGGAAGTACGCCGAGCGTCTGTATGTGATGCTGCGGCCCCTCGCCAACTTTGAGGCCTACTTCCTCACGGACGTGGACGTGGAGGTCGCTACAAGGCAGATGAAGAAATGCGACCAGCTGTTACCACTCGTCACCAAGGATAGGTGATCATTGCGTCAATCGTGAATCGCAGTTTTAAAACCGCCTTGATTGCACACGGGTTTATATTTCGCGACATCTTGTTTTATGTAGACAAAATACGCTGTCCGTTTCACTAAGTTTCGCAGAGGCAGGATGAGCAATGTGTCATGTATTGGAGTTTCTTAAAAAAAAACGTTACTGTTCAAGCTAAAATCAAACTGATGATTATTTGAATGATTTTTTGTCAGAATAAATGGAAATAAAACTTCTTTTTCATCGATTTCATTAGTTAGCACAACGTTACATTGTTCTAAAATTATTTATAATTTTGTGTTTTTCATCTCTAAGTTCGTGTAGCTTTCGTTTATGTTATGTATATTTTGTTTTACCATGTTGTCTATGGTCTGCGCTATATATGTGAACAAATGTTTTGTAGAAATATGTGCAGTCTTTAAATTTTATCCATGTCAATTTTTTTTCCAGTAATTATAAAATTTAGATATTAAAAAAATTAAGATATTTGTTGTTGAAATGTGAATAAGTTATTGAAATGGTGAAAACGTCGGTATGAGATGATAAATACAAATTAATTAAATTGTGAAATAAAAACAAGGTGTTGGTTGGCCACAGATGTTTTAGTGTTTTTCTGGCAGTCGCTCGTGTAGTGGTTATTATGATAATTATAGACTATGTGTGATATAGACTATACAATAAAAACTGTAACCCGACTGACCTAATTGTTTTGATATATCGACCTCATCACAGATAAAGACTGCATCGCGGTGGCGTTTTGCAACTTTGCTTTGCAATCTGCGGCGATAACACTTTTATTTATGTTTGGACCGATAATGGCAATTCGTTGTATAACAGACTTATTACCCATTCTGTTTTTTAATATAGAATACGAGTACATGAAGATTTTTGATTGATGCAACGAAATGTTGACAGAGATCAAATGCCCACTTCCCGCAATATTTGCTTTTTTTATTCCCGCAATATTTTTATAGGCTTTTTTTATATCTTCAACATGAGTGATTGTTGCTTGATATATAGTACAAGCGTTGCTTAGTTTGGGACTAGAGAACGTCGTGTAAAAAATGTGTCCTAAAATATTTTTTTATTTTATTTATTATTATATGCATATCAAATAGTATTCGTCGGTTGTGGCTCCTTTTTACACATACTTTAGTCAATTCCTATAAGACGTCTAGTACGGATTTTTTATCATTTGCATCCGCACCATAAATTTTTTTATCTGTCTTACTAATGCACTGATAAACCAAATCAATATTTATATATGTTAAGTCCCTTTGTTTTGCTACAAGTCAATTAAGTACTATACAGCTACTGATATTGGATTTTAGGAATATATGTTTACTCTAGTCCACCCACGAGGCTAGCATGGCCCGTTGTTCACATTGTTAACTTATACCGTCCAAGAAAATCACTAATTATCATTAATTTTCGGTAACAAAATGTAGATCCACGAGTTATAACCCTATTCCGTATAAATTAATCGGAGAGAAAGTTGTGTCACGTTTTTAGGGTTCCGTACCCAAAGGGTAAAACGGGACACTATTACTAAGCCTCCGCTGTCTGTCTGTCTATCCGTCCGTCTGTCACCAGGCTGTATAATGAACCGTGATAGTTAGACAGTTGAAATATATGATGTATTTTTTGTTGCCGCTATAGGAACAAACATTAAAAAACAACGATAAAATATTTAAGTGGGGCTCCCATACAAAAGACATAATTTTTTTGGCCATTTTTATAAATAATGGTACGGAACCTTACGTGGGTGACTCCGACTCGCACTTGGCCGGTTTTTTATAATAGCCGGTTTTATAATTCGAGGCGATTGTGTTAAAAGCTATTCTGCCTCAGTTTCATTCTTCTGTATCGGTGGAGGACATGACATATACAGATCTACTTCTTTATACAGTTGCCAAGTGGTTGAGATAGTAATTTGCTTTCTGAAGCCGAGAGCTGACGTCATAACTATTAGGCGGCCCAGAAAAAATGTGATTAACGAAAACGAATCTACCTCAATGAACTCATTCTTTTTAATGTACAAGAGTCTGCTTGTGGTTTATCTAAACACGTCATCCGAATATTATCTTAATTCGGTGCCATTCATTATCGGCTGCTAATAATATTATTTGTGAATACTGTTTATATCGTCGGGCACTATGATCACAGCGTTAAGCTTTAATAATACTGATGTTGCATATAAACAAATTAGTATGTATTTTTAGGGCATATTAAAACAAAGTCTAGTCTTAAATTAAACATAGTTTGTACTGTTGGCAAAAAGTAACTGGTAATTTAATTACACATACTTTGCTATTAAAAATAAATGAATGATGATCTACAAATTTTAATTCTTTTCTACAAATTTTAATAAATAAATGAAAACTATAATATCGAGCAGCTAAACCGACGCAACCCAATAAAATGTACTATAATGTATTTTTTTCAAAAATGGCTAAATTAATATGCACAAAACTATATATTTTTTAAGAGTAATGTTTAAGCTTTAAAATGCTATTTATTAAAGAAAACCGCATCAAAATCTGTTGCGTAGTTTTAAAGATATAAGCATATATAGGGACAGACAGACCGCGGGACGACTGTGTTTAATACTATGTAGTGATAGAGAGTATAAGCTTTTGAGGAGAATGAAGAAGACTTAATGCTGGCCAGTCCATAGTCTGAATGTCAATTCCGTCCATGAACTGACGAGTGATTCACGCAGCATGGCACCGGTAATTATCATGCATTAAAAGGAAACCATAGCCATGGAAACCTTAAGCCATGGTCCAGAATAATGTTCTCCACATACCGCTTAGCAGTCAGACCGCCTCCATGACCTCCACTATGGACGAAAACCAGTTTCGTTTTGAAAGCCACCAAATTCCCGCCCACGTCATACACGAACCACCGCCGAAGGACACTGTTGCAGAAATACAGTGCAGAAATTCGCTCGCCCGAAGACCCGAGCTATCCTATCACTGCCATGCAGATTCTGCACTCGTCAGTGGACAGCAATGAGCCGTTACACCGCACTCCAATTCATGTGTTCGCGATCAAATGTAAGGCGCTTGTCGGTAAGTCGTGGTCGACTTCGGCTGGTCTTCAACAATCACACAACAACAACATCTGTAAAAGCGTTTGGAAATCTTGGAAGGTGATCCCGCCCGCTCGTTTTCCTCTTTTTCTATAAAAAAAGTACATAATAATAGTAAATGACCATAGTTTTTTTTATAATGTCTTAACATAAACCGCTCTTACTGTACTAAAACTATAGCAATTTATCCATTGTTGTGAGGATGCTACATACACAATTTTCACATGGAATGGAGAAATACTCAGATCAAATATTAGTGTGTCTCACAAACACCGTGTCTAATGTGGGAATTGATCCCAGCCTTGCATATCATATACTATGGGAAAAATACCGTTATCTATCTCAAGAAAACGCTCTTGTGCTATTTTCTTCGATGAAAATGTTACTTCTACTTTCTGATAAAATAATCCAGTGTTGTACAGACGATTTACAATAACTATTGAAACTTAATTCTTATTAACTGGAAAAGACTGGCGAATCTTAATTGTTGCCGGTGCAGAGTTTTTTTTTTAAATTATCCGTAGCGACGTAGCACCGCTACGAAGTTTTACTTAGCTCTTCAGCCTGCTTAAACCTTTCATAATCTTCACCATCGACTGCACAGTGCGTACGTTTACGCTCCTGGCCTTACAGTTTTTCCACATCCAGGGGTTCGGGATCATCCTAGGAGAGCAAGGCGAGTGTAAATTCGCGCATCCATCTATCCAGAAAGTCCAATGGTGGAAAGAGCGAGCTAGTGGCCATGCAATTTGTAAGTCATGCATTTTCCTCAGATCATCTCAAGGTTTACTAAAAGTTTGTCGAAACGTCCACACAAGGCAAAGCGTGTTGAGAACGAAAGCCTGTTTTACGTCATGTATTCGCACATGATCGCTTCACGCGAAGAAATCGTTTGCATAATCTTTAACTTAGGAGGCGATAAATCGAGTGCAGATGCACCGGCCAGTACGCATGCACCGGGGTAGCCGTGGCAACGCGTCACTAACGATACACGATGTTTATCTTTAATGGAGCATATTTGCGTTTCCAGTCCTACGCCCAACCTGTAAAGATCCGAAAGAGCCTGCAAAAAAGTAAAGTAACAGCCTATATAAGTGTCCCTCTGGTATGCGAAGATGCGCCTAAGAGGTAGATGAGGAGACGCCTCTGAACAGAGACAGAGACACCCCACTGTGGTAGACTGTACATATTTTTTCTTTTTATTTCGAAAATATGTTGGTTTCCTCACAGTGTTATATATCCTACCTGAGTTAAAATCCTGCTCGAGTATACTAAATTAAAAGCGAACACCTGGACAAAGAGTTATGACGGCTTAATGATAATGTTGAAAATTCGGCCAAATACATACTTTTAATGAAGACATAGCTTTTGAATGATAGATTATAATAAATATCAATGAACATTGTCATATTTATTGTCACAGCCAGGTAAGATTATAACATTTTTAAAGGTTGCAGTTATAGGATCTCAAATAGTAGGCTACTTATGGCACTGCCTGCAAATCCTCTCGGTTATTTGCAATGAGTCTTTATCTGGTTATTTATTTGTCAACTCTTAGAAAATCCTGATTGTCGACTGAAGCACAACAGTTTTAATACTTTAATAACACTAATTTATGGACTTTATACTTATTATCATTGTTTATTTGTATATTAAGTTCCTAACAGTTTTTTTTACGTGAAAAGGCGGCAAGTGTGCAGCTTACAGCTGATGATGATTGACCATGCCCATTTACAATACTTGAGGGGATGCAGTTACGTTGTCGACCTCAGAATGCGTGGCACCCGGTTACCTCACTCGCCAGATGAAACGCAGCAGAATTGCATACGACTACAACTAAATTTCGGAGAAGGTAGAGACTTTCGAGACCTAAGGGACGAACAAATATTCAAGAAGAAGTGGCCCAAGAAGGCCATAGTCGCGCCGTGGTCGAGGAAAATTGCGTCATCGTGTTCCCTTGTGCCCGGCCGGCCCTGGCCGATGAAACAGAGACAGGTGCAACTTGGTGATGGGGTTCAATTCCGCGACACCCGTGCCTACGCTTGCTCGACTGTTAGGGTAATGTGGATGACTTGTGTGTGTCAAACCCGTAGTCGCGAGAAGTCAATAGTTTAACAATGACGCCAATCAAGCCGTCTAAAAACTTTTATTTTTGTCTTAGGAAGCCTGTATTACAAACGTATTAGTTATCACACAAAATGACTTTTATTACTTTAAAATCAATGTTTTTAATATTTATATAAAACTTGAATATTCTGTATACCTACCCTAAATTTTTTGAGCAACATTATTTTGACACGTAAGCCATCTGGCTTTTTTGTGTAGTCGGTTTGAAAATCCGGAGCAACCATACAAAAAGTCTCATAATAAATATTGTTATATTATCGTTATTAAGGCAGTTATTCATTTATGAAGATTACGTGCACGCGGGTGTCCTTGTGCGAAAGCAATTTTCCTCCGCATCTGACTCCGACGACTCCCACACACGTTGATAACACAAGCTTTGTAAACTAATTTATCCAAGTTTCCATTTGCATGGCAATAAGGTTCAAAATCCCTTGCGCCTAACGAGCGCACAGTATAATTAAAATCGTACGATAAATCACGAATGGGCAGATAGGTGCGACGCAACGACGGGCTTTCGTATTACACACACGTTTTTAGTTATTCCAATTGCGATTGTCTTCACCGGCAATAAGGTTTGATTTTGGATACTTGCTTAGAGGTGTAATGCTTTCTTGCAGGAACCGTTGTTTATAATAGAGTTCACCATAAAGGCAGGGTTCAGTTTATTGTGTCATATCGATGATTGCATGTGTCGTCAAACAATGATCTTTCTTATCAACGCATTCAGAACTTTAAGACTGCGTAATGGTCTTTAACGGTCCTTAACAGTTTTTTGATAATAGTAATAATAATAAATATCTTAGGACACATTTTTACACAACGTTCTCTAGTCCCAAACTAAGTAATACTTGTGTGACTACTAGATAACAGATAAACATACTTTTCTTTTGTTAATAAATACATAATACATATACATCCAGGCACTAGAAAAATGTTCATCACACAATATTTTTCCAGTATTGGGGATCGAACCCACACCCTCTGGCGGAGGAGGCAGGTACACTACCCACTACGCCATTCGGGTCGTCTTTAGATTTAAACTCATCTCAACTTCTCATTGCATATTTCGATAATACCATATTAAGTGAAAATGTTAAAAATAAAATTGCCCTTATTATAAAAGAAATGCGGTCGTGATACTACGCCATCGCGCGAACACATCGACACAGCCCACCTAACGGAGGTGGACCGCGTTATCGAAACTAGGGCTGCGCTTCCACCGGAAGGCGATCCATTAAACTACCACGATATTATCAAAAATTTAAAACCCAAATCCGCCCCGGGCCCAGACAATATTAGTAATAAAATCCTTAAAGCTCTCCCTGGCCCACTTATCTGTTTACTGGCGACCATTTACAACACTTTACTCTCCAGTTGTTCCTTTCCGGACGACTGGAAAGAAGCCACGGTTATCGGCATTCGCAAGCCGAATAAACCAGCCAATCAGCCGTCTAGTTATCGTCCCATCAGCCTCCTCAGTTGCCTGGGGAAGCTTTACGAGCGGCTTCTATTAAACAGGCTCAAAGACCACGTGTTTTCCAATGGCCTTCTGCCGGCGGAACAATTCGGCTTTCGAGCAAGACATTCCTGTCCCGATCAATTATACCGCCTAACGGAACATATCCTAAAAGGCCTAAATCACCCTAAACATATTAGCACGCGGGCTCTTTTCTTCGATGTCGCAAAGGCATTCGACAAAGTCTGGCACAACGGCTTGATTTACAAGCTGTTCTCACTCAAAGTGCCAGACAGGCTTGTACACACCATTCAGGCCTTGTCGAACCGTTCCTTTCGATATCGAGTTGAAGGTGCCCTCTCCACAAGCCGCCGCCTCACGGCTGGCGTTCCACAAGGCTCCTGCCTCTCACCCTTACTTTTTACGCTCTACACGAGCGATATACCAAAAGACCCCCACGTCAATCTCGCGCTTTTCGCGGATGACACGGCGCTCTTTTATTCAGACCGCAACTTTAGTCAACTAACCACTCGACTCCAAAGCGCCACCAACCGCCTCGGCGATTGGTTCCGCAAATGGAGAATTGAAGTAAATCCCGAAAAGAGTGTGGCGATTCACTTCACACGAAGTACTTACCCGTCACATCTTTATAAAGGTCGTCGCCAATGCAGAAAGCTAGGGCAAATATCTCTTTATGGCCAACCGCTCCCCTGGGAGATAAAGGTAAAATATTTAGGAGTCACTTTCGACTCGCGTATGTCATTCACAGCGCATATTAATAACGTCCGTAACAGAGCCGCGTTCGTCTCCGGCCGGCTAAGCACTTTAACTAACCAGTCAAGTAAAATGTCCTTAAGACACAAATTACTTTTATACAAAGCTTGCGTACGGCCAATCATGTCCTACGCATGCATGATTTTCGCCCACACGCACCCGGGGGCCCACATCGGGGTCCCGGTCCGCACCGCTACTTCGATGGCCCTTAGATGACATGCCGTACTTAAACGCACGCATGAGCACATGCGCGGCCCTACCCACAGCGGAGGGCCCAAACTCGTGGGTTCTGGCTAGCCCACCGGTTCTGCGTCAGATGAAGCTTTAATAGTCTCTGGACTGAAAGCACAAACATCAGTTAATACAAGATACAATTTCGTGATACTATTGAGCTCATTTAATGTATTAAAAACTGTTTCGTATAATCGTATATTCATATATACCTATACTTTATTTGTTTATATATACTTATCTTAAACTGATAAAACAAAGAAATATACAAAGTAAATGAGGACTTATCGCCGCAGATGTCTTTTTAGGGTTCCGTACTCAAAGGGTAAAACAAGACCCTATTACTAAGACTCCTCTATCTGTCTGCCTGTCCCTGTCGCCAGGATGTATCTTATGAACCGTGATAGTTAGACAGTTGATAATACATCGCAGATGATGTATTTTTGTTGCCGCTATAACAAGAAATACTAAGAATCAGAAGAAAAAATTATTTACGTGGACTTCCATACAAAGACATGATTTTCAGCCGTTTCTTTACATTATACTGAACCCTTCGGAACCCTTCGTGCCAAAGTCGGACTCGTAATTTTCCGGTTTTTTCTAATTAATCCTCATAGCTGGTGTAGGATCCTATCCATTTGCTAAGCGTTATTTGGTAACCCATGGATTTTTCAAACTAAATCAAAATTAAGTAAGTTCATAAAGTAGTTAAACGTATATTTAAAGAGAAAATATGAATACTGCAAAATAATCATAAATAACTGCAAGATTTCAAGCGTTTCAGTCGGAAAATGTTCATGCGTGAAAAACCTCCTTATGATAACTAGGCCCTTGGTTGAGGCCGACTACGATGTACCGTTATTAATATGATTACTATTAAGTTAAGAATTGTTCATCTCATAATTTATTTTTATATGTCTGTTTATTTTATGGCAAATGAGCAAGTGATTTTACACAGAGACGTGCAGGTGTTTTGCCAACGGTTACACGGGCCCCGGCTACTTTTATAACCAGACCAAAACTATTAGTGCAATACCTTCATGGTCTTGCTTGCCTATTAACGATAGAAGCGTTGCTAGAGATTGCGCCGCTTATTCTCTCAACGCTAACGCTTTCCTCTAGTAGTAATTATAGTTGTAGACATTCTTATAGCCAGATAATAGCACTTCATGGAGCGTCCCCCAAAGCGACCTAAGAGCTTGGCGGCCTCACAACCCGGTACTAATAGTAATAGAGTGACGGCCCGAGCCGAGGCTCCCTGGGGAACCCTCGCGCTAAATCACTCGTAAACGAGATTCACGTTAGGCCACCTCCAGCCCGGTGGATCTGTAAACGCCTCATTTAGGCCACCAGTGAAAGATCCAATTTAAAAATAAGCCGGTTCTCTTAGGGCATGATATTTATAGCTGGTTATTCGTGCAGCATAAGCTGATCGGCAAGTTGTTCCTGATCTACCACATGAAATGTTCAAATAAACTAACTTTGTAGAGTAACAGAAAACAGGGTAAAAATAAATATAATTCTATACTTTATCTTCTTCATCTTTATATATATAATTCTTCTGTACGTGTGTATGTCACTGAACTCCTAAATGGCAGGACCGATTTTAATGAAGTTTTTTGAGTGTTAAGACACTCACAGCCGATTCGAAAATGGTTTAGATTCACATTTCGGGAAACTACAACTTTTTTTTAATTTTTTTTTATTTATAAGTTGTCGGATTTAAAGTTGTCGTGTGTACAGTTGTCATGTAAGGTGCTTTTTTTTGAAAAGACAAGTTAAAAAGCAAGTTAAAAAAAAATAAAAATAAAAGTTTCATGACAAGATATTTGAATTGTTAAAGGACATAAAATCGAAAATTTAATGCTTCAAATAAAGTTTGGGTAATTATAAAGAAAGGTACGGCAGAATAACAAAATAAAGTGTATATTAAAGTTCTTTATTTATAATAAGTTCGTTTTTCTTGAAGTTTTAAAATGAAAACCTGATACAGACTTAATAAACCTTAATATTAACGCTATTAAATTTATATAATAACAAAAAACGTTTATACTAACATAACTAAAGATATAAGCCACATCCATATCTAAACAAAATAAATAGTTATCAATAAAATTCTATACAATATCTAAAAACACTATCATTATATAACTGACAATTCACCTCTGTTAACCCTAAAATTGAACGTAGCAGGAACTTAACTTATCAGTGCTATACTACAATCTAATTTAAAATAGTGTGTACCCCAAGGGTCTAAAACAATGCTTAGATAACATGATTAAGTACAGATACTTCTGTTAGGCGGTGGCCTAATGTAGACCGGAATGTTCGAGCCAATACTCGCTAATGACAACCTTTGGTTATATTGAAATCGAAAAATTAAATCAACCCACTGTCTGCTTTTACGTTCGATCAGACCCTGCACTCTGCTGTTGGGCTGTCTACTCTGATGTTTTGTTTTCTAACCCCTCGTGTCCTAGTCGCCCGCTACTCTGTCAGCTGGGTTGAATCTAACCCCTCGGCTACCGCTCCGACAGCTATCGCAGCTTCTGCACCCGGTGCGGCGTCGGCTGGTAGCTGCACAACTTCAGCAGGCACCACGAGGCCCTCTTTTGGACGTGGTTCTTGTGTTCAGTTGGCCGGGCATCGCACTTGCAGAGCAGCAACAGAGCGACCAGCACAACGGCGATTATGTTGAACAGCCTCATTGTGACGCCACTACAAATCCCAATGAACCCTTTTGTAATGACGCAAGGGCTGACGGTATATGCTGCTGTTGAAACTAAGTGATGTGCGATCAAGTACTTTATCGTTCGCCGGTTCGGTGCGTACTGTGGACAGCGCGCACCGTCTCGCTATTTATAAGGCGCGGGGGTTATCTGGCGCGTGCACGATAACCCGCCGAATTGTGATAGGCCCCAGGTTCGATGACTGCGTCTCAATGTCACACGATTCATTGTAGTAAAATTATCGTCCGCCGCTAGAACGGCAGTACGCAGAACGCCGCTAGTAGGGGGAGGAAGCTCGTTTCGCGTCTTTTTACTGGAGATGCCACCTTGACGCCGTAGAAATTGTAGCGTTCGGAACTAGCGATTGTAACACCATTGTTGCAACGATTCGGTACCTTACGTCTGACCTGCCCCAATGTCTCCATTCTCTCGTTCCTGCCCCAATGTCTCGTTGGGTGCGGGTCATGATATGATGGACGATTTAGTCAACGCCCTTTGCATTGTAACCGGTTCGCGTTCCTAGTTGAACGTCTGCCAAAAAATTTACGTCAGTGCGATAAGTTAACTGGGAGCATTGCTTTCATTATTGTTCTTCTCGGGCAGAGCTGAAATCGCCTGTGGCCGGCCTCCGCCGCTATCGGCTATCACACCTCGTAATTCAACTAATTGGGTCAATGAGATTTGAGAACCTTGCTTGTTAATAATACGCCCGTATGGAGACCCCTGGGCCTTGTTTATCTAATTGGGTTAAATGACGCCGGGGTGCGTGATCGAGCGCTGCACGTAGTACCTAATTAATTTCAATGTGTGTTTCAAATATTTCTAATGTCTCTCTCAGTTCTTAAAACTTAACTCGGAGTTAGACTACACACATTAAGTCCAAATTTATATGATATCATGTCAGTCCGCCTATATCATGTTTATAGGCGGACTGAACCCCTGTGGTATTCTCTACCCGGTATCCTGTAATAATCGTATATGATATAAATATAACTTAACTAAGCTGTTGGGCAATTGTCGCAATTAACAAAAAGTTACTTAACAAAAAAAAGAACCGAATTCGTAAAAGTCTATTATCACTTAAAAGTTTAAAATGATACGAAATATAATATAATCAAATATTGAAAATCTTAACTATGTAATTATTGGATTCGGTGCCAAGCCAAGTATATCTGACCTGAGCATAAAATTATTCTCTTAATTTTGTTACACAATTTAGGTGGATTAGATACATACTAACTATCTTTTAACTTAAGTTAATATAAGTATAAAGTTTCATAAAAATCCATTCAGTAGTATTTGCGTCAAAGAGTAACAAACATCCATCCATACAAACAAAATTTCGCGTTTATAATATTAGTAAGAATGAAATAATGTTACATGTTGCCCGTGGTCTACTAAATAGAAATTCCTTGCCGAAGGTTGTGACATTTAATATGCAGAAAATATTTTTTATAGTATATATAAAAAGCCTATGTTCGAACCTCCTTCCCAGGGGCTCTTGGATCATGTCGTTCTAGTCTATCTAGCATGTTAGTCAATTGATCATCTCATAGACGTGATCTCTTTGGCTTGAGCAAAGGAGATTTGGCACGACCCCCGCACACATCGTGCACCGCTTATACATCGTAATGCGCATTTAATATACAAATGTTTAAATTTAAATAATATACAAATGAATTTGTGTGGATGATAACGGTTTTTTTTAACGGATGATGCAATAACGATCGTGCTATTGTATAATACGGATGGGCTATATTTAGAACGAATTCTGCGCAAATGCCGCGATGGTTCTTCGTCGCAGCTGGTATTTTTTTTGGTAACATTGAAAGCAATTCAACAATCTTAATAGATTGCGTTAATGTTATATCGAGTGATATTCTAAAATGCAGTTGCAGTGATCGGCTTATGATTATAAAAGTCTGAAGGTGCTGAATTCGTTTACGTTTTCCGATGTGAGTTTTAATATCTAGTTTTTTTAAAGCGAAATGTTAGTAAGTGCAAGCGGTATATTCGTCTTCTATGGGCGCGAACAATACTTGACAGTTGCAGTTGCATTGTCAACTTTTAATTAGAGTGAGCCCCGGTTCTCTTTGTCATCGGACGAATAGTAAAAGTGTAATACTTGCATTTCTCCTTGATAGAAGATAAAGCCGCGATTATATATATATATATATTTTTTTATTATATTATAGTATATTTTAAACTTTTCTTTTCATGTTCCGTTTATGTGGAGGTATCACTTCGCCAAATGAAATGGCCGTTCTACATGACATTTGATAAACTTGGCAAGCAAGCTGAAAAAAAATTTCAGGATGTTGTTCACTTTTCAATCAACGCTAGTTCAATAAATTTAAACTGTCCTCATCATCATGTCTTTTAAGTATAGGTAGTGATGTTTTCAGATCATTGTACTTTGGCAATGTAACTGAATATAGAAGACTGACAGTCTTTTAAGATAAAACATTGTAAATTAACAGCATAAGTGTATAAGTCTCATTGCTGTGAAGTATACACAGTGGTACTTTCTACTTCACCTCTGTACAGAGAATGTTAGAGCATAATCCACCACGCGACCCTATTAATGATTAATGATTAATGATTTGGCGGACTTCACACGTCTTAGAACTTTAAGAAAATTAATTTAAAATAATTTTTTTTCGAAAACAACTCAAAATAAATTATACTTAGTTAAAATAACCTACTAATCCCTAAATACAGATACAATGTAAAATTGGAATTAGTTATTAATAACTAACTAATCCTCATGATACCGATTAAAATCCGTGCATTTTTTATTTAAAACAGATTTTTATCATATCTTATCATTGCGATCATTATTAACCTGGCTGAAAATTCCTTAATTTGTTTCATTTAAATTTTCGATAAGCGACCTGATATTAACACAATGTTGTTATAGATCAGATTTTTGATAGTGATTGGGTGTGTTTTAATTGATTTTTCGTGATTGAATACACCACTTTATAAATGAATAAATGAGTCTATACAAATCAACTCAAAGGCAAAATTGTATTTAAACTAATGTTTAAATACATTCTTTAAAGCGTTAAGTTTAATAACTAAAACATACGACATATCGTAGCTTGAACATATCAATGCCCGTCGTTGAGTTCTTGTGCGACTTCTTAAACTTGATCAATCAGGCAAAAATTGCCTCACATTACGTAAGACTACCAATAAAATTGTTATGCAAGTTTAATAAAGTAATAAGTTTTTTGAGTATGATGACTTAATATCGTGTTCCAATATAAAGAACAAAGAAATACTATATTACACCTTAATATAGTATTTCTTTTTATGGTGGAAAATAGAAAGTCTATTGTTAATAGATCTTTATTGATTACCTACCTATTTGTTACATATTTTTAATTTAAATAACTGCACGAGTGATTAGTTTAACATAAAAATTCTACCATTAAAAGCATAATGTATAGTAATGTAAATAAATAAAGATGCAACTTTGTTGCGAATTTTATTGCAAACATTTTATATTAGTCTCCTTAATTTTGACTCCCTAACAATGCTTAAAAAATGCTCCCTTCTTCTTAGGCACGATCTCACGGACCTGTGCCTAAATCGGTCGAACGGAATGGGCAGGCTCTCCAGTTAAATGGAAGTATTATACTGTAACCGGGGTCCAATTTGTAGAGGGTTGTCAACGCGTTTCGGTGGTAAGGCCACGCAGCAGCCACGGCTGATGCACGAATGGGCAGGCACTAAGTACCACGACCTCACAGAAGACCGGCGTAATGTGGAAGTATAATACTTTCGCGTTTCGTCTGGTTAGTGAGGCGGCCGGAGCCCAATTTTCAAAAGGTTGTCAACGCATCTGGAACCCAGCAGATCCAAGGGCGGCGGTTTTCACTTAACATCAGGTGAACCGTCTGCACGTTTGGCAACTTTTCACATTAAAAAAATTCGTTGGTGCTGCTATAGATTGGCAGCTTAGACGGCTGTTACATGCATGCCCAGGAATAGACTAAGTGCAAGTATGTTTGGTATGGTGAGTGAGTTAACCACTCCCCATTTTTTTAATGTTGGCAACGCATTAGCAAACCTTCAGATGTTAGATGTATACGAGCGACGGCAATCACTAAACATCAGGAATGACGAAATCGGGAAAAATGAACCGCAAGCTCGCTTGCCAAATTTTCACATAAATAAGTGTGTGTGTGTGTGTGTGTGTATTTATGTACACGCGTTAGAAGTTATACTTCTTTGGCGTAACAAGATAAAAATCTTTAAAAAAAAATTGTCTTTTGCTTTATTCTACGTATGTAGAAAAGCGACACCACCAATAGAAAAAAGGTATTTAATACATCGAAAGTTTTATTATAACGCATTATCTAGTTAAATAAAGTTTATTTAAATATCACAAAATTAATATCGTGAATCAGTTGTCAGTTCTCACGTAAACATATGTGGTGTCTAGCTTACTTCAGATTTCTTTATATGACATATTATTATATGACATTTATAAGTGAATAATATGTATCTATGGAATTGGCGTAATTTGAGTGCCTCAGTTTCGGTGTGCTAGTGTCATATGTATATTTGTATATAATATAATTGGTTTTTATCAACTTAATTTAGGTATGGTTTAGACGTTTGACATAAGTATAGATAGACATTTGACATAAGATAACTTGACGAAGTAAAATTGGAGCTTCGCCAATATCTTATCATTAATTATATTAAAATCTTTTTATTAACTTTTTTAAAGATTAAACGTACACCGTTGTATGAAAAAACAATAATGTATTAATGTATATATCTCACACGCATTATTTATACACAATAATTACCTATATATAAATAAGTTTCGAAGCAAAATCAAGTGCATTATAATATCACACTGCGATATTCAATCATAAAAGTATTTTGGCAAATCCAAAGTGTTAGAAAATTATGATGTTTTCTTATGTGGCTTTATATGATAATGAAATAAAAGAAAGTAACAGCCCATATGTTACGCCCCTCTGCAGAGTAAAGGCCTCTGTGCCTCTGCACAAGGTAGGGTACTAGGGCATAGTTCACCGCGCGACTCCACTGCCGATTGGCAAAATTCACATATCTTCGAAATATTTTTTTTTATTATTATGAAGAAAATATGCAGGTTTCGTCGCGATATTTTCCTTTCCTGGCGAGCTTTTGATGATTAAGCACTTAAAGTTAACAATTTCGTTGGTGCCAGCACCGGGATTCGAACTTGGCTCAACCAGTATGTTCATTGAAAGCGCTCCGACACTGAGCTATCACAGCACTAACAGCATCCTTATACCACCGCTCTAGCAGTCTTTAACACACATATTTCGTGAAACATAATGTTTTCATTAATGTCAACGCCCGTGGTCAAAACCCGTGGGTTCTGCCTAGCCCAACGGTTCTACGTTCGATGAAGTTTTAATAGTCACGGGACTGAAAGCGTTAACATAAGTTCATACATTACAATACAATACCTCTCTCTCCATAACAAAGTAGCAAGCAAGCATATCTTATCATCTGCAGCACGCGCTTGCCACGTTGCTCCATTGAAAAATCGTCCCATTTCATTATTCCGATCGCCAATTATCCACGCACGAGATAAAACTAAATATATACAATAAAATTTATTAAAATTCCTTAGGGGCCCGCAGTTAACCAAACATCTTGTTTTTTCTAATTTAATACAAGGAATTGCCATTACCTTGTTTCGTCAGGACTCACGCATTTGAAAAATGGTTTTCTCTGTTTGCACGAATCGGCAGATCCATCCGGGTATGAACCACTACCTCACAGAATACCGGCGTGAAATGGAAGTGATATACTTCTGCTTTTCGTCTGGTGAGTGAGGTGGCTGGGGTCCACTGTATCAAAAGTTGGCAACGCATCTGCCCCCCTGCGGTTGTTGCAAATGTCAATGGGCGGCGGTTATCACTTAACAGCAGATGAACCGCCAGCTCGTTTGCCAACTTCGCACATAAAAAAAATCCTACAGGTCTGTGGGCTACAAAAAAAAATCCTACAGGTATGTGGGCCACATTATCAAACATAAACACGGGAGAGTGTGCTCAGGCTTTGCACGATTTTATTTCTCTAACTCCTCAGCTCAGTCGACAAAATGTCGTCTGAGCAGAGGAGTACAAAACCCTTACTTTAATAATATAATATGCTACAGAACCCGACGATTGAAAATTTAAAAGAGGCTTCGCTATCAAACCACCGTTACATTAGCCGCTCACGCAGCCTGGAGGCAAGCGCGTTGTTGGCATATGATGAAACACGCGTAAAAATAGACGCCGATATACCCTTCGAGAAACATCGCATCATTTTCGGGACGCGCGCTATCAGTATAACGCAATGTATTGATGGCATTCTGAAGGTTTGATTAAAAGATTTAAACCTTCAGAATGCCATCAATACATTCTTCTTTCTTTCTTCTGGTTAATATTCTGAAATGATAAATTCTGAATGATACATTGAGAAAGATGAGAGACCGCGAAAGTGTAA